CCCCAACCCCAACCCCAACCCCAACCCCAACCCCAATTTGTTTTATTTATTATTTATGACTTCATTTAGTTATTATATTTTCTTTACTTTTTAAAAGTATTTTAATCTAAAATTATAATTAAAAAAATATTAAAAAAAACACTATTATATAAAATAATTGTACTTGTTAATTAAAAACATTTCTTAAAAATGAATTTTTATTAGAGTACATATATTTATAATCCTTACTTATTTTGAAATAAATTTTAATAGTTAATTCTTTCGTTATTTTTGTTTGAATTTATTAAAAAAATAAACTTATTCATAATTAGATAATTTGAAAATTTAAATAGGAAGTCATAAATAAATAAATTTTATCTTATAATTCTTTAGAGAAAATAGAATTGGTGAATGTGCTGTAATTATAATTTAAAAAATAACTTAGTTGGATTATATAAAATAATTTAGATGTAAACTTTTAAATTTATATATTAACTAAAATTTAGGAGAATTTTTATTTTCCAAAAAATATATTAAACAACATTTTAAGAAATTTCTTTCGTTTTATTTATTTTTTTAATAATTTTACTTTTTTAAATTTGTAGACACTTGATTTTTTTGATGAAAATACAATAAAATTTTTATAAAACCTTAATGAATGAATTTTCATTAAATTTTGAAAGAATTTTTTCAAACCTAATATATTTTTTTGATATCTATCAAACATTCCTTAAAAAAATTGATAATTCTCAAGAGGTCAAAAAAATAATTAAAATAAATGACATTAAATAGAAAAATCAAAGAATATTCTTGCTCTAACAACATTAAAAATAATGAATGCATCTACCTTTCATTTAAATTAATATTTTCTGAAAAAATATTATATATTTATTTAATTTTCAATAGATCTATTGAGAAAGAATTTTTATAATTTATATTAGAACCTAATACACAGATAGAACTATAAGAGTAAATATTTTAATTATCAAATGTAAAATAGGATGAAAGCTAATTAATTATCTACATATTAAGGCCTTAAAAGTGGATACATAGACCAATTATTTTTCTATAATATTTATTTTCATTTCAAAAAGAATTTTACGTGTGAATACTTAATTATTATGATTAAATCTAATTAAAAAATAAAATAAGAGCTATCTGTTATATGAATTAATTTTTAAAAGTTTATTCATAAAATGTTTAATTAATTTTGAGTAGTCTTAATTTTAAAAAAGTCATACTACTTAAATTGAATTCTAATATGCTTTCCTATTTTCATTTTAGTAAAAAATAAGAAAAATGAAAAGTAGGGAGATTTCTCATTAATTATTTATTTTACAACAGTGTAAAAAAAAATATTTAAACATTCATAATTAATAACACTAAAAAATCTATTTATTTTACTATTATATTTCTTTTCATTTCAATAAGATTTTATTACTAGTTAATAAAATTAATTTACTCTAAACTCTATATTAAATTATATATTTAGTAAATATTTATATATTATTCTAATTAAATTTAAACGGTTTGCTTAAATACTTTATGATTTGTTTTAAATCACTCTCTTAAAATTAGAAAGTTTAACTATTCTAATATATATTTATATTATTTAAAAAATAATTGGTATTAGATTGTATTATGATAATAAAAGAAAATGGAAATTCAAATAGATAGTATAAATAAAAACTATTAATTTTTCTATTTTATTTATTTTAAAAAATGAGTATATCAAATATAAAATTATTTAATTTCAAATTATTGTAGCTACCTAAATTTTTTTATTGGATAATAATTAAAACATGAAATTTTTCATAGTTTTTAAAGAAGTTAAAGATAATTTTTATTGGTTGTTTTTTAATATTTTGAAATAAGGATATTTAAAGCCATAGATTGCAAATTAAATAAAATAAATAAATATATATTTTAAAAATACTAATGAATAAAATTAATCTAAAGATTGACCTATATTCAGATAATGATATACATCACTACAAAGAAATAAAATAATAATTAAGACATAATTATTAATTAAAGTTTCTACTTAATAATTAAATTTGTTTTTCTTTTTCTGATTAAAAACGAAGTATTTAGATATTTAAATTACAATATTTAGGAGAAAGAATATTAATAGATTATTTTAGAATCAGATAGTACTAGAAGTATTGAAGCAAAAATAATATAATCAAATGTAAAGTACGATGTTAGGAATGTATTAATGAATAATCATTATTAAATCAAAAGTGGATTTATTAAAAAACCCAATTAAATAAAAATATTGATTAACTTTACTAAATTAATTGCTTAAAACTAGGGTAGTCTTAGTATTATTATCAATTATAAATAAATTAAAAATAATAATAAAAAAGAAAGGTGATAAATAAATAAAATTTTTTAAGAAAAGGAAAGAGCTATTTCTGAAATTAAATAATCAAATTAAACTATAATAATAATTTATTTATAATAAATTAATTGATTTCTATAACATAGAAAATTAATTAAATTTTTTACTTGATAATTTGATTAAAATAATTGATTTTCTAAATGAAATTTAATATTTAAGATTAAGGTATTAATCAAAAACCTTTGGTAGATAATAACTAGCAAATTACATAATAAGATAGCTAAAGGATAAACACATGTTATGAGAATAACTAAACTGAGGAAGACTTTTTAGAGTAGAAAAAAGATTTGATTGAGCAAATAGTTCCTAACAAAAGCCTTCGTAAAGAGATGGATTTCTAAGATGATTTAATCATTAGTTAAACCAAAGTCAGTAATGCTATTTAGAAAACAAGTTAAAATAAGCAAACAATAGTTAGTAAAAGCGATGAAAAGATAAAAGAAAATGAGGAAACTTAGGATGATGATGAAGAAGATGAAGATAACTTTTTATCCTAAGATTAAGAAGAAAAAAAGATCAAATAAATGAAGGACATGAGATGGAAAAAATTTAACTTTTCATACAATGTTAGTTTTTTTTTAAAGTTATTCTTCATAGATTTTTTGAAGCTACTTTTAAGCAGTTGGAAAAGTATCAAAGCATACGGTTTATTAGAATTAAAGCACATTCCTTTGCTCAGACCAAATGAAAAAGTAGAGAACAATTATAAAAACTTTCAAAAGAATATGGATAGGGTTCTTATAAAGATAGAAAAAGAAGGGAAAAAACTTACTTCATTAGATATGTTATTTGTTATTTTGCGTACCTTCTATGTGCCAATAGTATAAATGATGATTAGCGCTCTTCTATTCTACTCATTGAAGATTTTCTTTTCAAACTAGATAAATTTCTTGATAACAGCAATAATAGATAAAGAGAGTTAAAATGTTATCTATGGATGGGCAATAGTTATGGCTTTTACTTAAATTTTCTATATTGCTCTTGTTCATCATTCTGTCCGCTTTTTTACTGCATTCTTTGTATAATTTAGAGCTACATTTAATCGAGCTCTCTTCCTTAAAGTTTCATCTCTCTCAGCCTTCTCAATTAAGGAGGCAAATGTTGGAAAGTTGGTCAACTTAGTGTCTAACGATTTAAATCTACTTGAAATGAAAAGTTATTCTATAATTACTTTGCTTACTCTACCTGCTCCTATTATCGCTGTAGCTCTTATCCTCTACTTCAGGTAAATTCAAATATATTTGTTTCAAGAATTACAATTTAAAGTCATTCAATTTATAAAAATTAAATTTTAAAATATTTTCTAATACTCTTCTTGGAATATGTTCTTTAGAGTGTTCTTTACAGTTTTATAAAAGAATATTATTTGTAAAAAGGTTAAGTCTTAATTAAGTACCAATTAAAAAGGTTACAGATTTTTATTTAATAAAGTTTTATTGTATCTTAAATGATTGGTAATTTAATCATTTCTAACATAAACTTTTAAAGAGACAATTGTAATTTTTTTTAGTGATTTTTTAATTATTTTATCTATTGAATTCTTCTTTTTAGTTTAATTATTAATTACCATAAATAATATGCCAAGTATTTTGCTTTATAGATAGTGAAAGTTTCCAAAAATCATTTTAAATTCTGCTCTTTTTAATTTAAATGATTTTAAATTTATAAGAAATGAATAAAGAAATAAATTAGTAAAAATAGATAAAATAGGAGCAAATATCTCATCATAATTTAATAAAAGAATTTTTCCACTAATTTCTTTCTTTTTACATATGAATTAAAAAATCTTTAGAAATTCGATTAGATATATTTATTCTTATTTTAAACATTAATACAATGAAATTAGAGAGAAAAAATCTAGAATCATTTAAATTAATTCATTTTAAATTTGAGAGAAATTTTTATTTATTCTAATTTTATTTTTCTAGTAGATAGCTAGAAGTATTTGGTTTATATTATTAGATAAGAATTTACATATATTTATATGTTAGAAATTTTAAAAGTATGTAAATATTGAATAATAACCATACAAAAAATATTTATTTACTAGAAATTACTAAATTAAAGTTATTTGCTTAATTAATACATGGAAATTTCTTCTTTAAATTTTAATTTCTAATTTCTTTTATCAATTTATTAATATTTTATGCTTAATTTAAAAAAGGTTTGATGGGTTCGCTGTGATTGGTCTTGGAGTTATGATTGGATATATTCCTTTTTAGTTACTTCTTGCTAAAATTAGCTCAGGATTCTTTAAAGATAAGGCTGCTTTAGTAGATCACCGTGTTAAGTTTACTAATGAAATTGTAGAAGGAATTCGTTTGATTAAAATGTACGCATGGGAAGAGGCTTTCGTACATCTTGTAACGACTTTCAGAAAATCAGAGCTTAGAAAAATATTTTATATTTAATTTATCTACTTACTAGAGCACTCTTTTAGTTTTGTTTCTGGACTTTTTGCTAGCTTTATAGTCTTTTTTGTTATATACAAGTATGGAGAACCTGGCTCTTTGAATGTTGCAAATATGTATTCAACCTTAGATTTACTTTCTTATGTAAAATAATAAGTTGTTTCATCAGCTGGATACGGAATTGTTGGTTTGCTTGAGCTTAAAGTAATATTAGAGAGAATGATCACAGTTGTTACAATAAAATCATCCTAAATGACTTGCATAGAGAGTAATTTATATAATTTATTTTAAATATTTATTTACTTAATTATTTAACACATAGAAATAAATGATTATGATGGAAAAAATCTTGAAAGTGGTGAGATTGAAATGAAAAATTTTACTGCCTTCTGGAAAGATAATCAACCTGTTTTAAATTCCATAAATTTAGATGTTAAAAAGGGAGAATGCATTGGAATAGTTGGTAAAGTAGGAAGTGGAAAATCTTCTTTTTTGAGTTGTATCCTTAAAGAAATTCCAAAATATTCAGGTTACTTTAACTTTAAGGGTAAAATAGCTTATGTGGAGTAAGAGCCTTATATTTTTAATAAGACTGTCAGAGAAAATATTTTATTTGGCTCAAAGTACGAAGAAAAATTCTATAATCAAGTAATTGAAGCTTGTTGCTTGATAGATGATATCAAATAGTTTGATTATGGGGATTAAACACAAATAGGTGAAAGAGGTATCAATATAAGTGGTGGATAAAAGGCTCGTATTTCTTTAGCCAGAGCAATATACTCTAGAGCCGACATATATTTATTAGATGATCCTTTATCTGCTGTAGATTCAAAAGTATTATTTTATTTTACTATTTTTCTTAATTAACTATATTTAATATCAATAATAAATAAAAAGTATTATGAAAATTTAAAAATAAAATAACTTGAGCAATTTAATTTTTAATCTAATTTTCATATTTTTTTTATATTTAACTGACCAAAAATAATTGGCTGGTTACTTTGTTTGAAATATATATTTTTGAAAATTTAAACACCAAATTTTTAAAATAAATTGAAAAATGTTAAATTTACATATTTTTTATTTGAAAAAATTTAGGTAGCAAAACTTTTAAATGATAATGCTATTTAAGGATTGCTTAAAGGTAAAACTGTGCTTTTAGTTACACATTAGATTCCCTACACTAGAAGCACTGATAGGATAATTATAATGAGTGATGGCTTTATATAAAATATTGGTACTTATAATGATTTGTAAGAACCTCTGAGAGTGTTAGGACATTAAATGCATGTTGAAGATTCATAAAGCTAAAGTAGAGTTAGTCAATCTTTTAAAAAATCTATTCTATAAAATCAAGAAAAAGAAGAAGAAGAAGAAGAAGAGGAGGTTGATGATGATAATAACCAATAAGAAAATACATAGTAAGATTAAAATGCTATTGATTAAAAAGATGAAAAACTAGAATAAGAAAACAAAGAAGTGAAGCAAGACGAGGACACTAAAGAAAAAAAAGAGAAAAAAGATAAGCTATACACAAAAGAAGAAGATGAAAAAATAGTGGTCAGTTTGAAAACTTATTTGAACTACTTTTTAAACTCAAAAATATGGTTTTTAGCCCCTTTAATGTTTGCTTTGTTTGCTACTTGTGAGGTGGTTTTTATATTCTACTCAAAAACTATAGGAAAATATGGAAACCAAGGAGCTGATTAGTTTTACTACATTAGCTTATTAGGATATTTGTCTCTTATTTACTTTATAAACCTAGTATTAAAATACTTTTTATTGACTGTTATTGCTAATCGCAGCAGCTTCTATATTCACAACAAAATGGTTTAGTCAATTATTAGAGCTAAAGTTCTCTATTTTGATAGAACTCCATCAGGCAGAATTTTAAATAGATTCTCATCAGATTTGGGTAAGTTAACTAAAATAAATCTAAATTTAATTAATATCTTTTTTATTTTTAGGAATTATTGATCAAGATTTAGTAAGAACATCGATGGACACTATTGAAATTATTTTCAGTTTTTGTATATTAATGGGCACAATTATTTCAATTAATCCATACTTCTCTATCATAGCTGTAGTCGAGATTTTAGTTCTTGGATTATACTTAGGAATTTCTAAAAAAGTGCTTGTCTAATCTAAGTAGATTGACTTAAGATACAGATCTCCTGTATATACATTCTTCAATCAAACCACTTAAGGTGTCTTGCCTATCAGAATTTATGAGAAGCAGTAGATTTTTTGTGATAATTTTGACTTCCTTTTAAATAATTCTCTTAGATCATCTTACACCTATTGGTATAATTCTAGAGCTTTTGGCTTTTATGTAAATATGGTGACAACAATTTCAGCTATTATTGGTATTTTTATGCTTCTCTCAATCGATTAAAATCCTTCTACTATCGGACAAACAATTATATATTTCCTCAGTATTAGTGATAATATTTAATGGGGTTTAAGGTAAATTAAAAAACATTTTATAATTTTGATTAACTTTTCTTACATATTTAGATAAATGATTTAAACAGATGTTGCTATGTCTAGTGCATAAAGAGCTATGAATATGACTTTGATTGATTAGGAACCAGCTTTGAGGACAGATTATGATCGTAAAGAGTTGAAAAAAACAGAAAACCATTAAAAAAATAATTCAAATGAGGAATATATATTCCCTAAATAAGGTAAAGTTGAATTTTAAAATGTTAAAATGAAATACAGATAAGACCTTGCCTATGTCTTAAATGGGCTAACTTTCTCTTTGAAAGCTGGATAAAAAGTGGGTTGCATAGGTCGTACTGGTGCTGGAAAATCTTCTATTATTCAAGCGCTTTTCAGGATGACTGAAATCGAGTCAAACTTAGAAAATGCAAAATATCAATAAGAAGATGAAGAACAAAGACTCAACTAAGAAATGTTTATTAAAATTGATGGACACAACATTAAAGATTTGGGTCTGCACACATTGAGAGGAGGAATCAGCATAATCCCATAAGTACCATTCATATTCTCAGGAACTATCAGAAGAAACCTTGATCCATTAGACGAATTCACTGACAAAATGATAACTGATATCTTATAAGATATAAATTTATTAGAAAAAGTAAACAGCTTGGCTAAAGGAATATACACTGATATGACTAATGCAAGTGAGATATTCAGTACAGGATAAAAGTAATTGATTTGTTTAGGTAGAGCTATCCTGCGATAGAGCAAATTGATTGTACTAGATGAAGCAACAGCAAACTGTGATATGTACACTGATGAACTTATCTAGAGAAAAATAAGAGAAAAATTCACAGACTCTACAGTCATAACAGTGGCTCATAGATTAAATACCATTGCAGATTATGACAATATAATAGTCATGGATAAGGGAGCTGTTATTGAATCTGGGGCACCCTATGAGTTACTTTGTAAGGAAAATGGTATATTTAAATAAATGGTAGATCACACAGGCAAAAAAAATGCAAAACTTATTTTGAAAATAGCCTAATAAGCATATAATTAGAGTGTAAATAACTCATGATAAATTGTATTAAATCATATTTGTTTTATTTAAGTTGTTGTTAAATAAATTTTTTTAATAATTTAAAATCGCAAAAAAATATTTGATTTTCTCCCTAAAAAACTGAAACAACTTATTACTAATTAAAATATTTCATTTTTAAATCTGCTCTTTTGCTTTAGAAAATGTTAATTATTTTATAAAATATGAATATAAGTAAATAAATTTATTTAAAAACGATTTGATTGATAATAATAAAATATAATTTTTAATTTGGATTTTTTGAAAATCAATAGTTGAATTTTTAATTAAATTGAAATTTAGAAATAATATTTATAGTTTTGATTTTTTAAAATAAAAAGATAGATAGATAGAAAGACAGATATTTATTTATCTTACTATAAACAAACATAAAAATAAAAATCACTAAAAATACAACACTTAAAGACTGAATTTATAATTATAAATCATATAATTCTTCAGGCTCTTCCTATTCATTTTATAGTAAGTTATTTTAGTATCAATTTATGGATTGTAATACCAATATAATTTTATTTTTAAAATTTAAACACAAATATATGCTGAATAGGTTTATTTATTATTACCAAACTTACTTCTACTTTGACCTACTTTGAAAATAAAATCAATTTATCAAAATTTAAAAAATAAATTTAGCTTAATAACTAAAGAATCTTATTATAGAAATTAATTTTGAAAGTCAAATTGTAACAAATTGTTTATTTAATTTTAGAAATATCATTTTCCCCCTAATAATTAACTAAATTAGATATATTTGGCATTATTTAAAAATTGTAATATCAATCAATAAATTAGAGCAAAAATATTAATTGACATTGCATAAAAAATAAAGTTTTTTGTTATTTAGAAATTTGGTTTGTTTATTTATTCATTTTTTAATATTTTAAATTATTTTTAAATAGCAAAGTAATCATAAAAATAGCTCATATTTGTTTGAATCTAATTTAAATAATCAAACAATTTTTAAAAAAATTATGATGAATAATTGAGCTTTTTAGTGAATAAATGCTATTTTAACCAATCAATTATTTATTTTTTATGATATTTATCTTAAAACGATTTAAAAATAAGCTTAATTACAAAATAAACTTTAAAACAATTAATTTAATAGGTTTAATTTTTTAATTTTTTACTCTTAAAACTTCATAATTTTGTTTTTGAGAAACATTTTGATTTTTATTAGGTATTTTTGATTAATAAATAAGATATTTTGATGTAGAATAAATATTTTATTTTATAATTTCTTTACTTAATTAATTCAAATTTAATCTTTTTTTTATAAAAAAACAGAAATGGCTAATTATTTTTCTTTATTGCTTTTCTTGAATATTTTAATTTATATAAATGCTTAATGCACTCAAAATTCTTCTAATATTGGTGGTGCTTGTACTTGTAATGCAGGCTATTATGGAACAAGTGCATCATCTAGTGGTTAATGTATATAATGTCCTAATAATTCCTTATCTGTAGCTGGTACATCGAATACAGGTTCTACTGTAAATTAAAGTGCTTGTAATTTATGTTAAACGGGCTATTACATGTCTTAAAGTGCCAATTAAAAATAAGGAACTGCAGCTATATGTGTATAATGCCCAAATAATTCTACTAACTCTTAATCCCCAACTTCTAGTGGTGACCCTTCTTAATGTAATGTTTGTCAAATTGGTTATTATATGTCTTAAGCAGCATCTGCAGGAACTAATGGATAATAAGGAAAAGCTGCAAATTGTATTTAATGCCCTGGAAATTCAACAAATGCATTAGGACCTACTAGCTAAGGTGATCCCTCATAGTGTAATTTATGCTCTATTAATTATTATATGACTTAAAATGCTACCTCAGGTAGCCCTGGAACAGCTGCTACATGTGCCTCTTGTCCGAATAATTCAGGAAATATCTCTCCTCCTTCATCTGCTGGGGACTCTTCATAATGTAATTCGTGCCTGTAAAATTTTTTCATGAGCAAGGCTGCTATTCCAGGATAAGCTGGTTAAATTGGTGTTTCTGCCACTTGTATTGCTTGCCCAAATAATTCTGGCAATCTTTAAGGACCAACTACAGTAGGAGATCCATTTTAATGCAACGTATGCGCATTAAACTACTATATGTTTTAAGTAGCAACATTTGGTTATCCTGGTAACGCGGCTTCCTGTATAGCTTGTCCTAATAACTCAGGCACTACATCGTAAGTTACAACAGTTGGTGACCCATCATAATGCAATGCTTGCCCAAATAATTACTATATGACTGCAGCAGCGGTCCCTGGATCAAGTGGAAATATTGGAACATCTGCAAATTGTACTAAATGTCCAAATAATTCAGGTAATAGTGCTGCACAAACTTCTGCTGGAGATATTTCTTAGTGTAATATGTGTCTTATAAATTACTATATGCAAAGTCCAGCAGTACCAGTATAAGGCACTAATCAAGCTTAAGCTGCTGTTTGTGCAGCTTGCCCTAATAATTCTGGTAATATTTTGGGAGTAACAATAAAAGGAGATCAATCTTAATGCAATATTTGTATCCCTGGATATTACATGACTGCAGCCTCTGTGATAGGTTCTAATGGTTAAGTTGGGACTTCTGCTAAGTGCTCTTAATGTCCTGGAAACTCGACTAATCTTTCAGGTGCAGTCAGCCCTGGAGATCCTTCTTAATGTAATCTTTGTGCTTAAAACTACTATATGTCTAAATCTGCTACCCAAGGAAATCCTGGAAGTGCTGCAGTTTGTATTATATGTCCTAATAATTCAGGGAATGCAGCACCTTCATCTTCTATAGGAGATCCTTCTGTATGTAATATATGCCCCTAAAACTTTTATATGATATAGGCTGCAGTTTCTGGAGTTAATAATAATCCAGGGTCTTCTGCTATTTGCAATGCTTGTCCTAACAATTCTGGGAATCAATCTGTTTCTACAGCTGGTGATGTTTCTCAATGTAATATGTGCTAACCTGGATATTATATGACAGCGTTTGCTTAGTCAGGATCTAATGGAAGTTCAAGTACATCAGCAGCTTGCTCTTAATGCCCACAGTATTCTACTAATACCGGAGCTACTACTCTAGGTATTTCTTCTTGTATTTGCTATGATTCAAATGCGATCGCCTTATCCGCATTATAAGCTACATGTTAATGCGCTCCAGGTTATGGAAATAGCACTGTGACTACCTAAGGAGCAGCTTCAACATGTATACCTTGTTAACCAGGATTTTATGAAAATGGATCAGGCTAATGTGTACAATGTGCTTAAGGTAATTTTGCTTATGGTGCAGGTAATCTTTAATGCACAGCCTGTCCACATGCTTCATAAACTCTACCTGACTTGTCTGGATGTACATGCTTTGATACTAGTGCTGGAACAATTATTTGGAGCCCGTTTTTAAATGTATGTGAATGCGATGCTAATTATTATGGAAATGCCGATTTATTAACTGCACCCTCAACAGGTTCATGCACTGCTTGTCCTGATGGACTAATTTCACAACCTGGATAAGCAAGAAATTCAACTGACTGCTATGTTTATAAATAAATTCTAAAAATTTCATATGTCTTAACAATAATAATTTTTATATTATTTTGATTAAATAATAAATTGATAATTATTGAAATAATTATGTTTATTGAGTATGTTTGTTTTAAATACCATCATTAAATTTTTTTCTTCAGTAGAATGTTTTGATTATAGGAAATTAAGGATTACCGTACAAAATATTTAATATGTAGTGGCTTCAATTAGCAATTTAATATTATTTTAAAAAAACTTTTTAGACCTAGATATTATATTAACTTCTTTTTGGGCTGCAAGTATTGTTTAAAGTTTAATCAGTATATGTAAAAATAAATATGATAAATGCTATGTAATTATTAAATATAAATAGCAAAATTTATGATTATTTTTATTAAAAAAGTAATCGTTCTATTGAAATTAATTTAAAATATAAACTATTAAATATTAATTTAATTGAATGTAGATAAAATAAATAAATTCAATTTAATTAAAGAATTTACAAGTAGAAATATTTTTCCTATCTTTGAAAATAGATGATAAATATTTTTTTAGTTACTTTTTTTAATTACTAAATAATTAATTAAAGCTATTAATTTATTAATTTATGTTTGTCAGATTTTATTGTATACGTATTCATGCTAGAATTTTTGATTACTATAGAAGACTTGTGATTTTTAAAATATTTTAAATGAAAAATTAGAGTAGAAGTAGTCAGCTGTTTTTTTATTTAATATAATCAGATGAGCAAAACAAATTAATAAAACATATTTTCATTAGAGATAAAATAGAGGTTTTCAGCTTTTAAGCTTAATCAAGTGGCCTCAGCTATTTAAGAGATTTAAACTGATTTTTCAATTAAAAAGAAAATTAAAATACATACGAAACCAAAACAGCTTGGAGTTTTTAATACTAAGTATTAAAATAGTTTATAAAATTGTGAAAATAAAAAAAAATATTTAAATATTTTTATTTGAAGTTGAAGTTGAATAATCAGAATATTTCTTTAACAGATAGTAAATTTGTTAATATTAATTTTGATGATAGGTGGGTGAGTGTTTATTTGTTTGTTTATTAAATTTTTTTTTTTTCAGTCAAAACTCCTTATTTTTGTTATTTTTGATAAAAGAGTTTTGTCTATAACTCCTATTTAATTGGTTCATTAGTGTTAAATTAAATAGTTGGTTGTTCTAATTGGATACTTTCTTTGATGATAATCAATATTTTTTTTTCACAAATATAATTAAAAAAATATAATTAGAACTGTTTTTTTCTCGAAAAGCCTAATCTTTAAGATTATTCTAAAGCATATTCCTTAATAAAAATTAAGCAAAAGGTAAAAGTGACCATAGCACATAGTCTGACTAACAAATGACAACTGCAATCAAAGAAATGCAATATAAAGAATTTAATCCATGTAAAATAAATTTTAATTTTTGTGCATTTTATTAAGAGTTTTTAATATAAACCTAGATAAACTTGCTTTTTATAGTAGTTTAGGGTACTGGGCAATAGATATGATTATGTATCCTTTAGACACAATCAGTACCAAAATCAAATCTTACTCAAAAGAGTTTCTTTCTTTTAGGAAAGGCTTTCATTAGGTCATCAACCATGGAGGATATAAGAGTTTATTTAGAGGATTTTCTACTACTTTCCCTTGTTGTTTTGTTCCTCAGTTGATTTATTTCTCTGCCTATGAGAGTTTAAATAGATTAGGAATGAAGTATATTAACAACATCAAAAGTGATAATTTACAGACCTACTTCAAACTTGGATTGCCTCTTTTTACAGCTTCTGTTTCAGAGATATTATGCCTTATTCCTTATATGCCTTTCGATGTTGTAAGGACTCGCCTTCAAATAAATGATCCAAATTTCTAATATAGAGGATTATTTTAAGGAGTTAGAGAAATATCAGAAAAGGAAGGATTGATCAGACTCTACCAAGCAAGTCCAATTTATATAGCTACAGTAACAGCATAGGTGAGTGTCTTTTTTTGGCTTTATGAGATGCAAAGATACTTACTTTTACATAATAGTAACCAAACTGAATCGAATGGTAAACATAAGTTGAGTTTAGCTCAAAGTGTAATGGTAGGATTTAATAGCTCTTTGTTTGCAACTTTTATTGTTAATCCTTTTGATTTGGTACTAACTCGTTTTTAAATGATAGATTCAAATTAGTAAACCTTATCAGTAAAAAGCTTAATTAAAGGAGTTGTTAAAAATGAAGGATATATAGGATTCTTTAAAGGAATAACTCCTCGTCTATTTATCTCCTGTGGAAACTCCATTCTATTCATGCCAATTTATGAACATTTCAAAAACTTATATGGCGTTGATCTAAGTTCAAATGACTGAATAGTAAATAATTAAGTAAAAATATCCATGAAAAGTTCTACTTTGATAAACAATTAGTAAAAAATTAAAAATGAATATTCAAAATATAAAAATATACAAAAATTTCTTATAAAATTTCACAAATAATAATTAATTTATTTCTAAAAAAAAAACAAAAATCTACATAAAAACTCTATATAATAACTTAATCAATAAAATTGATTAATTAAATGTATAAAATATAATTTAAAATTCCTTATATTATATACAATAAACTCTAAATATAATTAAAATATGTAATTTAAATTAAATTAATGTATATTTAATTTTGTAATTAATTAATCAATCTATCAATCAATTAGTTCAATTTAAAATCATGCAATTATTAACTTTAAAATGTGGTTTCCATTCTTTTTAATTTGGTCTTTTTTATTATAATTTATTTCGAATAAATCTAATTTTTATCTATAAATTAGGGTCTATTTGTTAATATCAAAAACATTTGAAATAATTTGATATAAAAAATATATTATAATCAAAGAATAATTATCATATTTTGAATTTTATCTGCAAAGCTAATTAAGAAATTTATTATCCTACTACATATAACTCATAAAATAATTTGATTATCATATCTTTTTTTTAATAAAAAGCAGATGGTTATTTAAATTTTCTTCACATACCTCAAAAATAAAAAAAATATGTATAATTAATGAATTAGCTTTAATTAGTTGTTAATGTAAAAATATATAATTTTGTTTCAAAAATTGATTTATGATTTTGATAAAAATAACATATTTGATTTCATTAATGAAAATTAATTGGTTTTAAGCAGAATAATGTTTTTCTATATTTTTATCAATATTATAATTAAGCAAATTAAAATAATAATAAGAATTAATAAATATGTAGTTATTTTCCTAAAAATATTTGTATTTTATGTGAATTTTAATGAGGTTTATTATTATTTATAAGCAAAAATGTTTGAAACAATGTCAACACACTATATATAATTTAAAATTTATCAATTTATGAAAATTGTAGTCGTTTAATAAATTATAATATTTATTTATTTGTAATATCTCGAGTAAAAAAATTAAAATGAATTAGTGTATTTAAGAGTAAATAGAAAACTCAAATGTTCAAGCTGTTGTAGAAGCTATTGTGTTTAAAAAATACTCTAGAAGTAGAAGACAAATTTCTTATCTTTCTTAGATAACTATTGGGGAACAGTAAGGTTTTATTATTTTGGAGTAAGAATAAATAGAATAAATTATTTCTGAAAATTTACTGGCAAACCGAATTGAGGTTTATGAATATGAATTGAGCTAATCAATATTTTAAAAAGAACTAAAAAAGTATTTAGCCACAAATGACTCATTAAATAATAATCAGCAAGGCTCAAATGAATAATAAAAGATAAACTAATAAGAACATGAGCTGAATGATTTTGAGCTTGAGAGTAATAAAGTTAATGTATCTTTGTAAAGAGAATAATAAATTTTTAGTGATTTTGAAGGTGAAAATATATGTGATGAGAAAAATATTTTGAATTAAGAAGAGATTTAACTCAGCGAAAATTTATAAGAGAAAGATGCTGCAGAAAATTTAGGGTTTATTGAAGAAAACTATGCTTAAAAAGAATCTAACACAAACAAAGACTAATAAGGTGATTAAGAGTAATTTAATGAATAATATATGCAGGCTGAAGACTTAGTTATAAATATTCAATCTCACTATTAAGAATAAGAGACTGAATAATTCCATGAATAATTGGAAGAATAATCGAAGCATGAATTAACTAACAAAGAATCTAATAATTTTATTGAAGAAAATATCCTAAATGCAAATTTAGTATAAAAAGAAAATGAAAATTTGGAATCAACAAATGAAAATAAGTGCTAAAATGAGTAAGAATAAAACCATTCACAATAAGATAATTAATAATAAATGTAATTGTAATAAAATAATTATGAATAAAAGTAATTTCAATAAGATAATTAAGAATTGATAAATAAGCAAGATTAGCTATGTCAAAATAATATAAATTACCACACTTAATTTTTAAAATAAGATAATTATTAATTTCAACAGCAGCAATAGAATGGATAATAACAAAATTTGTAATATACAATTTAATAAATATTCAATCAAGAAAATGATAGTGATAGTTAATCTTCCTAGCATAATAATAAATCTCCTCAAATTGAAATTAATGCTTAAGAAGCTTAGCTTGATTAAAGCAAGAAACAAAGTCATTAGAATTCAAGTATGAATCTGTCTTAAGGTAAAATGCACGGATAAAATAGTTAAGGAAAAAATTAAAATTTTTAGTTAAGTCAGAGTATTTAATTAGTAAATTTAATAGATGAAACTTCTCAATAATAAGATAGAAAACTAGAATTTGACTCTAAAATTGAAGATGAATCGATTCTATAGTAATAATAATAATAATAAAGCTAATCATAAGCTTTAAGCTAACAAAAAGAAGAAAAGATCATTGAAAACTTTGAACTTAGTGAAGTAAAAAGCGAGGATGTGAATTTATTAATTTAGAGTAAAGACAAATTTTTAGTTTCACAAGCTTAAGATACAAAAACAGAATTAGAAAGCCAGTCATCAGAACTTCTTAATTTAATCAATTAAAAGGAAAAACTACAAAAAAATGCTTAAATTGATAAAAAATTTTCTGAAAAAATTTACTAAAAAAGGTAAGTCAGTCAAATAAAATAAGATAATAAATAAAATAATTTAGACTTAAATAACAACAATAGACGTAATATTTAAAGCACGAATGTAAAAAATTAGCAAAATTCAATCGTTTTAAAAAATGATCAAGAGATTTTTAAGATGCCAACCAAAACACAAAAATCAAGATAATAAAATGAAAATCTATCTCAAAAACAAAAATAGGCAAGTAAAAGCAATCTCTGTTTAATCGAAATTGATTCAGACGATTATATTTGTGTGGATAACAAAAATTATAAAGTACTTTAAAAGCCCAAAGAAGTAACGATACAGCCTTCAATTTCAGAAATAGATTAATTTCATTCTTTAGAGAGCCATGATTTAATTAAAAAAAGTAAAGAACAAATAAAAATAACAAAATAAATTGGAGCTATGAAATATTTGGTTAATGAGTTGAGTAACAAAAATTAATATGGGTAATTTTCTAAAGACAAGGCAGACATTATAATTAACCATAAACTAAATATTCGTGAATAACACTAAGACGAAGTTTATACACAATTCAACATTACCAAATGCTTATATAAAGTTACATGGAAAAAAAGACCTTCTGGAAGAATTCCTCAACCCAGTTATTTCACTTTCAACGAACTATATCAAGTGGCTCCAAGGTTACTTCTAGAATATCTAAAGAAAATGGCAACACTGAAAGTGTGAATTTAAAAATTGTTAAAATAAGTCTAATTTTTTAATTTATTTTCTTTTAAATAATGTTTTTTGATTATTTGAATTTTAAAAATAAAAAAAGATAATAAGAACATAATATTATGCTAAAAATATTTAAGTTTATTTTATTAACCAATCACAGATATATCCTTAAAATTGTTGTTATATTTATATGTTTGTAATGTATTATTTTTAAAATATAATATTCAGAGTTTATTTACAAAAATCTTAATAAGTTAAATTTAAAATAACAAACGCTATCGAAGTTCATTTAATATGCTATAATATTTTTATAATTTACTATTTATTCATTACAACTAATAAAGATAAATATTTTGATTAATCTTATCAAAATTAGAAAAAATAAATATTAAAAAAATATTTTTTATATTAACCAATCAGAATTAATTTAATGATAAGATAACAAGAAATTTATGGAAGTAAATAAATTTGAAAATACTTATGTTTAATAATTATTTTTATTCTTTGATTCATATATATATATAGCAATTTGCTAATTTAAAATACTTGATCGCTAATAATGAGTGATCAAGCAATTTTTGAAGAAAAATTTTTAAAAAATGCTAAAATTAAAAATTTAATAGAAAAATCATAAAAATTGATATAAATTAAAATTATAAATATTATTAATTAAATTCTATTATAAAATTATTTATTTTTAAAAAATTAATATTCAAATACATCAGCCATTCAAAAAAATAGTGATCTCAATTCACTAAATTTTTGAATGGCATTTAGCAATAACTAAAATGAATAACGAACATAAACAATTATATATATTAGTCAATTATTGACTAGCTAATCAATAAATTGAATAATTTAAACTTTAATTCAATTTTAAGTTTTTAATATATCTTTATTATATATTGGAGTCTCAGCTTCAACAATATAATCACCAGTAAAATAAGTGTTTTGAGAAGATGACATGTTATTAGGAGTCAGATCTTTGAGCTCTATTATTATTTTTTAAAATTTTTATGTTAAGTTAAATTAAATAGTTTAATTATTACATATTTAGTTGAGTTTAGGGTTTCTAGAATAGTAAGGCCATTTATTTCTCATCTTCTTAAAAGAATTTTTGCCTTTAAAAATGTTTTACTTTTCATCAGGTTCAGAAGAGATTGTTTAAGTTAATTTGATAGATTTTGGGGATAAATTTATATTTTGTAAATTATTCTAGTTAAAGTGTTTTTGAAGAGATTCTTAAAAATCAAAATTTTGTTGATATCTTATCATCTATCTAATTTTTTATTTTATTTCTCTTACCTTAAAAAGTATTCTTATCTTTTATTTATTTTATATTTTAATATCAAATAATTAAGGATATTTATTATAAATTTTAAATATTATATTTTAAAAGCAATTTCTATCCCTTCTTTCTATAGGTATATTTAATCTTAATAGGCCTAATACTAGAATAAATATATAAATAAGATTAATAACGAAAACTAAAAATATCCAAGCATTTTAATTCTCATAGCCATTTTGATCATTAATTATCTATAAAAAGCACAAATTCAAAGATAAAGTATATATAAATGTAGATATTCTCTATAAATCATTAAAGTATTCTCTAACATATGGTTTAAATTTTATAAGCAAATAAAATTAGAAAAGCAAAATTGTATTCATAGCACCTACCTATCATTTTAAAAATATTATTTAAATAAAAGATTAGAAATATTTATTGAATAATTATTTTGATTTACTTCATAATATATTTATATTATAATTTATACACTGTAAAAGCTTATTTCAAAGTTTTTAAATATAATGAAAATGGAAAAAATTTCAAAAAATTCATATTATTACCAAAAAAATAATTTTTTTTTTTATTTTTATTAAAATAGAAATGTTATATTACCTTAAAATAAATATTTTGTTTAAGTATGATGGATATTAAAATCAATTTCATTTTGCAAAACAATTTCCAAAATTCCCAAAAATAATATTCCTCTTTGTAACCTGCAAATAAGTAAGAATATTTAATTTGTTTAATAATAGATTTTTATTTTTATTTAGTCTGATAAATTTTATAGAAAAGTAATAAAGGAATAAATAAGCCCCATAGTAATATTACTGGAATACTATAATAAAATATAAAAGGTTAGTGCTCATCTTTATCAAAGCATTCAACACTCAAGTCTAAATCTAAATATTTTTTATTTCCTATAGTTATACAGCTAAATGATCTGCTTGCTAGAGTAAAAATCATTGGAAAGAAGTAAAAGTAAATAAATATAACTGCAGTACGTAGGTATTTAAAATAAACATTTATTTTAAATACCAAATAAACAATTCCAATAAGAATATATATTAAAAATATTCCTAATGGTAGACTCAAAGACCATAGTGATTAAAATAACCATAAAGGTTATAATTACGGATACTGCGAAAAAATACAATCGATAGACTTACTAGTTAAGCTAGTAGGATTTCCTGATATCTGTATTGGAAGAGTAAATGAGCTTGGCATTTTGAAAGTAAAAGTACATATTAAAGATAATATTTATAAATGGTCAGTTAATAACTTAGATAAAATTTATGATCTATCTAGCTAACTTACTTTTTTTTTAAAAAAGAAAGAAAGAAAAGATATGATAAAAATAAAAAAAAAAGAAATTATTACAAGTTGAACCTAAATAAATGATATTCAATTTGTTAAGGAAGTAACCAGTAAGTTTAACTTCAAGTTAATTAATAATCCTTCTTAAGATAGTTAAAATATAACAAAATATTATAAAGAAGGTAATCAAATTATAAATTATAATTTAGACTAAGTTTTCTTAACATTAATAGCAATGACCAGGAGTTAAAATTTCAGAATAGTTTGATTCCCATATTTCACCATATGTGTCACAGCTCTCACATAGAGGTCCTTTGTAACCTACATCACAGTTAAACTTTTAAATTTAAGATTAATAAACATAAAAATTCAATTTTTATATAATTGATTAAAAATATATAAAATAAATATTTTTAAACTATAACAAGTTGAATAGATTATATAATCTTTTTAATTAATTTTCAATTTATTAATATATATATATATATATAAGAAAAAATTTAATTTACTTTAGAAGTAGAAAGTTCTGGTTTACAGGATAATGGATTATAACTACAATATTAAATATTGTCTGTTTCATCATTTTCTCTCCAATATCCATTCTATAAATAAATATTTGAACCTATACACCTAAGAGCTGAATCAGGACATAATTTACATTAATTATCATTCTAATTCAGTGAGTATTTTCCATCTGGACAAGATTCACAAGCAATAGAATTGCCATATTTTACAAGTATTTCTCCAACTGAACATTATTCCATAAAAACTTTCGCTTTTAATTCTGCTTACCCTCCTATAACTATAATATGTCCATTTGAATCTTTAATTTATGGAAACACATTACTCACTATATTTAGGGTCATATTGGATATTGGCTTATAAAATATTTAAACATCTAAGCTAAAGCCTCCATCTGTAAATGATTTTGTTTAAAGCTAACCAACACATTATATTTACTAATTTTCTTATTCCCAAGTTACCGAAACACTAATTTATTATATTAAAGATTACACATCATTACTCAATTAACTAAATTCAGTTGAATTAAAATCTAGTAACTTTAATGGATTTTCTTCTTCGTCCAACAACTATACTTTTTTAAAACTTATTTAATTTCCACTCTTAAATTATTTGATTAATATGCTATCATCTTAAATAGTTTTCAAAATTTTAATTGATGCTTCAATGTTATCTAAATCAATATACACTTTCCTTAAAGTAGAACCAAAGTTTTGCCCAAAGATTCTTCCAACATTATCTTTAAAAGTGTTGTTATTGTTAATACTACTTTATAAATCAATAATAAATTATGGAACAATTTGTGTATAGTATATACCACCACCTATCTAAGCTAAATTAGAGGATACCACAGAATTTTACATTATTAAATTACTATTCTGTAAATAAATTGCTCCTCCAGAAGAATAAATTGCTTTATTTGATATTAGCTATATTTAATTTAATTTTAAAATGCCCGTTTATATTGTATTTTATACGAATATAGCTCCTCCATTCAGTGCCAAACATTAATTTAAATAAAATATTGAATTTAATATATTAATAACTTTATTTTCAGCTGCATAAATAATTCCTCCAGGACCATTGCTATTTGTATTGTTTCTAAATTAACTATCTGTTATAGTTACAGTATCACAATTTTAAATTACAAATATAGAAGTATATTAATTTTAGATATTTACCACGTTTTTTATTGTTACATTATCCAAAACTATATTAAAGAGCCCATTTAAAAATATCAAAGGATTGTTATTTGATATTGTGAAATTTATGAATTGTGATTAAGAAATATTAGCATATCCTCCTTTGTTTTGTTAATTTATATTAATCATTGATATTTCATTATCTAATGAATAAATATTGTTAATATAGGAATTAGTGAAGCTTTTTATATCGATTAATTTACTACCAGCTGCTTTTGAAAATGGTTTACTGTTTGTGATATTAAAATAATCTAAATTTATTTATTCTGCTTAAATACTAAAAATAGTTTATGAAACATCATTATAATCTATAGCAATATAAGATAGTTTAGCTGTCTGAGCCTGAATAGAGAAGTTCGTATCGACACAATTGAGTAGTGTTACATTATTTAGCATAAAATTACCACTCATGTATTAAACTGTATTAATATCTTACTCTTCAATTTAAATTACCACAACTTCTGTAGAGTTCTTAACTAAAATGTTCTATATAGATGAGGTAATCGTACTTTGTATATAGTAAACAAAAGAAAATGAATTTTTGTTTAAAAAAGTATTTGTAATCGTAAGATTTTTAATTTATTTTATATCAAAAGTGTTAGTTAAATGAGTGCAATTCTATATGTTAATATTTGATATAGTCACTTATTCGCTATAGAGAATCTAGAAAATTTAATTCAAAGATAGGTCAGAAATATAAACATCATTTATTATTACATTGGTGTTATTACTTAAAACAAATAAAAACTACTTTTGCATCTATATTTCTTTCAAGAATAATTAATCTATTACCACTAAATTACAGTTATAAATAGTAATCTATATATCACTTTGGGGTATGATTTATAACTATTGCAAGTAAATTTTGTTAAAATGTGATAAATTAATTGATTTATATAAGGTTAATGACATGTTAAGCATTTAGAAATTGTTCATCGTCTTATCTTAATTCAAATCAATTTATGTTTATATTATTAGAGACATTTATTTTAAAATTAAATTCTTTATTTATTAAGAAAAGCTAATATTACTTTACCAAAATATTTTGCTCATGTTACTAGAAGATAGCTTTAAGCCAATTTAATGCATTGGTTCAATGCTTTAGAATTCTATTTAAACGTCAATTTATTATAGTGATTATCCATCTTAATATTCTATTTCTATTAATGAGAGTTTCTATTAAGTAGTATTCAAAAATAATGTTCGCTAATCTAGTATTGCTTTTGTGTAAAAATTCTCAGATGTTCTATTTTGTTGTTGAATTTAAATAGAACACAAATTATTTTATGAGAGAGGTAATTATATTTTAGAAACATTATCATAGCTAGACACTATCAAAGAAGCATAAACTTAATTATTTACGTCCTTAATAAGTTAAAAACTTTAAAAAAATAAATTATCTTAATGATACTCATAAACCATTTTATAATTGTTATTATATTACAATTATAATACAGACAATTTTTTTTTTTAAATGACAATAATATAATTATTATAGTTCATACTTATTACATTATTTGCTTCAGATATACCTCTATTTATAGTATAAAACTACTGCTCAAAGCTTATTCTATTATAAATTATGATATCATTAGGGCATATAGAATATACATAATTAGCATCATATGATATAAATGCTTATTTTAAGCAAGGATTCGATATTGAAGTAATAAGTTCTAATGTATAACTAAAAATATTCGTATTTGCTTAATTATTAACAATATATATCATCTATTTAAAAGGATCACATACTATGTTGATGATTTTTTATTCCATTAGAGATTATTATAAAATAACTTAATTACTTACTAAATCAACAATAGAAATAATATAGCCAAAGCTATTTTATTAAAGAACGAATATATTTTTTATAAACTATCCTTCTTATATTTAATCCATAGTATTAATTCTATTATAGTTTTTAAACAAAGTTTTAGAAATATTATTTTCAAATTAACTAATTTATAATTTAAAAATTTATTTTATTTAACCTAAATTAAGTAATTAAATTATATTAATTATATTTTTTTGAATGTTATAAACTTAAATGGTATTAATAAATGCTGTAACTATAAATTAACTGCAAATAAAGGATTAAGATGTGTCAAACTCCTATAAACTTGTTAAAAAAACCTCACCTTACAAATAATTTTATAAGTTAATAGCATATAATCTGAAGTTTTAAAAGTAAAGCAAAAACACTTAATTTGATATACTATCAAAAAAGTAGTTATCAGGTGTATCTTATAATCTAATTTAAAATATTTATGTTAAAGAATTTGTTTCTAAGTTAACTTAAATAAGTCTTAATTAATTATATGTAATGTATATGAATTCATTTTCAGATACTAATATTGGTTCTGTGAAATATGGATAAAGATTTTATTAAAAGGGCTCTATAATCAAACTATCAACAATTTATGCATTTTTAAATAAATTCAAAGAGAGATTAGATAAGCTATAATACACTTAGTATTCGTCATTTATGTTTATATTTTAGATTCTTTAATATTACAATAAGTTAATTTCGCTTGCATATAGTATTTCTGTTAGATCAAAACTAATAAACGCAGTACTTGTTTACACTTTCAATATCGAAATTTGTGAATTAATAAATATGTTTAAAATATTTGTCTAATCATATTATTGTAAAGATAAAGTTTCAATTAGCTACATTTCTGGAAATTTTAGAGCATAAATAAACTTGTATGAATATAAGAAGATTACCAATTTATTTTATTCCATCTAGATTCCCTAAGTATCTTTGATAAGTGTATTGAAAGTTGTGACATTTCTATATAGATAGTTGCATAAGTATATAATAGGAGTTGAGTCAACTACAATTAAGCTAGCTTACTCCTAAAAATAATAGTTAGCTCCTTACAAAAAAGAATTTACTGTATAGTAAGTAAATAAAATTTGATCTCCAGGAACATTAATAATATTTATTTATTTTGTCACACCAGTAACTCCAATTAGTATTTCGTTCTAAAAATCATAATAAATATTTGTATTATTTTATATGTAATCAAATAAACCATTTTGACTTGTATAATTATTTTTTTGAAAATAACTCAGTCCTTATTTTATGAAGCATATAAATAGCTAGTCTTTGATGCTTATTAGTGGGATATCTTAGGAATAGTTTATATTTTATGAGAACAATTAGTAAAACTATATAAAAAAAATAATTAATATTGATAGAATTATTAAAAATAGTATTAATAAATATTTTATATAAATTATTCAATTACTTGTTGAAAATATTATATGTTTTAACCAGAAATTAAGTCTAAAGTTTTTACAATAGGAGAGTAAATAATTAATAGGTTTTCAGCGCATACTAAATTAAATTTAAGTTTAAACGTTATATATATTTTAAGAGCCATAAAGCTTGTATCTACTTGCAATTAAACCCCTGTTAGCACCTATTAGTTTAATTATAAATTAAAATTAAAACATATTTATAAATTAAACTTAATTACTTGAATGATGAATAAATTTTAGTTTTAAGTTTTAGCAACTATGATTTATTGCTGCATGCAATATTAATACTCTGTAATATTCGATTCTAACTAAGCAATTATTTTATTTTATTAATTTATTTTTGGATTAAATAAATTCATATTTTGTCCTTGCGCATATATAAAACTATTTTGATCCCAATCTAATATTTTTATTGGTAGAATTAAATCGCCTAAAATTATGTTTTGATTTCCTACAATTAACTATTTATTTTTTATTATATCACAAATTTAGACACATTTGCAACTACTGTCATATAAGGCTATTAGATTTTTTCCATTTTTGAAATAAAAATCTTAAATAATTTAACTTGAAGTAAAATTAAGAGCATTAAAAGGTATGTTAAACAAATTTTTGTGCCAATAAACTCCATTTTATGATGAAAATATATGAAATTATGTATCATCCATTTGTATTTAGCCAATTAAACTATTATCTTCTTATTAGGTTTTGATGATAATCATATTATTAATATCAATTATATTTCCAGATTTTTTTACATAAGTAATGCTTAATTAGTAAAAATTATATGTCACATAAAGTGAATAAGTAACAGCTTCTATAATCTAAAATTATCTAAGTTCCATGTCAAATTTATAAAAGTTTTAAGAATCAAAGTAAAATACAAATCTATCATTTTAAAAAATACTTGTAGCGTAGATTTAAGAAGTTGGATATTATATCCCAAGATTTAATCCAGTTAAGCTTTGTAAATCATATGAATATACGAATATTGTTCCATAGTAAAACATAAATATTTCTTTTGTTTTTTAATATGCAGTTGTAGGACTAGTAGGGAGTAGTTATAACTAAGTTGGTTGCATAATAAAATTTTATTGATTTAAAGAGAAAGGCCTACAAAATTATTAGTTATTTTAATTACATAAATAAATTATTTCCTTGTTAATAATGAGGGGATAGTTTGAATTAGTGCCTATAGTCCAAAAGAAAGTGTATGTACTTTACTTAAAATTAAATATTTGAGTTTTTTAAATTGTAGATAAATCTAATTTAATCAAGATTACTTCTTATTAACTATTAAATGATTGGAAAATTAGATAATCATCATTGATTATTACAAATTTTGAAAAATTTAAATTATCCTTCTTATTATCTATAAGCTATAATGAGTTATCTAAATTATAAATTTAAGGAACATTTTTAACTATTAAAATATTTCTTTTTTAAATATAAAAGAACTTATAATTTTAATTAATATAAGTATAGTTATATGACAAAATTTATTTTTGCTGAATTATGTCAATAACGTAATGGTATATTACTATATTTATTTATTATTAAAGTATAATATATTTATTATTAAAGTATAATATATTTATTATTAAGTTACTAAATAAATTGATAAGTTCCTTATGAAGTGTTTCCATTTTGCTAAAGTTTTAAAATTTGAGTGTTAATTTGAGGGGCTCTTTGATATCCTTAAGCTGATTCTTAAATCATAGCAAATCCAATAGTTTAATTTACAAATCTTTACTCACCATCAAAAATATAAATCTATTATTAGCTATTAGTAACATCTGACATAGTTACAGCTAATTGAATTTAATTCATTTGAATTGAGTTAAATATATAAAGGGTTTTAAATTGATATGGTGCTAAGTACTTCATTTAATATGTATAATCAGTTAGATTATACCTAAATCTAATAAATTATTAATAAGGAGAAAAAGTAGATAAGACTTGGGATACAAAAAAATCTATAGTATTTTGATCATTCATAATTTTTACACTATTAATTATTGATGACTAAGTAACAAAAGCATAATTCAATTAGAATTAAGATAAAATATTTTCTTATTATCTTTCATTTTAAATAATTAAAAAATTTGTTATATTTATTATTTAAAGAGTTTCAGAAAATATAAATGCTATAGTAGAATTTGTGTCTCTATCTTCAAATAGTTAAAATGAGTTTAGTTATGTTGATGTTATATTCATTGTTTAAATTATTTATTCTGATTATTTATTTAGCATCAATATTTCTAAGTTGAAATGGTCTTAATTCTTTTAAATAATAGAATTTAGCAATTCTGAATAATAAGCTAATTACTTGGTTGATGAAAATTATTTTATTATTTAAACCATGCTTATCAGATCTTATTTTATAATAATTTTTGATATTTAATAAGTATTATTGGTTGAAATAGAAAATAAAATCTGATAATCATTTTATTATTTAATATTTTTAAATTTTTAATTATCCAAATTTTGTTAATGAATTTTATTAAATTTAAAAGATCTATTTGAGTCCAAAATTGCCATCTATTTTTAAAAAAATCTAATTAAAAAATAATTATTTTAAAATTTTTGTAAAAAATTACTTGAAATACACCTAAATCTGTCTGCATGAGATAACTTGTAAATGTATCATTTTAAATTTAAGAAAAAAACATGAATGTAAAAAATCCAAATTATTATTGGTTTATCTATCTATTTATTGCATCATACCATATAATAGTATCACCTTAGTACAAACTTAAAAAAACAATTTAGTTTTTTTAATCTATATATTAAACTGAGTAATCGAGATTTGTATCATTCAATTGAAAAACTACTTCTTGTGTTTTAAAATTAACAACAATTAACTAGCTCCCTGCAGAACATCCCCCTTAATCTCCAACTATAAAACTTTTTCTCTAAATTTCTTATCCATTTACAACATATAAATCATTGAAATTTTCTAAATTTTACAAGACTTACACATTTATTATGTTCCAATTTTAGTCTACTAAAGCAAAAGTACAACCATTTCCCACTACTAAATATTAGTTTTAATTTATTTATTAGATTTATAATACTCTTTCTTCAAAAGAGAGTCTCTTACTTTCTTGAATTGATATGCAATTTATGGTCTCTTCACAAGTTTAAGCCTCCATATTTTAGTAAAATGTTGGTTAGCATTCTTTTTAACATTTTTCAAGATTTGATGTTCCCTAAATAAAGCCATTCAAATATGAGCAAACATTATCCATTAGTATACACTAATTATTAATTTAATCAAGCTTTAAATTTTAATCGCATTCAACGCATTTTTAATTTTCATCGCATTAAACACATCCAAAAACTTAGCATTTTACACACTCGTTGTTTTCATTTTAAAACTCATTGATTTAGCATTTTTGAACGCAAGCTGAATCATCATTAGAGCTTTTAAATAAATTCTACTTACAGGTTATGCAGGAAGATGGTTCTGTATTAAAGCAGGTCTAACACTCATTAGAGCATTATAAGCATGATTAAGTAACCATAGAATATATTTGATTTTATTTGCATTAAAATGAAATACAAAATTTAACTAGAATCAAAATATAAGTTATTTTTAATGGATTCATTTTTGAGTTTATCAGTTTTTTTAATTTATTTGACAATAAGGTTTTTTAAATGATCTTTTAACATAAAAATTTAATTATATAATTTTCAATATTTAAATAATAAAGCTTGAAAGAAAATATGATGAATCAATATTTTTGTAAATTTCATTTAATAATATTTTTCTTCACCCATAAAAATCATAAATAGATTAATTATTTGTAATCAATAACAATAACTTTCATTCATTTTTGAATGAAAATTTTGATCATTTTTGAGTTTACCTGTTTTTTTAAACTGATAAGAAAATCATATTTTTTAATCTAAAAATCTAATTAAATAAATTTCAATTCTTAAATAATCAAAGTTTTAAGAAAATAGGATAACAAAACATTTTTTAAATTTCCTTTACTTTTTATATAGTTATTTAAATAATATTTTTCTTCACACAAAAATTTATAAATAGGTATTTATTAGTAATCATTAACATAAAATTTCATTTATTTTTTTTTAAACTGATTAGACAATAAGGTTTTTTTAATTTAAAAATCTAATTAAATTTGAAAGTAAATAGGAAGAAACAACATTTTTCAAATTTCCTAAGCATTTTTTATAACTATTTAAATAGTATTTTTCTTCACAAATAAAAATCGTAAATAGATTATTTATTAGTAATCAATAACAAAAAACTCCATTCATTTTTGAATGAAAATGTTGATCTTGTTTTATTAAACTAATTAGACAATAAAGTTTTTTTAGTTTAAAAATCTAATCAAAGTTGAAAGAAAAAGGATGACTCAACATTTTTTAAATTTCCTATGCGTTTTATATAATTATTTAAATAATGTTTTTCTTCACCCATAAAAATCATAAATTGATTACTTATTAGTAATATAACAAAAAATTACACTCATTTTTGAATGAAAATTTTGATCTTGTTTTTTTAAACTGATTAGTCGATAAGGTTTTTTTATCTAAAAATCCAATTAAATAACTCAATCAATATTTAAATAATCAATTTTGAAAGAAAATAAGATGAAGCAACTTTTTTAAATTTCCTTTACTTTTTATATAGTTATTTAAAAAATATTTTTCTTCAGACATAAAAATAAATCGTAAATAGATTATTTATTAGTAATCAATAACAGAAATAAATGAGTCCTAGCTGTGAGCCCCTAATTTTTTTTATATTAGATAATAATAAATTATACATAAATTTTAAAAAGATAAAAATTCATTAATTATTATATTACAAACTTAGTGCAAGAAATTAAATCAAAAAATAAAAAGAAAGAGTAGAGTGTATTAACTTTTGAATTTCAATAAAATATTATTATTTTTTAATGAATAAATTTAAATAGATTGAATTATATATTTTAGATGTTAATATTATTTAAAATGAGTTAAATTGCGTTTAATAACTTTATTTTTTTGATTTTAAAAAGTGCATAGAACTATAGATTTTTGTTAAATTATTAAATTATTCTTGAGTAAATGGTTTAGACTTAACTAATAAATAAAACTAGATCAACAACACAAGATTCAAAATACTTACCTATAGCATTATAAAAATTATTTTTAAATAAAAAAAGTAATAGGAAAATATATAAAACTATGGGATGGATAGATAGTATTATTTATTTTAATTTTAAATGATAAAAAATATTTTTTTATTTTTTATCTTGATTCCAAGGTTAACTAACGAATTTGCTTGATTTAAAAATAAATTACTGTATATTCTCATTAATTAAGGACTTTTTTGAGTGGTATTTAAAAAATGTTTATATTAAATAAAGTTTGTGTTTATTTGCAATTAAACCCCTGTTAGTATCTATTAGTTTAATTATAATTTAAAATATATTTTATAAATTAAAATTAATTACTTGAATGATGAATAAATTTTAGTTTTAAGTTATTTATTATTATATAAAATATTAATACTCTGTAATATTCGATTCTAACTTAGCGATTAATTTATTTTTTGGATTGAATAAATTCATATTTGGTCCTTGCACATATATAAAACTATTTTTATCCCCTTTTGTTTTGTAATATGTAGCTGCTGTAGGATTAGCAGAGGGAATAGTTATAATTCAGCTGGTTCCATAATAAAATTGTATTAATTTAAAGAGAAAGGTCGACAAAATTATTAGTAAATTTAATCGCTCACAGAAATAAATAATATTAATAATGAGGGGATAGATTGAATTAATGTCTATAATCCAAAATAAAGTGTATGTACTTTATTAAAAATTAGATATTTGAGTTTTTTAAATTGTAGATAAATCTAATTTAATCAAGATTGCTTCTTATTAATCATTATAAGATTGATAAATTAGATAGTCATCATTGATTATTGCAAGATTGAAAAAATTTAAATTATCCTAATCATTATTTATAAGCTTTACTGAGTTATCTAAATTATAAATTTAATGAACATTTTTAACTATTAAAATATTTCTAATTTAAATATAAATGGAACTATATAAATAATAATCAATATAAGTATAATTATATGACAAAATTTATTTTTATTGAATTATGTCAATAATATTTTTTAAGTATTTATATTGTGTTGATTAAAAAATTATTAAAAGATTCTTTTTTCTTAAAATGTTAAAAAAGATTTTATAAAAAGGATATTATAATAATATCTTCAATAATTATTTTACAACTAAAAGTTTCATTTAGCAAGTAAATAAATAAATTTTGACAGGGATTTTAATAAAAATCTTACCAAAAATTTGTATTTAGATGATAATGAATGATAATAAATATTAGAAATACATTTAGAAATATTGAAAATTAAAATGAATATTTATGTGGTAAAAAATTGAGCAATTTATTATAATTTGAATTAAAAGTACTTAATTTGTGATTAAAATATGATGATAAAATAGATAATTATAAATTAAAGGATTAATAGACAGTTATGGAGAGTAATTAAGATATGAACAGATGGATGCATTTAATTATATTATTTTTTAATAAAATTATTAAAAAAGTAATTTATTTATTTTTTTATTGTTGATCAAATGTTTGTAAGTGATTTACAGAAATTGCTGTATGAAAGATAGTTGTTATTCATGATTCTGTTGTTTTCGTTTTAAAATGGAGATTAGTCTTACTTTTTACAGTTTTATTAATTTTGGTTTAAGTACTAGAGAGAACTCGCTATTGATTGACTATGTCTGTGTTTGAAGTTTTTTTTATTTTTATATTTATCTAGACTGTAATGTGATTAATAGATATTCTTTAAGCTTTTATCTGCTTAATTATTTTTATGGCTAGGAGTGTTATAAATATTTATTTCATCTTTTATTCTTTTAACAGGTGAGTTTTAACAAGATTTAGTTGTAGATTCTGAGTTAATGTACTTTTCAGCTTCTTCTTTTACTTTAAATTACTTTAGAATTCTTCTTTACTAGATAATATTAGCTGTAAATGCGTCAGAGCTTTCAAAAAATTAATTATTTTCATTTTGCTAATTCTTCTTAGGCTCTCTTACAGAGTATTGGCGCATCTTTTTTATTGGTGACATATCTTCAAACACATGCTTACCAGGTGTTTCTTATAACTAGTATGTGTTTTAATTTTGTAAATTTATCGCTTATGAATTAAATTTATCTTTTGCAATTGTATTACTCATTCTGATTAATGGTTCTACTCTCTTAACTTCATCCTCAAAATTTTAGGAAATGTAATTTTCTCCCTATGACTATTTGCTATATCTAGAACTAAGGTATCTTTTTAGTAGCTAATTTTAGGTTATCTTGCTATTTAATTAAGCAGCTTTTTATTTTTAGTTTCCACTTTAAGGAGAAGAATAATTTTACTATGAATTCTAGGCCTTAGGATAATAACTTTCTCTGCAAGCGTTTGCAATAATTTACTTGTCTTCAATAGAATCAATAGATGGACTTGCTTGTTAAAAATGGACTCTCGGAGGCACTATTTCATTCAAATCCATTTCAATACTATTTTATCTGCTCTTAAGACAAGTAATATTAACATTAGAACCTGTCTTATTTGATATCTGATTATATAGTGCTGATATTTTATTTTCAAATCCACTATTATATAATAAGCTAGTATTAGTAGAACCTGATTAATTTCCGCTCATACTATTACAGTATAATTAAGTTTGCTATCTCTTCAAGTTCTAAATACTTTCTTCAATTATCGATGAGTGCTTTTTAGACAGTCTTTGTAATGTTGATCTTTTGAATGGTGATCTTGAATTATTGTTGCTTTTAGAATGAATCAAAGTAGTAGTTGTGTTGTTATCAACTGTTTGGTCATTCGCGCTAGTTGAAGCTGTAATTTAATTACTTTGGTAGTTTAGAGGAATCTTCATACCTTTCTATCTGCACATATTAACAATATGTTTTAAGTGAGATGATAGTGTTTCTTAATATTAATTGTTTATTTTCTCCCCATAATTTTTTATTTCATTCATAATTTCTTCATTGAATAGCGATTTCATCGTCTCATAGCTTATTGCAAATATTTTTGTAGGATTAATTTAACTCCTAGCTGTGAATTATCTAAGAGATCTATTAGCTGCTAGAAATTCTGTACCGAAGATTTCATTTGAGTTTATGGTATCTATCAGGATTTATTGCTTGAGTCTTTTAGCTGATATTTCTACTTATCCCTCTACAAGCACATAGAGGAACTATGAAGTATCAAAATTTTCATGATAAATCGATTGATTTTTTGTAAAGCACATCTCGTTTACACCTCTCATTACCTTTTATAGAATATCTCTTTCAAAAGCTACACTTTAAAAATACTTGCTGAGAATACAAAATAGCTTTGTCTGGATTTAAGCATTCTTTTTGAATATTTCACGTTAGTCTTGCTGATTTAAAACAAGAGCTTAAACTGCGTTAAGAGCAACTATTTGATAATTAGAAGAGCTTTTGCTGCGCTCAAAGTGATCAGTAAGCGGTCCCACACAAACTCCACTCTTTATAATTTGGGTTTACTTATAAAGACACTCGTTATCTATATTAAAATTAATTTAATGTCTCTGAATATCCTTAGATAGCAGTTTCACTTATTCGTGTTTGTAGTAGAAATTAAAAACTTTCTCTGCCTTTAAATATTCTTCTTCAAGCTTGACTTTCTCATTTTCATCTTTAGTTTCTTCTATTTTTCTCTTTATTTTTGAAATTTGTTATCTCCAATAATGTTCCTGCTTGATTTCTCTATCATTCCTCTCCTCAAAGAGACCGACTTCGCCCTTCAAGATGAATATGATATCTTCTTGTGACTAGTCGGTTAGATATTCACCCTACTTATATGTCTTGAAAAAAACCTTAGCAGCAGCAAGTTCAATTAATTCATTCTCTGTCTAAACATTTTGATCTTTAAAGTAATTGAATTAGCGCAAGACATAAACCAAGTCCTAGCATGGAGGCACAAATTCTTAGTGCTTATTATCTTTCAGTTTTTGCAATAGATTGGAAGGAAAATCAAAGATTTTATTTTAAAAGACAATCATCTCATTTGAAGATGTCTGACAAAGAGAGTTTAACATTTTAAAAAATTTGATATGAATATATCAAGTTTATTTAGCTAATTATTTATTATCAAAAATTAATTGTTTATACTAAGATAACTAAATACTTTTTTTTCAATTTTTTAATCAATCAAAGTATCCATCTATTTGAATTACACTCACTAAATTTAACTAACACTGATTTATTATTAACTCAAATTATAAAAATATTATTTATGATCAAAAGATTTACTTTATTTCAGTAATTATTTCTTAGTGTTGAACTTAGTTTATTTTTACAGTCTATCAAAATAACCCAAAAAAATTACATCATATCAAAATATCTATCTTTATATATGATAACTAACTAAATAAATATTGAATAACTTTTATTTTACCCATGTTGTTTTAATTAATTGATTATAATCAAAATTCTTTTCTGAAAAGTAATAGCTATCCAAATATTATTCTCAAAATCAGTATTTTTCCATTCTAATTTGGTTATCACACAATACTTTTTCACACAATTTTAATATTTTTGTTTACTCGTTTCAAAAAAAACCTGAATTTTTTTTATATTAACATTTTCATAATTTGTGGAAAAATTGACAATGATAGTAATTATCTATAGTACAAGCACCACATAATTTGATCAATCAATACTGATAATCAGTAACTAATTTAGTTAGTCTTTCTTGATTTCTATTTGAATAAATAAATAATTATTATTATATTTAGCTAAAATGGTATCTAAAATCCTTTTTTTTCTACAACAAAGATTTTTATTAATAGGTTAATTTTGATTCTCATATTATATTTAAATATATTTCATATTAACTATGCTAGTATATTTAGAATAAATATTTATTTGAACTAAAATAAATCATATTTATAGAAAATTTTCTTTACTTAAAAAGACCTCAAAACTGAGCATTTTTTAAAAAATAAAATGTAATATATTTTTTAATTAAAGTAGAATTAATTTTATTTAAATGTATATTTAACTATTTAAGTTGTCCTTATTTGTTTTAATTCAGCTTTTTTCCATTAAAAGTAATTTAATTTAAGTTATTCAAATACATTCTTCAAACTGATTGCTTGTTTAATTTTATATTCTCAAATACAAATAAACAAAAAAACAATATTTTAATAATTTCTTAATTTAAAGATTACATTGTTTCTTTTTCTCAAGCCTTTAGAATAAAATTCAATCAAAATTTTTTAAATAAATAAACATTTATAACTTTTTTTACATTTTAGCAAAATATTTTTTTTTAAATTCTTTATTTTTTTAAAATTTTTATTATTTATACAAATTAGTAAATAAAAAATGGAAAATAAATGATGCAAATAGAGATTTTGTATTGCTTAAGAAAACAAAACTCTTTGCTCATTCAAACAATATATAATTTGATAATTTAAAATATTAGTTTTAATAAGTATCAATTTAAAATCGATAATTTATTTTTGTTTTATAAATACTATTTAAAATTATTAACAAAAACACATTTCAAAACTTTAAAAAATGTATATTGTCTAAAATAAACTTTAGAGATGTTTCCATCTTTGTCACTAAATAATATAAATAAATTATGTAGTTAATAAAATAAAAATAGATAAAAATTTATTTATTTTAATACTGATAAATTCAAATTAATTTCATTAATATTTAAATAAATAACAAATTGAAATCTGTCTTCGTTTGAAAATTGTAAAGGGGAAAATAAATTTTTAATAAACAAAAAATTGATTAAATTAAGAAAAAGAAAAAGAATGTATTAGATATTTAAGCATAAAAGTTTTTAAAACCACTTATTCAAGTGATGGTATTTATCGATACCCAGATTAAAGTTTTTAACCATCATCATGCTTAATATGTCTCATACAATTCAACATCTTAAATCTTTAATAGATTTCAAAATGAGTAACATTCATTTTGGGAATTATCGCATAAATATTATTAAACCAGACAAAAAAATACTTTCTTTACCCATAATATTATAAAATAATAAACATAATTTAAGAAATAAGAACTAAAGGCAATTGAGCATTCAAAGAGCTATCTAGAGAGCAATAAAGAAGAGCTTACGCATGAGAGCTATAATATTTTACTTTTATAAAAATAAAAATAAAAAAAATACATTTAAATAAATATAAATCAAATAAATTTAATTAAATAAAAATCAAATAAATTTAAATAAATAATTAAAAATAAAATAAAAAACTAAGTGAAAAAAAATAATTAAAAGAAAATAAATATATAAATAAAAATAACAATCAAAATTAACAAATCAAAGAGTTAATTGTGATATCATTTTTTAATTTTTAAATGATATCTTTTTTATTTTGAATTTTTATCTCTAAATTAATAAAACTATTATTGTTGCATTTATCCACTTTATAAAATTATTGCAATTAATTTTGAATTATATATATACTTTATTTTTAGTTTTTCTAACCATTCATTCATTCATCCATCCATCCATCCAATCAATAAAATAAAATTATATTCATAGAACAAGTTAATTTTAGAAACTAATTTGTCATCTTTTCATTTGATAATTAATTTATTAATAAAAATTTTTTCATTTTTCAAAAAAAGTGCTTATAAATATTATATTTTGTCATTTCTCACAAATTAACCCTTTTATTTTAGTTAATATCAATTAGTATTTTTTTAAAAATAATACCCAAAAATATTCAAGAAATTTTTTGAAAAAAATAATAGCAATAAACAACAGCATCATTAATATATTTATTTATTAATTTTTTCATTTAAACTTTTTAGATTTTTTTTAAATCAATCAATAAAAAGAAATTGACTTTAAATATATTAAAATATCGAAAAAAAACACAATTAATTTTATAAATACATAAAATTTATAGTATTCAATATATTTAAATATATTTAGTAAAGATTTTGAAAAAAAGCTGAAAATAATGATTTAAATTTTTAGATAAAAAATAATGGATGGAATTTGTATCAATAATTCATTCATTCAAACCATTCAAAATATAAATTTATTTAATGAATATTGATCAAAAAATATTTGAAACAAAAATATAAAAATAGCTTATAAGTAGACTTGAAACAAAACTATCAGATATATATACAAAGACAGACAGATATATAGATAGAGTATATATACAAAAATTGCTTGATTAAATATAAGATTGATAGAAGTAGGAAAATGGAAGTAGAAAAAAAGGATTAGAAAAAAGGAGACGTTATTTAAGAATCTAAAGAGTATTTAGATTAGTTTTAAGCTAAAAAAGATGAAGAAAACAATCAAAAAGAAGAACAAGTTATTAAATTTACTCATAAGCTTCACGACAAGTATGGGTTTTTGAGCAATCTGTTTTAAAGCAAGATAATGATTGATAAATTATAGTTCATGTCAGTTGAGCACTACTATTAAGCAATGAAATTCGAAGGTACTAAAAAATTTGAAGTAATTAGAAGAGCTGGTAAGGCCATAGATGCTCATAAATTAGCTTAAAAGAAAGATACTCCCAAAAATCGCGATTGGTAAGATTTGAAAGTTGCCTATATGAAAAAAGCTATTCAAGCCAAATTTCAGTAAAATAAGGCTTTGAAAAAGCAATTAATAGAAACTTATCCAAATAAACTTGTAGATGTTACTCCTGGAGATAAATTTTGGGGTATAGGTGATAAAGAAGAAGGTAAAAATATGAATGGTTAAATTTTGATGGAAATAAGAGAATTGTGTATGAAAGAACCAGAAGAAGAAATGGAGTAGTCAATGAATGAATGAATAATTGATTAAGAATATTAAAAAATTAGTTGTTATTTATATTATTGAATTTTATGTGCTTAAGTACGTACTTTAATTATTTCATTTATTTACAATAAATCTTCTAATTTGAGAATTTTAGTAAAGTTAAATATAAAAGTAATAATTGCTTGTTTACTTTAATTGGTTTGAGAATTAAATTATCTATTTTACTTCGTAATTTATCTTTTTCAAGATATTTTATAATCATATTTTCTATTAGCATTTTAATGAAACATAATATTTTAGTATATTAAATATCCTTTTACAAATACGTAATTTTTAAGTTATAAAACTCTTAAATTATGTAAAAAAAAATTACTCTACTTCTATTTTAAATCATTAATTTTGTAATTTTTGTTTGGGTTTCTCAAATTTTTTTTATAGATTATTTCTAAGATAATAAAAGCTTAATGATCTAACAAATAAATTTTTTTATTATTAGATAGATTATTCCCTGATACCTTCTCTTCTTATTACCATAATATTGATTATAATACTTGAATGAGAGAGTATGTGTATACTGTTTACAAATTTAAACACTCTTCAAGAATTTTACTATTAATAAATTTATCAATTAATTTAAAAAGAAGATTAGATTGATAAAATAACCTCAAAATAAAGTGTATTCTAAAACAGTGAGTTAAGGCTGACTCTAAAATAAGGAATTTTCTCTTTTGTCTTTTTAATATTAACACTTATATATAATTATAAATTGATATCTATTTTTATTGTGTATTTGTATTAAAATATTTAAATTTATATAATTTTTATAGATATTCTATTTAAAATAAATATCATATTACTAAAAAAATTGCTCTAAAAAAGTTTTTTTTATAGGATTATTTAAATTGGTATTATTTTATGAAATGATATCTAATTATTCTATAAATGATATCTATATTTATTATCAATAAATAATACAATGTTTTACATAACATTAAAATATTTTTTAATAGAAATCTATAAATATTTTTATAAATTTCATTTTTATTCTCATCCTCACTTGCTATTATATTATTTGATAAATAAAAACTAATAATCATTAAGATGTTTTCTTTAGATTATTCGATATTTATATTTTTTTATCAATAATTTGATTATATATAGCAAATTATGCATGATATAATAGCTTTAATATTTTATTTCTTAAAATTTAATAATATATCTATAGTGCAGTGCATTCGGTTGCCACTTCTTTAGATAAAAAGATTTTTCTTATTGTTATTACATATTTAAAATAAACACCAGACATATAAAGAAAATCAAAAGGCAATTCTTTATAGAAGAATTATTAATAAATAAAAGGAATTAAAGAAAATTAAACAATAAATCTTTTTAGAAAAATAACCAAAATCCTCTCTCGGAAAGAAAATAATAATTAAAACTGAAAAATTAGTACGAATTTCAAGTGAAAAGTTTTTATCTGAATTAAAGAAATTTGTGAAAAATAAATTTATATTATAAAATTTGCAACGATGTATTTAACTTCGAAGTCACAATTTACTATTTTATAAAACTGTTTGAGACAAAAATTTTTACAAAAAATACAACTATTAGGTGTAATTTAGATTAAAAGATCGGTTATTTCAATTTTTTTTAATATACATTCTAATAATGTCAATTTACGTCAGTGATTCTTGTTTTATATTGCTATACTTACCAATTCAATTATAGAAAAAAACTTTTAGTTAAATTAACGCTAGCTAGGATGATAGATTTAAGAACCAAAATAAATTTTATTAATTTTTAAAAAATTAATTATATTACGTATGCATTAAAACCAATAAAAAAATAAAATGTCAATCATTTATTAAAAAATTTTTGTATTTTTAAACTTTTAATCCAAAATGATGCTAAATATTAGCTTTTTGAAAGATATTTTACAGTTATTTTAAAGGCATATATTTTTACCTTAAAATATAATTTGATTTCCATTATAAAAAATTATGATTAAACTCATAATAAAAAATGCTTATACTCTCTCAATCAATCAATTAATCATCAATTTACTTATTTATTTATTCCGAAAAATAAAATCCTTAATCATTTAATCTTATTTTTATTGACTCAACATTTTGCTTTATATATTTTTAAATTTCTATTTTTTATTTATAAGATAAATTACAATTTTTATTTTTGATAAGTCTTACAGGAATATATCAATCAGTAGATGCATTCAATGATGGAAATTAATAAATTATTTGCTTTTTTTTATTAATTAATTAACTTACTAATCAACTAATGTTAATTAGAAAAACTCTTGATAAACTTCAAATCAATTTATTTATGACTGTTGGTTAGTATTGATCTTTCTCTAATTAATATTTTGTAAATAAGATATTTAAATAAAATATTTGATTTTATTCTTTTTTTAAGTATTTTAGAATAATTATTTGATAAAAATCTAGAGATAAAACAAACACCTCAAAAAAAATGTAATGGAAATTTTTTTTAAATTAATAATACGTACTTAATGACAAAATAAAATTTAAAAAAATTTTATATCAGTGAAAATTTTTAAATCAAGTTTCTTTTCTCACTTAGCGTTTGGATTATTTTCGAATTATATATAAAATTATAAATAAAAGTTTAAAGATATCAATCAAATAAATACTTTATCATGAGAAATATACGAATACTAATAAAATTCATTCAAGTAATGTTAGTTATTTTGATTATTTTTTCTATTTATTTGGTAAGATGATTTAGTGTTCTTATAAAATCTGATTGACTAAAGCTTTACAGAGTTTTACTTTGATTTATTATAATATCAAACTATATTTAACAAAAATAATTTAATTTAAAAGTGGGTGAGAAACCTTAATTAATTTAAAAATCGGATAATAATTGTAAAAAATAAAGATTGTAAATTAGAAAAACACCTACCTAGTTTCAGTAAGCAATGACAACTTTACTAGTTCTCATAAAACTCCTAATCTTATTTAAGATTAGCCTTTGCTAATTGTAAAACTAAATCTACTCATAATTTTATGTGAACAGGTATGATTATCAAGACTAAGATGGATAAGCTTTTAACATAAAGATTGCTTCAATATCTAATAATCTATTTGTAGCTAGTAACCAAGGAGGAGTTATTATTTTTGATGCAAAAAACTCTAAAAAAGTTGCTTAACAAACCTTTGGATCTAAAACTCTATGTGTGACTGTAGAGTGTTCAAATGACGGAACATATTTCCTAGCTGGAGTACTCCCCAATTTAATTAAGGCATATTCTTTCTAATCAAAGACTGTATAGATTACTTAGCTATATGAATACAAGTATGATGAATAAATATAGGACATGATTAAGAGTGGAGATGAAAGGTTTCTTTATGTCATCGGAACCTACTAGATGATAACCGTGGTTGATTTTTAAGTGAGAGACTAATTCAAAGTTCTTGCTAAATTAAGCTAAAATAATAATCGTATTATCAGAAAAACTATTTTGGTTTCTAAATCAAATAACTATTTTTATGTCGGTGGAGGTATGGCAGGACTTTTTGTTTATAAATATGATTAGCAATAAAATTAAATCATAAATCTAGCTTTAGTTCCCACTGGATACGTAGCTTCTGCCTGCATAGGAACATCAGATAATAACTATATGTACGGAACTAATTAATATACTGGATTGTATGTAGCTGATTTGAGACCTTTGCAAGGTATAGATTCTTCCTAATACCCATTATCCCTACCTATAAAAATTGTCTGGCCATTTTAAACCATATAACCTCTCGCATACTCTATTAATATTTCCCAAAACGAAGATATGATCTACGTAGGAGTCAGGTCCTAAGGTATTTTAGTATTTAACATAACTGACAAACTTAATCCTTAGTATTTCTACTAAATTTAAATTATTTCTCTTTCTTATTACATCACATTTTCCTCGAATTATTAATATCTCTACTATGCCAACGCTAATAGCGTTTATACTTTCTAGCTTATTGATATGAATCTAAACGATTAGGTTCCAAACGTATTTAATTCTCAGTAATTTGTTCAAAAAAATGAGCCTTCTTTCATGAAGCCTTACTGCAGCATATTTGATGATAATTTTTATTTTGGTTTTTTTAATGCTCATCTATTTAGTGTTGGAAACATTTAAGGTAATCCTTATTAGTTAGACATACCTTCCAATAAGGTTTATAATATTTGGTCTGCTTCATTGACTTAATATAAAGGTTCAACAATATTTTACGTCCCCTTAATTGGTCTTTCCAAAACAAACGTTGCCTTTTACGCATATGACTATAGCTCATTGTATACTAGCTCAGACGTTACTCTAATGTTAACATTTTCTTTGCCTGATTAATATGTTAATGAAAATATTGCATAATTAGATTTTAATTTAGATTAAACACTTTGTGTAGTAGCATAATATAGTGGTTTCTATCTCCTAAAATTCGATGGACCCTTAAAGATTACTTTCCTATAATACTACAGAAATTAATACTATCAAATAGTTGGTACAACAAAAAGAGCGGTTTTCTCAAAAGACAATTAATACATATTAATTTCTATATAAAATTTTGGTTTGTCAGTAATCTAAATATAGGAGAATTATAAGCTTGTGCAAGTGAATGATTTACAAACTCTTGGTGCAGAAAATATGATGAAATCTGATATTTCTACAGATTATTGCTTTTTATATGATGGCAGTAATGGCTTTGCAATAATTGATTTGACTGCGCTTCCATAAATTAAAATCCTTTCTAGAATTTCGCTGACAGGGTGGACCATCTTTGGTGTTTCTCTCTATAATGATAGCTACGTATTTGTTTAACAGAATGAAAAAGGAATGATTTCAGTCATTGATATAAGAGATAAATAAAATATTTCCCTGTTTAGTTAGTATGAAAGAGGAGCAGATTAAGCGTAGTCAGCATGCGTTTCTAAAAATTACGATTTCTCATTTATTTAGAATAATAATTATGTGCTTGTAATGCCTTTAAAATCTCAGATAATGCTCCAATCGACAGCTAGAGAAATAGCCATAATAAATAATACATAGTAATTTGTGAAGGCTATTTAGAAGGATGAAATACTCTAAGTCGGACAGACAGTTTAATTTTATTTTTAGATTCTTTACCCAAAATCATAGCAAATGGTAATCTAAAAAATTAATATTTATTAAAACTTTTAAGAACAAACCCTCCCAACTTGGATGATTTACAACTAACAAACTTAAACGTTAACTATGGTGCTTGATAAAACAAACGCAGGAACAACCAGCTCATAAATCAATAGAATCATTTTACTCGTTTACACCTTCTGCCCTTTGAGCAGTACTTCATTTTTCTACCCTAGCGGATTGGGAATAACTACCTAAGACTAATCAAAATAAATTTATGCTTATTTAAAAAGTCAAAATATTATAGGTGTATAGAACCAACTAAGTTCCGATTTTAACCCAAGTTTGGATCTAACTATTAACGTACCTGGCATGAATACTCAAATAATCAATAATGTAAAGCAAACTTTAGTATAATCAGTGTGGATAAACTAAGTTGTACTTTAGACATAATCAAGTCTTACTTTTGATTCCTTTAATAGCATCATCTCTTCAAGAAGTAACGCTGTCACTGTTTAGTTGAATGCTATCACTGGTAAATTTGTTACTGTCAGCTATTCAGGAGCTACTGTTTAATACTCTATTAATCAGAATGAGTTAGATTTGACAGGACCTTTACAACAAATTAATTCTATCTTAGCTTAAAAAATTATTTTCTACACCTCTAACTAAACTGATACTAACTAAATTAGCATAACAATTAACGACAACCTTAATTTCCCCATAAATTACTAGTGCAATGCTGCTAAATGTAGTTTTATCAAGTTTAAAGAGTAGATATCTGTTTAACAGATAAATAATTTATAAACGCAAATTGAAACAAAATATACCGATTCTGTAATAGATATTGAGACGAGTTATTCTATATAATTTATGTAGAGTACATTTAAAGTGAGTGATATTTAAACTATCACATACACATTTAAGTATAAAACAAATGAAATGGAATATTTTGTTGATTTTGATCCTACGTTTTGGCTCTAGTCTTAAAGTGATAAGCAGCTCTCATTCTATGGAAATACTCAATATTCTCAGCTTGGAAAAATATACACTATATAAATTACCGCTTTTGATGGTTATACCTCTGTATCAGATTAATTCCATCTAAAGGTATAAGGAATCCCTTTCTCCTATATATTTAATATTTTACTGAAAGTAATAGGACCCTTAGTAGCAATTTTAGGTCTTTACAAATATAGAAGCCTTTTAGTTAATTCTGTAGTTGTTAATTACTTTACTTTTAGCTAAGAAAATATTAATTTTGAAGCAAAATACTTTAAAAAAATTCCTTTAATTGGAATTAAATGGAAAAAATGCTCAATTTTAATCGATAATTTATTTTTATTAGTATAGAGAGAAATTTAATAACAAAATGGTGAAAGGGCAGCTGTAAAAGTAAAATCAAATAAAAAGCGATACCATATTCATCAAAACTTAATTAAAAATAAAAATATTTTCAAAAATTTGGAGCATTCCAAAAAAGACAGTCACTTGGAGAAGAGATACTTGAACAAAGACGGAAGTATTAAAATGTGTTAACTTTTAGAAGATTTTAATAACTATAAAGAGGTATTATTTATAAAAAATAAAAAATTAGAAGAGATTAAAAAATATTTTGGCTAAGCTTTGCAACCAGATTCACTATATTACGAGTCTATAAAATCATATGCTTGCCTTTAACTCCTTAAATTAGATCCTAAATCCTATTTTACTTTCTTGTTTGTTAAATAGTAACTTATATTTGAGGGATTTAGCACTAAAAATGATTGGTACTTAAAAATAGTTGAAATAGACCACCGTTACAAAGAAGAACTAGACCATTCTCCTTTTTCATAAGTTTAAATTAAATAAAAAGAGCTGCAATAAATAATATCTCATCTTTATGATTATGAGTAGAACGCTTATTAGATAAACAGCAACTAAAATATTATAAATCAAGGTACTTAAATTAACATGAGATTAATTGAAAGTTGCATTATTTCCGAAGTACATGGTTTGACGTTTGACAAACTCAGCTACTTTTAATAATTTTAAGGTGAGGCTTTGCACTTAAACTCTCAGTAAGTATCAAATATCCAAGGTTTCAAGCTATGCGAAAAAGGGATACTTTAAAAAGTAAGAAAAATATGCAATCAAGAGTATATACCTTATGGTGTCTAGTAGAATATGAAATTTCCTGATTGGCTGCGCTTGAAATTCAAAGATGATTACCTAAAGCTTTAAGGAACTCCTACATCAAACAATGAAGAATAAATTTTAATAAGAATATTCGACTTAGATGGTTATATAGTAAAATAATTTATGATTAATATATAGCCTTACCTTTCTAATACATTTATCATGATTCCAGAAGAAAAATAAAATGATCACAATACTAATATTATTAATTAATAAATTACTGCGAGTGGTCGCTTGGCATCTTTGCAATAAAAACTAAAATTATAATATTTACCAGATAGCAAGCTAGATTCAAAAGTAGTATCACTATACTCCACCCCCAGATTACTAGATTAGCAGATATAACCTAAAATGTTTGATTGATTTAATTTTCATTCTTGTTTTGAATTATATATATATATTTCTTAAAATAACAACTAAATAATTACTATTATTATTTATTTTATTCATTGATTTATTTATCTATATTGTTAACTCTTTATTTATTAACAAAAGTAAATTATTTACAAAATTTTCCTAATTCTCTATCAATAACCTCAGCCTAATCAACTAAATATTTTATTGATTTAACTATTTACAAATATTTACTATTTACACTTGAAAATTTAAAATAAACAAGTAAGTAAGTAAGTAAAGTAATAAATATAAAAAGATAGTTTTTTTTATTTCATGATTTTTTTATCAATAATTTGTATCGATAAATAAAGAGTAAGTAAGTAACAAGTTAGAAAAATAAATAAGGATAGAAATATAACATTGTTTTGAATTTAATTTTTGCATGATTAGTATTTTTATTTTTTGAGCTTAGTATTAGTTAGCTTTTTTGTTAACCAGTGATAGATAATATTTAGTAGTTTAAGCTTATATATATTTTAATTTAATATGTGCTTGCTTGTTTATTTATTGGTTAGTTAGTTAGTTTGTGAATTTTCAAAAATTAATTTGGCAGGTTTTTATTTTAACATAATTAAAAAAATTTATTTATGGGTTTCGATCATATTTCTTATTGAGTATCAATGGAATCTAAATCTGATAAAGAAACAGATGTTTAAATTAAATTTTAATTGATTATATTGTAGTAGGAAAGAAGGTACTGAATTTATGATTTGTTAATATTTTAATCAATACTAATTTGCTTTTAAAGCTCTAGTATTTTTCTTATCCTATATTCAATATTTTTCATATACATTATTAGTAAATCGTTCAGATCAGGTTAAGGTAGATTACTATTTTCACAGATAAACTTTATGTCATTAAGTATAAGACATTCTGCTGGTAATGGAAGCTAAACAACTTGGAAGAGAAGCTTCCTCAAAGCAGAAATCTCATTGTAAACTCTTATGATTTCTTTCTTAAGTTTGTTTCCTTAAAGTTCTTAACTTGAATGTGAGCATCCCATGTTTATTTGAGAAAATTAGCTTTATTTTAATAGACAAAGGTTGAAAAATTAATGATTTATTTTTTTTTTTGATATTTGACTTAATAACAGTCACTAAAATTTTATTTTTTTTGTGGGAAATTAATTATTGTTTATCTATGACCCTATTTTTTTCTTTTCAAATTTAATAAATAATTTGATCTAAATTACTTCGTAATATAAATCATTAATTTGTTTCTTTGTTATTTTGTATGTTTGCTAATTCATTTATCTATTTATCAATCAGTGGTTTGTTTCATCTTTAATTTTTAGCAAGTGAGTAACAATCGATATAATTAACTTAAATAAGATTTTTTTGTAATTAGCCGAAATTTTCTTAATTTTACTGTTTTGCCTAGTAACATTTTATTTTCTTCATTAAGCTAAAATATCATGATTAGATTTTCTTCCCATATTTAAATAAATATTTGTAATTTTATATGTAATATCTAATCATCTCAAATATAAATTCACACTATAATAGCAGTGTATTATGATTTTTTAAATCTATTATTTTGCCTTAAAAAGTCTGCTTCTTTAGTTCTATTTTTTTGTTATTCTATTTATATATAGATAGATTCTATCGAGTATATTATTTTCCAATTTATAATAGATAGATAGTTTTAGAAATTTAAAAAATATAACTAAAAAAATTTTTAATGAATGACATTTAATAAATATTCTTTTGGATTCTTATAATTGTAAAAATAGTAAGCATAACAAAAATAAAGCTAAATAAATAATCAATTTGTTATTTTCTATCCTAAACTACGAAAAACAAACACTGATATGAGAAATTTATAAATTATTTGTAACAAATTAGTACCTTTATTTTTATTATAAATAATAGAATTTCTCTTCTAAAAATAGGTAAAAAACTTAATACTTTGATAAGTTTTTTAATGGATTTAATAAATAAATATTTAACTTTATTTTGTTATTAAACATTTGTGAAATTTCAATCCTTGAATGTTTTAAACGCATCTTATCTGCTCAGCAGTTAATTAAAGTTTTTATAATAGCTACTTTATTTTTTCAATCTATTAATAATACATCTATTTATATTTTTTTATCAGTATTAAGGTATGATTTTATTCTTTCCTTAATTAATAAAAAGCATGATAAATTCAAATTTAAGCTAAAATAGAAAAATGAAAAGTAAGTCTTTTTATAAAAGAAGTAAATTTCTCTTTCATTCAACAAAACCTTTATTAAATTTTTTGAATATACTATATTTTCAATATTAATTCGTTATCAAAAATAAAAAGGTTAAAATTTATTTCATATTCATATAATCATTACACTGAAATGATGTATTTTTTATAAGTAAAATAAATTAACCTAAGTATAAGTGTTAACCTTTATAAATAATACAACTTTTTAAAAAATCGATCATTTATTTATGTTATTTTTTCTAACATTAGAATCAAGTTTTAATTAAATATTACTAACAAAAATAGTATCAGTTAGTAGTGATCTTTAGCTAGAGAAATAGATAAATTTTAGATATTGCTCATCTACTAACACTACTGTAGGTACTCTTAAATAAGGATGGCAAATGTAAGGATTATTTTTTGGTTAGGTGGAGAGAAGATGAAAAAATTAAAAATAAATTTTAATTGTCCCTCCTTATTGAAGACAACCTATAATACATATATTAATTTTAGAATTTTACATTTAATGTTTCTATTTTAGAAATGTCTATTATATTTATTTTTTTAATAAGCTGCTTGTTTATTTATTCAATTTTTTAATTAAAAAATATGTTTATTATCTTTTATTATTTCATATTATCTGCTCTATTGGGTGTTTAATTGAAAACTTACAAAATAGAAACGAGACAAGAGATTTACCTTAAATTTTTTTTATTTAGATTATAAAAGTTAAAATATCTATAATTAAAATACATATTTGTTAATTTTATAAAGTTAGTTAGTTATTGATTATTTGTCTAATGATCAAATAAGCAAGTACATAAATACAATTTGAAAAATAAATAAACTATCTTAAAAAAGAAAGAAAAAAATAAATTCAGTTAAACGTTTGTAATAGATGGATGGATAAAATATATATGATTAATTTTGTCAATTTAAAGATAAAGCATTTATTTTTAATTTATGTTTATAAAGTAATTATATTATATTTTACATAAAATGTCAATTGATTTATTCATTAATTGCTTTAATTGCTGGATTATGATTTGATTTATCTATTTATTTAAAATACTTATTATTTTTTATTTATTTGTTTGTTTGTTAATTTATCTGTTAATGATCTTCTGATTTTATTAATTTCATTTATTCAATGTTTTTTAAGTTATGTATAAATATGTTTTAATAGTTTTTATATATCTATTTTTTAAATATGTTTTTATAAGTGGAAAAAAGAATAATTCGCTCTACAAAAAAATAGCTCAATTAAACAATCTTTTGAATTTCACTCGCTCTTGGGATTTATTTATTTATTTAGAAATGACATTAAATAAAAAATTTATAAAGAAAAGAAGGATAGCTGATTGATGCTAATTTATATAATTTAGTTCTGATGACATGCTAATACCTGCATGTTGGAATTAAAAACTTAGTACCTGGTATAGTTATTGAATGCATATTTTCTTTAAAATTCCGAGATGTTAAAAACTTATACGATGGACAAAAACTTTGAACAATAAATGTCTAACTTAGCATCTTTTGGGAGTAGCTAGCTCTATTTATTACTTGCTTATTTAATTTATTTTGTTTGATTTTAATTTTAGAAAATCTTTTACTTCTTATTATTAACTTATGGAATTATTAATTAAGAAAATAATTGATTTTTAACTGAATTTCTTTTTTTTCTTTTCTTAACAAAATATAAGTTAAGAAATTTCTTATTTAATTAAATTTTGTAAAAACACTTTTTTTAGATTTAATTTTTGAATATCTTTCAGAAAAATATTATGAAATTTTATAAAAATGTAAAAAATTATTGATACCTTTTTAATATTTAGAATACTTTCTAAATTCATTGCCAATTTTTAAAAATTACTCTATACATTAGAAAAATTTGAAAGATATTAAACAGTCAATTCTCAATGATTAAAATTTTGAAATATTTACATTATAATAAATGTTTAGTATTTTTCATAATTTAGATAAAATATTTTTATCTTTTTAATAATTATTAAAAATACAAATTTACAAATACAATTTTTAAATTTATGATAATTTAGAAAATAATTTTGTTTAATATTAAAAAAAATATTAAATAAAATGGCTGGAGAGATTATTTATTTACTGTTTTAACCAGATATTATGCTTTAAAATTCTTCAAAAAAAGTTGTTTAATAAATTTAAGTTTTATAAATATATAATATTCTTTATATAATTTTAAAAGATAAGATAAAATAATTTCAAGGACAAACATCATATTTTTAATACTTAATCTTTGTGAGTAATGAATTATATAATTATATACATTTTGTTATATTTTAAAAAAATAAACATTTTTAAAATTAAATAAATTATTCTATTTTATTTATAAAATTTTTAATTTAAAGACAATTTTAGTTCGTATTGCTTGCTATTTATTTGCTTTTGATTAATAGTAAGATTCAAAATTTAAAAAAACCTAACTTTGAAAATTGTTTAATTAATTAATAAAGGGGGAAAAATAAAAAACTATTAGAGATCAGAAAAGATAAATAATATATTAACTAATTAAATCATAAATAGAAGAAAAAATAAAAGAAAGTGAAAGAATTACTAAAAATGATCTTCAAAGTTTTTCATACTTAAAAAATAAAGTCGCAGACATGCCCAAAAATAAAAAATTTAAATCTGTGACTTTATGCGATTACTACCAATTTTTTAACACTTGATCATATTATGTAGTAATTCTTTTATTTCTTGCTGGAAGGCAAGTAAAAAAAAATGGATTTTTCAAAATAAAAAAAATAAATAACTAAACAAATGATTTGAAATATATAATCGCATTCTCTTTTAGAAAAATTAAAATTATAAAATATTATTTTTTAAATACTAAGCTTAGATAAAACATTGATACAGAACTCCAATCATCTCTCGATATATCTCTCATAATTTATTGAAATATTTATAAAATAGTATAAAATCAAAAAATAAATGAATAAAATATAAATAAAAATAAATAAATAAAAATAATAAAAATAAATAAATAAAAACTATTAAATTGATAAAAAAAAGCATAAAAATAAATAAATAAAATTAAATAAAAAACAAAAAAAATATAAAAATAATATAAATAGACATGCAAATCTATATGTTTTAGGCTCATCTTTTAAATTTTTTTTTAATTTTAAGTAATATATATGTATTCAGTTTTGAAATTTTTAATGGAAATTTAATTTATTTTTTATTGAATAAAAACTCCATTTTTTAGCATGACCATTCATTTTTTAATTAAACACATTTAAAAATATAAAAAAATTTTGTACAACTGTGTAAGTAAATTTATTTATTTTGAAAGGTTAATTTTTAAGTTATTTATTTTTCTATTTTTTTTTTCAAATTATTAATTGCGTAATAAGTTAATATGATGGTAAAATAAATAAATAAGTATATATATTGAATGCTGAACTAATAAATAACTAGGTATTGTTTGAGAAGAACTATGAATATTTTATTTAATTTAACTAATATAGAATATGCAAATAAAATATTTATTAAATTTATATAAAAAGCTATTGCTTTGAAAATATATAACTAAACATACTTGCATTTAAGCAAGCAGATCAGTACATGAATCCATCAATAAACCACATATTTCTGTCTTCAATATGAGGGTGAGATCTAACATCGAAGTCAGCTCCGTATCCATTAACACCGTCATTAGAACAGAAGATATATTGATTGCAAGCAGTAGATTAAATAGCCCAGACACCAGGAGTTTAGGTTTTTAATACATAGACTTTGTTTCTTTCTTCAGCGTAGGGGTGAGATCTAACATCATAATCACTACCGTATCCTTTGGAACCGTCGTTAGCAACGAAAAGGTATTAACCACTCATTTAGTGCTTGATGATGCAAAGGCCATTTCCTAAATGCTCAATAATGAATTTGTTTCTTTCTTCAACATTGGGGTGAGTTCTGATATCGTAGTCTTATCCAAGACCTCTAACACCATCATTAGAAACGAAAAGGTAGTGATTGGGATTAGTGTAAGATCTAATGGTGCAGTTGTAGAAAACTTAAGGTTGTCCGTATCCAACGTTAGTAACGACTGGGATAGGTTGGGTAGGATATTGATTGTATGGTTGTTAAGGATATCCTTGTTGGGGAAATTGTTGGTATCCTTATTGGTATTCTCCACTGTGGTGGTGATGGTGATGGTGGTGACCGCCTTATCCTGGGTAATACATTTTATCTTTTGGTTTTGCTTTTTTTTAAGTTGATGAAAGTAAGTTTTTAATTAATTTATGTTTTATTATTTTTTTATAAATAAAATTTTGCCAAGTTTCGCTCAATTTAATTTGATGAGTGAATCAAGAGAAAAAAAAGGTAAATCTTATTAATTTTATAGACTTAGAGTTGAATTAGAAGATCACCCGAGAAATCTTTACTAAAACTTTATTGTATTTTTGTAAATTTATTTGCTTTTTTAATCACGCATGAAATATCTTTTTTTGGTGATTAGAAAAAAAATATTACCCAATCATAAAAGATATAAAAAAATCTTTGCATGCTTATATCAATCCAATTTTATGCTTACCTCTATTTTATGAGCAACCTGATCAAAAATTTATTTTAAAAAGAATAAATGTGAAATTTAGTGTCTTAAATAAACTTTTCTTCAAAAAAATATAAAACAATTTAACATTTAAAATAAATTCTATAAATCATGTACAAAATAGTTTATATTTTAGATGATCAAATCTTAGTCAGTTAATTCAATTATTTTGAAAGAGTATTACCAAAATGAATATGAATAAGATTATAAATGCGTATAAAATCATTTATTATAACTAGCAACTTACATTTTTTAGCATTAATAAGCTAGCTATTGGTTTTTTACATAAGTTCAGATGCTATATACTTAATGAATTAAGATATTATTAGGTAATATAGCTTAAAATAACTTTATAAAACACAATCAAAAATTCAATTTAGTTATTTGAATTATTCAAGAAACATATTATAAATATGTAAATTTAAGATTATCTTAGAAGTATTTGATAGCAATTTTTGGAAAAAATGAATATCAAAATATTAATCATCTTTAAAAGTTAATATTAATCAAGCTTTAATTTAAATAGTAACATACATATATGTTTATATCCATTTTTCTTACTGCTAATAAGATAAATATATAAGCAGATTATTAAATTGTTCATTTAACTCATAATAATATTTATTTGAATAAAGATTTCCTATTTTTATGAAATTAGCATAGAAAGAATGCATAGGAATTAAGCTTTTTTATTGTAATTTTATAATGCTTATGAGTATTTTTAAGCTTTAAGAAAAACAAAAATTGCTTATTAAGAATGATTGCAAAATTTACATTATTTTATTTACCTAACAAAAGAGACACGTAAAATTGTAATAAATTAGTGTTGCTGTCCTTGAATGAACCTAATTAAAAAATTAAGATAACTATTACAGTTAATTAAAATCTACACAAACACGAAAATTAACTTAAAAGATAAGCAAATAAATTCATGGATGGTGAATATATTTCACAGTTTATGTTATCTTCATCGAACACAAAAATATCTCATTTTGAAATCAACTTAAATTAGGAATTCGAAAAAATATATAATTTATTTATTTATTGATTTTTTATATCAGAAAAAAAATTGATTAGATGATAATTAATTACCTCACCAGAAAAATTATAAATAGATACATCAAATAGAAGAAATTATAAAATTAAGATTTTTTAATATTTTTATTTCACTTCTTTCTTTTTTATCTCACGAAAAATAAATCCTTCTATTTTTATTTACATTTTTTAAGAAATTAAAGACCTATTTAATATCATTGTAAGATATTTATTTAGCTTTAACTAAACAGATAGTATTATTAAGTGAGTATATTCTATCTAAGATTTCATAAGTGAACACATTTATTTGATATAAAATTATGAAATATTGTTTTTATAAAATAAAATCGAATCTTAAAAAAGTACTTAGAATTTTAATTTAGCCATACTTATCAGTTAGTAATAATAGCTAAATTTATCAATTTCAAGACACATTTTAAATGTTTTGCAAAAACAAAAAAAATTAACTTTTATTATTTTTCATTTATTCATCAAATAAATTTTAAAAAATATCAAGAGTTATTTTTTCAATTAGTTAGTAACCATAAATAATTATATTTACCATATTAAAAGTGTTTATAAAATGCTTTTTAAAAACAAAAATATCTAACTTTTATTATTAACCAAATAATATTCATTCATTAAATTAATTATAAATTTCATATTTATTTTTAGTTTATTCTAATACTTTAATTATTTCTTAAATTTTAAATTAAAATAAATGACTAATGATGAAAATTAAATAATTTTGAAATCTACAAATATTTTAGGTATGATTTAGGATAACTTTTACATCAAAGCAATAAAATACTATTTTTATTTTATAAGACTAATTGTTTAAATAAATTATATATTTTAGTTTAAAATAAATATTTTACAAACACAATTAAAATAATAATTAACCTTCAATATATTTTATTAAAAAATCTTAGTATTAGAAATTTTTATACTTATATTTTTGAAATTAATTAAATAGATTAGAATAAAATTAATTATAAAATGTATTATCAGAAACAAATTCAATTTGACTGCTTTCATAGAAGTAAATATATATTTATTTACTACAGAATACTAATTAAATAGTAATCCATAAAGTCAAAAAATTTTATACTTTAAAAATCAATAATAATATTTGATAGAACTTTAATTTTATGATAACCATTTATGGATGTTCAAAACTGGAAAACTCAATTTTTTTTGTATCCAACAATAATTAAAAAAATTAATAATGAATGAATAAGGTGATTTACAGAAGTTTATTTATAATTTAGGTAAAAAACGAAGTAAATAAAATACGTATGTAATACATTTATTTGTTGAAAAATATGAGATTATTTATAATTTATGTTATGTTATGATATGTTATTTTAATTTGTTAAGCTTAGACTTATAATAATTATATTTACTTTTATCAAGAATTATAAACAATGATTTAGAAGTAAGTAATTAATTATTTATTTATAGCACAATTATTATTAATATATTTCTACAGTTTAAATTGTTTTGATTACTTTCTTTATTTACTCATTTACTTAATGGATTTTTATTTATTTGGTTATTTGTTTATCTTTTTTTATCCTTATCTTTTCATTTCAGAAATAAAAAAAATGATATATAGGGATTTAAGTTGGTTGGAAGTATTTAAGTAATAAGTAAGTAAATAAGTAAAAAGCAAGCCAAACTTAAAAAAAATCAAAAGTATTGGCTTTAATTATTTTTTTAGATGTTTCTTTAAAATGATCTTTGGTACATGGATATTGGAGTGACATTTGAGAGAGGAATTTATTTAGAATAATCCATTTATTAATAACTAGATAAATTTTAGCTGTCCATATTCAAAGAATTGGTGAGTGGTATATTATCTACTTGTCTTTATTAAGGATAATCGTATCCCATACTTTAGCTAGGAGTATACTTACTAGCACTAAATTAATAGGTATTCAATTCAGGATTATTGATAAATTTGAATATCTCCTTCTTGAATATACCTGATTTATTATTAGCAACTATTTAAACATATTCTTAATTCAAATTTTTGCTTATTTTAACTTCATACATACTCCCCTCTTCTAATTTTAGATCACCCTTAATAGGATTTTAGACCTTCAGAGCTTTTGCTAGGTAAGTTTCTTTTAATTAAAAAGATTATTTAAAAAAAAGAAATTTTGTTTAAATAAAGCAATAGCTGAATTTTTAAAAATATTAATGGTTCAACATGCTACTATTAAGTATTTGCATATTAATTTGATAATTTAGAAAATGACTTGAAAATCTTTTAAATTGTTTTATCAAACTAATCAAAAATAAATAGAGATAATTATGAAAAATTGAATTAAAATGAATAAATAAATTTACTGTCTCCATAGATGTTATTGATTTTGGATATGGGAACCATGTCGTTTTATTATGAAATTTTGCTGATTCTAGATGAGTTGTTGTTATTCATCTTTTTTTGGAAGTCAGATTAAATATTTTAATTTCCTGACAGAACTCTGATTCTGCTTTATTCCTCTTCATAGAACTATTCGCTTTGCTTAGAGCTTATAAATTAATTTCCGATTTAATTCAAAGATGATGGATGCCTAATTTGCGAATTATTAAAGTGATTCTATTTATAAGTGCTTTAAATAGTGTCATCAAATTAATTTCTAGAAAAGTCATTGATATTTTAGTTTTAACTTTTGTCATTATACAAGTTGAAACTATTTTAATTTATCATAGAGTTAGATTAAGGATTAATTGATGGCGAAGAGTTCATGCTCAATAGATAGCTTTGATTATTTGTATTGTAAAAGCTATTTGTGTTGTTTGTTTGAGCATTCAACATGGGATTCAAAGTGCTCTGAGTGCTTGATCTCTTCATATCAACTACATTATTTGTGATTTTAGCATTAACATTAAATCTGCTATTGTTTGGTAAATTATTAGGTGATACACTCCTTCTATAACTTGAAGGAGGACTTTGCTCTGGTGATTAATTTTCTTATCTATTTTTAAATTAGAGTCCTCCAACACCATCAAACTCTTCTACTTTATCATTCACTAGCAGTTTAGGTTATGTTAGTTCATTTTCATTATATTTTAACGGTGGTGAAGACGATTATAAAAGTGGTCTCTTCATACTATTTTAAGAACCATTTTGAAAATATTTTTATTAATTTTCTTCTTCATATGAATTTTCCACATACTAAGGTCTTTAAGATATTGCTTGAATTTATTGCTTCAACTAAGGAGGTAGGGCTGGTTACTTTGATTATTGCAAGGGTGGCTTGGAAGGGGACCTATTTTCAGAATTATCATAATTATGATTTTTGGAAGTTGAACTGATTCCACCTGGCATATTATTATTAGCATTTTGAATAGTAGCTGAAGAATTTTCTTCATTATCACATGCTACTTTGCTCAGTACTATTTTACTTGGAGTATTATCCTGTTCTAAATTGTAGTTTTTAGAGCCATTTACAGGAATATTAGTTTCGGAGGGTGTTTAGCTTTGATAGCCTTAGCTTTCGTTTAGCCCAAATATAGTAGAAACTCCACTACTCTTCATGAGAATAGATTTACGTGGTTCATTTTTAGGTCTATGAGAAGGCGAATTATTATCTGAATTTACTAAAATAGTTACTCTCTTTTTGTTTCCTTAGTCATCTAAAATTACATTTTTATTTATCATAGCAAAAGCAGGATTAATTGAAGATATTGGGCTATTTCCCTTTGAAAGTCCATCTGAATCTTCATAATCAACAGAAGCTTTATGTGAAATACTATTTTAGGACCTGTAGTTGCTATGTTACAATTAAATTGGTTCAAAAGGTATTGTCCTAAAAGCTTTGGTGGTTTCCCCAAAAGTTCTGATACCATCCTAAGTATGGTAGGACTAGGCAAATAGCTGACTAAAAAAGAGAATCATCCCTCTTTTTATGAAAATTTCCAGCATTTGCTTTAAACTTTCTTATATTTTTTACTGATTTTGGTTTTACTCCTCAGTGTTGTCGATATCTTTTGGTTTGCTTTTTATTTTTTATTGATTTATAATTAATTTCAGTTTAAATCTTTCAAAAAACCTTATTATTTCTTAAATAACTTCAAATAAAATTAAAAAAAGTTACTCTTTGTATTTCTTGTTGCTAGGACTGCTGCCTGAAAGGTATGTATTTCTTCTTTATCTTTTAGCAGCATCTATTTTGGTAGAAATCTGAGACTTTTTTTATTCAATTAAATTTTTGATTGTTACATCAATATCCAAACCTCCTTTTAAGATGTTTACTTTACCATACTCTCTATGGAATTCATCTTAAAGGGCTTTCGTTTTAGCAATATTCAAATAAATGTACCATTCCTTTTAGAAATAAATTAAATTGATTAATTATTAAGATTATCTATGTATGTATGTTTGGTTATTACTTCATATTATTCTTAAGTTTTACATGTGAAGAAGAAATCTCTCTTTGAACATTATTTAGTTTTTTTATACCAATTACTTGCTTTAATGATAAAAGGATAATCTGATCTACCATATTATTTAGGATCAAGCATATTAACTTCATAAATAAATCTTAGAGGAATAGCTCCTAAATATTCTTCTGGTTTTTCTTTAGAATCCTCTCTATTATAGTAATACCTTTTTTTAATGCAAAATAAAACATCATAAACAAAAAATATATTTATTTTTTATAAATTAATACCTAATATCCTTTGTGCTCATCAATACAAAACGCTCCGCCCAGCTATATTTACTGAAGTCTGATTTCTTATATAAATAATCCTCTTTAATCATGGTATTAGCGCTACTTGCAGATGCCGTGAGTTGAGATTAAATCTTTTTAACAATAATAGATCTTTTAGCCTTATGAGGTAGATTATCAATAGATATGTCTTTCTTTAGATATAAAAATTATCATGAAATTAATTGTAAAATTTATATATTTAATTTATAAAACCAATTTATATTTAGAAAAGAAATTATTTATTTAATTAATTAATTTTTTACAGAATTTTCTCCAAGTAGCCATTAATATTTAAGTTTTTCAATGTCTTCTTCTTCGTTGTATGGAAGAGACAAGGTATTTTAGAAAGTTTCTGCAACAATCAAATGAATTTATCTCCTTTATGTATAAATCAATCGCTAATAGAGAGTTTCCCTTACAAATGAATGACAGAATCTATAAATGACGTTGTTCTCATTTTAGTCTATGACTTCTAAAATATTTTAATCAGTTAAAGCATTTAGAGCTTCAACTAATTTATCTGTTTTTAATACATTTCCAAATGGGTGCACTTTGATCAGAGTTTACAAATCAAAAATATCTCCAATCACACTTGCTATTTTTAAAATAAGCAAATCCAAGCATCCTAGTTTATCCTGTATTGGAGTATTCACATTGTATTTACCTTTATTAAATGTAACAAGTTAAAAATCATGAAATAAATAAATAAAATTTAGAATTTACATAAAGGAACATCGATAGTTACCAAATCTTCGAGCAAAATTGCTTTTTTAAGATGAGGAGTGATATATCCAGTTTTAGGTTCTAATTCATCATAATTATAAATGTTATTTAGCTCATCCTCGATTTCTGGGGTATTTGGTTTAAAGTTAAAGTCTTTAATGATAAGAAGCTTCTATTTAAGTAAGTTATCTATCAAATGTAAAGCAGTTAAAGGATTTCCTGATGTTTTCAAGTACAAAAAATTGTGAAAAAGATGGTCAGGGAAATATGCAAGTTCATTTTTAATTTTAGAAAAGAAAAGATAGCTAAAATTATCTTTTTCGTATTCAGTTATCTTCTCTTTCAGTTTAATTTCTTATTCTAATTTTTTATTATACTAATTATTCTGCATTTAATTCACAATATGCTGTTCTTGGTGTCCATTTCCATTTTATATATTTTAATTATTATTTCCTTAAGTTTCTATTTATTAGACTTTTTTTTGTATATAACTTAGTTTCTCTAAATTATAAACTTCCTTTATTATCTATTTTATTTCATCCATAGGTAACCCATTGATTTCAATTATTTTGCACAAATCTGTTTATTTATCTATTTATTCAGTTAAAATTAGTTTGTTTAAATTTACAAAGTTATAATATCACTTTTTTAACATATTTTTTGTGAAAACTTAATAATTGATTGAATTAATGAAATATTATAATTACCAATATCAGAGTTGAATGAATCGTTATCCATGTTTCTGTGCTCTGCATCATATAAAGTTTCTTTAACTTACATTATGAAATTCTAATTTTATACCTCCTAAGGTGGAAGGAAGGGAGTTGGGAAACTAGGTTTTTCTATAGAAGCATTTCTCATGGCTCCGATAATAAAGACTCTATCAAATTTTTTAAGAATGTCTTTTAACAATTTGAAAGAGTAAGGATCAGCATATTGGAGATCTTCAAGACATAAAACAAGAGGAGCTATTTTTTCTCTATATCTTCTTTGTGAGTCATTGTTACTTTCTTGACTACCAATAGAAGTAGTAGAGTCTATAAATTTATTTTAAAAATTTTCAGTTTAAAATTAAAAAAGTTGAATTTATTAAATTTATGAAAAAAAAGTCTCAAATTACAAAAATAAAAACTGAATATTTAAAAAATATATCCATCCATCCATCCAATCATTTAATTAATTATTTAATTAGGACTTTGCTTTAAATTAATTAACTTTTGAAATACCTTTTCTAGAGCCTTTTTATAAAGTTTGACAAAAGTAAATTGAAAAGATTTCAAGGGCTAATTTTGAAAGTTATTTCTTTTCTTCTTTGTGTCTTTCTTTGAATTCTTTTTCTTTCAAAGTATTGAAGGGAGGTGGGAAATTTTCTACATAGTTATATTCAGTTAAACCACAAATTTCTTTAAAATCTTATATTCTTTTTTAATAATCTTTATTTGAGTTATCGCCTATTCTGATACTGTCCGATTGAACTTTTCATAATAAATAAATAAGTAAGTAAATAAGTAACTAATAAGGAAAAGAATAGTTCTGTTTAATGTTAAAGTAAAAGATTATTAATTTTACATATTCCTTTATCTATAAAATTAGCTATTTTGAAATACTTTCTGTCATCAAGAACTTATCTATTTTTAGAGTCTCCATCTTTATCTTTTTTGAATATTTGATTATATTTTTTTTCACCAAATAACTGTTAGAGCTGACTTTGTTCATATACTCTTTATTCTATAATTGAAATTATTTCTTTAAGAACTGAACGCATGATATTCATCTTTTTGAATTTATTTGAAGGATCAAGATTGGAAACTATTATTCTAGGTCTTTCATTATATTCATATTATATTTTTTTACTACTTTTATCGATATGTGCCTGAGTTTCGTAAATCAAATTTCTTAAAAAGAGACTCTTTCCCATACCCATGTCTCCTTGAATGATGAGACAACCTTTTAGAATTTGATTGCCAGTTGTCAATTCACAGTATTCTAAAAATTTTTGCACTTGATGCTTTGCTTCATAAAGTTACTCTGCTCTACTCTTCCCGTGCATAAAATTAAAAAATTTTTTTTTGAGCTTTTTTTCTTCAGGATCCATCGGGAAAGCAAATAGATGAGTTCTTAGAGAAGGGAATCTATTTTCTCTATCTAACTCACTTAGTTACTTGTCATTTAAATCAAGAGGGTAGTAAATTGGAAGATAGACAGATTTTCCCTTTTGTTTATTTCATAAATTATTTTATCTTACTGCTCAATATCGATAAACAAATTAATTAATAAATTTACCTTAAATTTATATGAATCTTTAAATTTAAATGATATTTTATTTTGAGCTTGTTTCATTGTTGCTTCTGAGCACAATATTTTGAAATTTTCATCTTATTATTCGCATGCTTTTTACATAATACGAGCTGATAAATTAACACTATCACCAATAACTGAATACTCTCTTCTGTTACCACTAGTACCAACAACACCAGCAAAAACTAAACCTGTACCAATTCCAATACTGCATTTACAACTTTATTTTCCTATTAAGTAGATAATTTATATTAACTTTTAAATCAAAAATACATTTACAATAAAATAAAAAAATAATTGATCAATTTTTAAGCTCTTTTTCTATTAAAATTATTTATTAAATAAAATAAAACTATTATTTTTTGTATAATTGAACAAACTACATTCATTATTCTCCAATTAATTTAAAAAATTGCACATAATTTATTTTTAATTCCATTTCCTAATTAGTTTGTCTTAAATTAAAAAATATCCATTTCTTCAACTTGTTTTTTACTTTTGTTTAGTTCTTACAAAAAGTTATGAAAAAACTGAGAATAGGTTTTACCTTTTACTAAATTAATCAACTATTAAGCTAAAATATGCATAAAAAGTATCTGATAATAAAAAATTTTGCAATTTCTTTCAGATTTATGTTAAACACAACTATTTTAATTTTGCACAAGGATAGTTTTTGCTAATTTAGGAATTATTGGTGTGGAAGAAAATTATGAGAGTGGTAATCATTTATTAATTAATTTCTTAATTACTCAAATTAAAAAAGGTTTGGGGATGCTAATTATTACTAAATGAAAATCAATTCTTAACAATATTTTTACTATTTAAAGATTCTTATTTGATTTTACTGCTTTCCATTCAATTAAAAATTGCTTAATTTTTTATTTTATTTGTTCCTCAAAATTTAAATTGGAATTTGGCGTAAAAAATCATATAAAAAAATACTTACTTAGCTAGTTTTTGATTGCATAAGAACAGAGTACTGCTCTTACAGCATCATCTTAATGTGTAATAGGAGGTAAACCAAAGACAACAATTAAAGTAGAACCTTTGTCATCCATCAAAAATTTATTTAAAGAACCTTCATACATGTATACACACTTTTGGATAATTTGTATAACCTTTTAAATTTTGTTTAAACCTTCTTCATCAGCGCAATCAGATAAATCAATACCTATATTCATAAACATAATTGTAACTACTCTCAATTCTGAACTCCATTATTCTTATTCGTATTAAATGTAAGCTTAGAGAGAACGTGGTACATATTATAATACTCCTGACTTAATTTTTTCTATATCTGAAGCTCTCATTTTATCTTTAATCATCATCGCATCAGCTTTGACCTAATTTTTACATAAAAAAGATTTAATAAATGGATTTACTTGAGAAAATAAACGCTAAATTGGTTTAAAAAGTGATCATTTTTATATATTATTTTAGAGGAGTGTAACGAATTTAATTTATATTTTTATTAAAAAATCAATAAGTGTAAGATAAAATAAATAAATCTTGATTTTTAATTTATCATTTAAGTAACAGTAATCTGAGAAATTCAAACAAAAATTATAATTTTATCTATAATTAATTAATTCAACTTATCAAATCTAAATGTTAGAAATTATATATTTAATTAATTATTAGCAAATTTTTATTCTGTATTTCATTTTAGCTAATTTTAATCCTCTTCTAGCTTTAGCCAATCTAATTTTATGAATATTTTGCTAAAGTTCTTCGGTTGGTGAAAATTTATTTTTTTAAAATCTTTAGAAATAAAATTTATTAGTAATTAAAATTTAATTTTAGGCACTTTTACTTTTGAGTGAACAAAAGGTATGGTTTGCTTGGTAAATTAGTTTTACTTCTAAATTATTTAATTTTATCAGTTTCTAACTGTGAAAAAATAAAAAAATAATTAAACGATAAATAAATGGCGTTGTTTTTTAATGATTGATTGTTAAGAGCTTTTAAATTTATCTTAAATTTTATAGAACCAAAAAGTTGTAATAAAATAGACTATCTTGCTTGCTTGATTGCATTCATTCATACTTTCTTTCTTTTAAATATCTAAAAATGATATTAAGGTAGTTATGTAGCTAATGTGAATATTTTAGGATTTGCAAATATGGAAACAAACTAATTACTAAATCTTACACTGCTAAATTATACAAAAATAATCTAGTTTATTATTGCTTATAATTGCTTTTATAAAGGAAAATTTATAGTTAAAAAACAAACATTTCTTACCATAACTTTTTCTTTAACTTTCAAAACTTAATATATCTTGTGGTCAGCATTCTTTACTTTGCATTCAAAATGATTTTAAATTAAGTCGTAGATCTACTGAGAACAGTTAATAACACCACCTGATTCAGCTTCGTGCTCTGCGCTGAAAGCTTAGGTAAGTGGATCTCCTGCTGGAAGATATTCGGCTCTGCCAAAAATACCACCAACGTATATAATTGAAAAATCTCCTACACCAAAACCAATTTTAACTGATAATTTAACACCATCAGTGATATTCATATTATCTAATTTGGATTAAATTGAAAGTGCCGCCTAAACAGCTTAACGGCAGGTATTTTATAGCTGGTTTTCATGCTTGGGTGGAGGCCAAACAACAATCATTGCATCACCTGCAAATTTAAAAATATCACCTCCAGACCGCCCTATTTCTTTGACCATCAATTCCATATAACGATTAATGGCAAAAGCAATAATTTCAGCGCCTTCTGGACCTCTTTTACTTAAAGTTTCTGTTAGATTTGTAAATCCACTAATATCAGCAAACATAACAACAGATTTTAGTGATTACTTTTCTGGCAAATTAATTTTATCTTTTTTGATACTTTTCTCATGCAAATGCTAAATTACCATTGATGGGACGAAACCCAAAAATGAATTTGAGTTTGAAATAGGAATAGGATTCATCTTTTTACAATCTCAATTACTCTTATATATTTATTTACTGCTGAATTAAAATCCAGTTCTATCCTTTACTTTTATATTGAGTTTAAGAATATAAATAGCTAAATTTATTATTATAATCTATTATTGATAAGTCCTATTCAAATACTCTTTAAAATAGGCTTTGCTAGTTTCTTTTCTGCTTTGTTGTTCTCTTTAGATTATCTGTGATGGCAATAAATAAGGTTAATAAATTTTAATAATTTTAAGTTCTCTTAAAGGTAAGTTTATTCCTACCAGGGCAATAAGCGTGAAACCTCTTGTTTGTTATAATAAATATTTATCCTGCTTATGCAGATACTTGGTTGATAACTTAATTTGCTTCCTCCTTAGCTAAAAATGGTGAATGTATTGCAAACTCCTTTAATAATTTATTTATAAGTATATATAAGATTTTTGTTGTTATTTTGTTATTGATTTATTCTTTTTATTCTATCTATCTATCTAACAATCAATCAATACCAGGATTATTTTCCTTTTACTTTTAACTTGATAAATATTATTTATTAATGATAGTTATTCAATTGAACAATCAATCAATTAATCAATGATTTTTTCTTTAGAAAGTCTCTTTTACTTTCCTTTTAATTACTTTGTTATCCTTTTTATTATTCCTTATTTCTATCATTAAAAGTATGTTGTTACTTAGTCAAAAAATAAATCAATAGAGGTATATATGCTCGCATTTGTATTTTGATATTTAATTACTTAACTATTAATATATAATTTTTTTAATGGCACACTCATTTATACATAATTTGGTATATTTTCATTCTTTTATCTTATTAATTTATTTTTCATTTGACTTTCTCCATCTTTTTTTATTGATTTTTTTATTTATTAGATAAATTTTCTTTCTAAAGAGAAAGTTAGTTATTTTCTAATTTGAAAGTGTTAATAATTAAGAATACGCAATTAAATTATTTGATATTTTTAATGTGAAGTTAAATCTGTGGTCATTTATCATTCAAACACTAAAATAAATATTAGATAAGTATATACAAAATTGAGTGTATTTAATTTCCTTGAACATAACTTTAAAAATATACTTCATTAATTTTTCAATTTCAAATTAATACTTTTAATTATATCCTCAATCAGTCTAATTACAAAAACTTTACACTCAATAGTTTAATTCTATTTATGCCTAAAATAACCTTAAGCATTTTTATTTAATCATTCCAAATTAGATTTACAATTTTTATATGCAAAATAAACCTAAATCATAAATTTTTATTACTCTCAATAATAATTCAACTTACTTACTATCGTTTTTAAAATAAATAAACATAATTTTTTTTCAAAATATAAAGTAAAAATTCAATTAAGATTACCTTATTTATTTTTATTCCTAATTCTTTTTGATTTTTATGAATAAAATATAATTTTTTTGTACATCTAATACATTTCAGGCATATATTTATTTAAAAGATATAGAAGCATACCTCTTTTTGTTAAATTATGGCAATTTTTGTAGGATTTTGGTTTATTAAATATTGATTTTTAGATTTATATTTGGCCTAATACCATATATATTTTATATGGTTAAACCGAACAATATACAGTAAAACCGAATATACTATCGACCCTATTAATTACTTATTTATTAACCCTAATTTTAGAATAAGCTTCAATTATTATAGAAATAAATTTAGATAAATAATCAATTTTAGTTTTTGATTAAAAAGTAAAATTTCTTTAACAACTTCAAAATCAATTTTGAGCTTTTTAATTTAATTTGAAGTTTTAATTTATTTCTTTACAAATATCAATAAAAATATTATAAAAAATAAAATAATACATAAATCTATTTATAAAAAATAATTACTAAGAGTTATTTGAATTTTACTTATTAATAAATGAAAGCAATAAAGAATTCTTTATTGGCAAGATTTATATTTTAATGATGTTTTAACTTTTTTAATAAATAAATAAAAAAAGATACAACAACATTCAATTTTTAATTGACTAATTTTTAAAAATAGTTTTCCTTATTACTTCTGGGTTAAATTAAAACTATAATTCAATATCTCTTTTAAAATAAAAAAGATTTATTTTAAACTTTTTCTACAGTTCCGTATTTTAAAATTTAAATATTCTTAAAATACACCTTTTACATAAAAAAACATTGTATGGTTTTTAATTGTGTTAAGGCGATTATATTTCTAACTAAAAATCTCCAGCTGTCTCTTAGGATAAGCAATAGATGCACAGTTTTTGTTAGTAGATAGCTTAATAGAAGTAAATTAGTAATTAATTGAGCTTCTCTATACTTACAATTTCTAACTAATTAATAATTTACTTTATGCAAACAAGACAATGTTTTTAACCATCTTCACAAATAAAAACTTAAGTTGTTACAAAACATTTTTAACACTAGCCAAAATAATCATTAATCTCATATTATTTTTATATTAAATTTAATTTATTAAAAAAGGGCGAGTATTTATTAGCATAGCATGGCTAACAAATAATTAAATTGAAACTAGTATCAGCCATATTCTAATAATAAATTAATAACTTAACTTTTTATTCACTTTTTTTGCACTCAAAACATCTATAGTTTTCAGAAAAAGTCTCACTAAATTAAAAAATAGAATATAATATTGGTGTATAAATTATTTCATTCTTTTTATATTTTTTTTCTATACAATTAATGCAACGTTATTTGGTAAAATACCGTAAATATTTGCATTCAAAACTTTTGATAAATTTTACTTTTATATCACATTTTTAGCAATTGATATCTTTTTATAATTTTTCATAAATACTTTTTATTGGTTTTTCCATTTGATCTTTATACAATTCGATACATTTTAGGCAATGCTAAACATTTTTTTTAGAGCATTATGTTAAAATGATTATGCCATCTCTTATTTTTTTGCAAATTTTGCAAGAAAATTCCTCTAATAATTCTTCTTACTATTCAATTAATGTATATTATGATTATATGATATTTTCTTTAACTTAGTTACTTACAGCTAACTTATTTTCTTAATTAGATTAATTATCTATTTTTTTTGGACTTTCCATTTAAAGCTATTAGTAGTTGTTGTTGAATTGTTGTTATAGTTATTAATTTGTTTAAATTCCTTCTTGTTCATTTTCTTAAGGCCATAAAATTACTTATGAATCTATTTAGCAGATTGAATTTGTAAACAAGCAATTATAATGACCCTTAGTAAATAAAACAGAAACCACATTTGATTTTATGCTATCATCGAATTTGTATTCATATTCATCTTAAAATATCTCCGAATTTATTCTATAAATATTTTTGACAATCAGATCTACTTCAAAAGCCTTTTATATATTTAATGTAATAAATTTAAATATGAACATATAAATGCTGAAATTTTTATAATTTAATATCTAATTTTAAACATCTTGTTTTTGCTAATCTAAATATTTCAAACATCGTTCGTTTGTTATATTTAGAGAGAATAGCTTTTTTGTGCTTGAAACAGTTAGATTAATTAAATGGATTGGAAAGTTGTTATTTTATTATTATTTTAAATATATAAATATTGCTAAAATTTACCTTAGCTGCTATTGGTATGATAACATCTTCAGCTTCTTAACCATAAAGTTCAAGATTTTTAGGAGAGTTTTCTCTAGATTCGTCTGTTATGAAAAAACAGTAATTAGGATCTGTAAGCAGATATTAAAATTTATCAAAAATGATATTCCTGCAAATAATAATTGTAGCAGCATCTACGAAAGGCTCATGGTTATAGTCTAAAAAGAGGTCCTTGAGCTCATATTTGTGATCATTTTTCAATTAGGTCTAGCATTTTATAAATACATTAATCCAAAACTATAAAAAACTGCATTTAAATTCTTCTGTTAAATTTATTTGATTTTAAGTGATATTTTCTATTTTATATTATAAAATCTTTAGGCCAAGAACTTGTTTGAATAGTTTTAAAATTTCTTTATTATTTTTTTATATAACTATTGTAAATAGGTAGCATAGCATAAATGACCTATAGAAACAGTTACCATCCCCTCTAATAAGAATTTAATAAGGAAATTTTTTGCTTGCGTCATAATAGGCTTGTTTGAGCTAATCACTCTTAATGTTAAAATCAGCATATAATCTTAATAACCCAAACAGTTACAAAGGTTCATAACTAAAATTTAGTTTACTTATGAGTTATTGTTGTTTATTATAATCTTAGTTTTATGCCATACGCTATTCATAGTAGTTAATTATGTTTAGTATTTCATAATTTTAAAATATCTCAAGAATATCTTTCACAAAATATTCTTTTTTTTGAATAATTATTTTATTCGTATTTTAAATATTATTTTGTTCTGCCTGCTACATCTAATAAACCTAATGTCTCTAAAATTAAAATTATTAATTCGCTTGCTATTCCATATTTTTAAGATCTATTTATTTAGCTTATGAAATGTATAACTATCTTTCAATCTATTCCTTTTTTTCCTAATCCAAAAATATTTTTGTTATATTTAGTAGTAAATAATAATTGTTATTGCTATCTTTTAACTTAATCTCAATTATTAAATTAATTTATTATGAGACAGAGTGAAAAACATAGATAGATATTAAGTGTTAGATAAATAAAAAATTTCTCCTATTATTTATCTATTTAAAAGTCACTAAAAGATCTTATCTATTATTTTTCTAAATTTTCTGATAATATTTAATTGCTGAATGATTGGTGATATTCTAATAAAGTTAATCACCGAATGTAAAGTACATTCAAAAGAAAATCTAAGTTTTGATTTTAATTCTCAAAAATAACATCATAACTTTATTAAATATGCCGAATTTCATCATTCACTAATTATTATAATACAATCTCATAAATTAGATTTTTAATTAAAACAAACTACATGATATTTTATTATTTAAAAAAAATAAATAAATTTTATTATTTATCAATCATAAACAATTAAATATTAATACTATTAAAACATGATGATTTAATTAGATAATAGGAATTTAAAGTGATAATTTTTAATTTAAATTATTAATAAATCAAATACACTCATAAATTTATTTTTTATCTTGTTAATATTATATCATTATTTACTCTTCTTAGCTTGAATGAAAGGAAACTTTTATTTTATTTTAAAATTTTAATTTAAAAAATAAATTAGTGTTTATTTTTAATCAAAGGAACATTTTACATAACAACCTAAATAAAACTGTGAATGATTATAAAAAATTATTTATTGTACTAATTCAATTTTTTTAAAATTTTATTTAGAATCAAAAATTTAATAATAATTTTTCATTTAAAAGTTTAAAAGTAAAAGTAAATTATAAACAATTTTTGGTTGGCTAATTTGAATCATACATAGACAGATAAATCAATAAACAGACATTTCTTGAATTAAATAAGAAATTAATTTTACTTTTATTGAATAATTTTTAGAGTTTCAATTAAAGGTTCATGTTTGTTTATTTATATGCACTTATACTTTTTCAGAGCTTGCTTTTAATAAGTGATAATGGGTTAATTTGTAATTCAGTTTTCTTAACTTTATCAACTACAATAGAGCCAAATAATACAGCAGCTCCAATTGCGATATAAATCCAATATGTTTAGGGATTCTTTTTATTTTTATTTTATTTATCTGAAGAATGTTATTGCTATATTTACTATATCCTTTCAGATGTCTTTTTCTAGCCATGATTTTATTAAGATTGACCCTGACTTTTGTTTTGATTTTCATTACCTTCAGGATTGATAGAAGAATTGACCTCTTATCTCTATTCATTTCTATGTCTTAAACTTTAAGAATTATCTCCTATGTTATCTTATTGATCTTAAGAAATTGAAAGTCCATCTTGCTTCTTTCTTTCTTCTTATTCCTTTTACCTTTTCAAACTCTCTTCTCTTTCCCTATCTTCAGCTTCTCTTTTTTATTTCTCTAATTTTATTCTCTCTTCTTCCCTTTATTTGTCCTCTGCTTACTTTTTCAACCTTAATTCATCTGCTTCTTTTTTCATTCTTGCCTCCTCAGCTTCCTTTTTCAGTCTTGCTTCTTCTTTCAACCTAGCCTCTTCAGCTTCTTTTTTTAATCTGGCTTCTTCTTTCAATCTTGCCTCTTCAGCTTCTTTTTTAATTCTTGTTTCTTCAGCTTCCTTTTTTAACCTAGCTTCATCTTTCAATCTTACCTCTTAAGCTTCCTTTTTGATTCTAGCCTCTTCAGCTTCTTTTTTTAATCTAGCCTCTTCAGCTTCTTTTTTGATTCTGGCCTCTTCAGCTTCTTTTTTAATTCTTGCTTCTTCAGCTTCTTTTTTTAATCTGGCTTCTTCTTTTAATCTTGCCTCTTCAGCTTCTTTTTTAATTCTTGCTTCTTCGGCTTCTTTTTTTAATCTAGCTTCTTCAGCTTCTTTTTTAATTCTTGCTTCTTCAGCTTCCTTTTTTAACCTAGCCTCTTCAGCTTCCTTTTTGATTCTGGCCTCTTCAACTTCTTTTTTAATTCTTGCTTCTTCAGCTTCCTTTTTTAACCTGGCTTCTTCTTTCAATCTTACCTCTTCAGCTTCTTTTTTTAATCTAGCTTCTTCAGCTTCTTTTTTCAATCTTGCCTCTTCAGCCTCTTTTTTTAATCTGGCTTCTTCTGCTTCTCTTTAAAATCTTTCTTATTCTTACCTTTGTTATTATTCTAGTTCCTTTTATCTCCTTTCTTCTTCTTATCTTTGTTATTATTCTTATAATTCTCTTTCTTATTCTTGCTATAATTCATCATCCAAATTTGAATCAAGCTACTCACGTTTTTCTTCATTATGATGATGTCTTTTATTTTATTCTTCTGGTGTTACACTTTCATCTTATTGTGCTTCATAATCTTCGTTATTTTATTCAAGTTCTTGTTCATATGTCTCTTCATCTAAATCATCTAAGAGATCATCATCGTCGTCGTCTTTTAGCTAACCGTCCTTTTCTTTTTTTGCTTAGTCAATATTTTCAAAAAGCTCAATTTCATCATACTCAGATAAATGAGTAAAGTACAAATCCTTAGGTATTAATGATTCAAAATGATTTTTCTAGCAGCAAAGAATAATTTTTTCTAAAGAATCAAATCCAGGTAAGGGCTTAAATTCTAGCTCATTAGTAACATATTTCTTATCATTCAAGTAAAGATTTTAGATGACTAAATCTACTTAAAATGCCTTTTAATAAATTTATTTATTTATTACAATATGCTAAAAAAGTTAAATAAAATAAATTTATTGATATAAATTAGTTAGGATAATCTTAATAATGATTTTTTAATTACCTAAGCAGCAACAGGATAAATAAATTCTAAAGCTTCTAAAGTGTATTCGCTTAAGTATTTGTGAATTTTATTTTCATTTGATTTATCTACGAGATGCTAATACTTTGAGTCTGAAGAAAAATCTTCAAGTCTTGTTGAAATTAAATGCCTGCAAAAAATAACCATACCAAAATCTACAATTGGAGTAGAGTTATACTTTTTTACAAATTCTTTTAAATTGAATTGTACAGATCCAAGACTAAATTCAACACATTGATAGAGAAAACTTAATAAAAAGCACTTAATAAATTCTACATTTCTTTTGTTGGCTTTAACTTTTTTGTGCTTGAAATTAATTTCAGTGACTTTTTCAATGTCTTTCATAAGCTAAATGAGTACAGGAGTTTTCTTGTTTAAAATAAGAGATATTACTAAAGATAGCATAAATGATCTGTAAAAGCTATTTGAATCACCTCTAACCATCATGTAAAAGGGATACTTCTCTACAATTTTAGATAAAGCTTTATGATATTTTTCGTCTTTTGAATACTTCGCTCCAAAGACATCTATTTTTGATATCACATGGATAGATTTTAGCTTTATGTTTAGCTATTTCACAAATTAAATTAATGCATCTTTATAGCTAATATTGTATTTCTCAGCTAAGTGCATCATATCTTCTAAAACTTATGCGAAATCCATGTCCTTGCTAAAATGGACTAAGAAATCATTGTCAGAAATTCTTTCAAACACTTTAGGTTTATTAAAACGAGTACCTGTATTTTATTTATTTATTTTTTTAATTTTCATTAGAAAAATCTAGTTTACAAAAATAACAATTTCAAAAATTAATACTATCCATTATCGATTAGTCCTAAAATCTATTTACCCTTCTTACAATTAAAAATTTTTTGATTTAGTGTGTTTTTTATTATTTATTTATTAATTAATTAAAAAATGTATTGAAATATTTTCTATCTTAATGTGGTATCTTAGATTTAATGAGTTGAGATAAGTAATTTGAATAGCAAATACGTTTTTATTATCTTATTCTTAATAATAATAAATATAATATCTATTAATCCACTAGTTATTAATACAGCGTATTAGATCAGTGAATTAGAACGTATTTGTTGACGCATTCGATTAAAAACTCAATTTTTACTGGCAAACTTAGCAGATTAAGTATTTCAGAATTTTTTAAAAGAAAATATTTTAAAATTATTGAATAAAATTGAATTTTTAAATATATAAAAAAAATTTAATATAATTTATTAAAAGATTTCTATTTCATTTATTAGCTTCTTAATATAAAATAAAAAATTAAAAAATAAATAAATATTTTCTATTTAAATTGGTTGAATAAATTAAGCTAAAAACAAAAGTTATTAATAATTAAAACAAAATTAACAGAAATAGAAAAAACGAATACTTATTAAATGAACAAGCATATCAAAATATTTTACAAAAATTTAATATGATTATTCAAAATTGATAATAAATATTAATTATTAGAAATTTATAAAAATTTTTATGTCTTTTTATGTGTATTTTATAAATAAAGAGTAACTTTTATGAGAATGAGAATATGATAGCTTAGCAAATAATTTGATTAATAAAATTTAATAGATTTATTTATTTATTTATTAAGATTATTTATTTTAATAACATATTTTACAACAAAGATAATTTGATAATATAGAGTTTTATTTATTTTTATTTAGCATTATGAATATTTTATAATTAATTAATTTTTTGACTCAATTTAAAAGGGATATTTTTAAGATGATTATGGCTAATATTTAAAATCATTGATCAATACATTTGTTTTTCATAAAAAATAATATATCTAGAAAAATATTTATTCATCACTTATCTTATTAATTTGTTTAAAAATGTTAATAAATGAACTTTATTTGGATTTGGAATTAACACTGATCATAAATCATCATAATCATCATCACTATTAAAATTTATTACTTCTTCTAAATTTTCCTCATTAACTGGAGTATCTCCTTTTTACATCTTTATACATTTGTTATCACATGTTTATCTTCTTGTTTAATTTGATGGATCAGTTTTATGGTTTTTAAATTTATCTGTCAAAGAATGTCCTGAATTATATAATGGAGATGTTAACACTCTAAAATTAGAATTTGAATAAATACTCGATTTATTATTTTCAATGTTGCTAGACTAAATATTATTACTTTAATTGCTTTGTGGAGTTGTATCACTATGAGTTTTTTATTAACTCTATGCTATTTTATTTTAATTTGATGCAAAATTTATATCAATCTAAGCTAGTTCCACTAATTTTTGATCATTTTCCTACTCATAGTCTTCTTCCAAAGAATTAATTTTTTCAAACTCACCTTAATTACTGAGGAATTTCTCTTGACTATTTTTTGAGTGAGTACTGCTTTCGTACAATCTTCTTTATTTATAAGTTTCTTCAAGTTTCTAATCAACAGAAACAGAGTGTAATAAAGATCTCTACTTGCTATATTTTTATTGTTTTATATAGTAATCGCAATTATTTTCATTTTTTATATCTTATTGAATAAGTAAATTGAAATCAACGTTCTGCATATTTGATAAAGTCTTTGCTTTTTTGTCACTCATTCTAAATCTGACTTATTAGTTTTCTTCATTCAATGTTATCTCTTTACCAATTACTGTGTTGCCTTCAAAAATAGCTTATCTGTCTCCATGCGCATTTTGCAAGTCATAAAAATTTTTGAGGTTGCATAAATGATCAGATAGACTAAAGTTGATTAGATTTTTAGCATTTTATTCTATTAATTTGTTAATAAAACAAGATGAATTGCTTTCAATTTTAAGCACGCAGTATCCATTCTGCTTCATGTTTTCATTTATTTAACATGCCATCTCTTTTTATATTTATTCTATAGTCATCAAAGGTATTATCTTTTTTATCTTATTATATATGAAGAAAACTTCTTCTGAATATATTTAAACAGGGATTCTGATCTTTTTTAATTAAATATAGACTAAAACAAAAGTCTTCAAATAGAACCATTTTTAAATAGCGACCAATTAGCTTTAAGACAATTTCTTTTCAACTTTTTCTTCTTTTTAAATCTATGGCATATTCAAACTTTTTTTGAAGCATTTTTTGATTAATTAACCAAATTGATTGAATCCGTTTTTGTATATTTTATAAAAATCAACTCCTAGGTAAGTTAAAAAAATTATATTTAAGCCAATAACTAAAGAAAATCCAAAATAAGTAAAGAAAATAGAATCAGCTATCTTGCAAAATAATGCTATGAAAATGGAAAATATATTGAAGCTAGTAGAGATTCCCTCTAGGAAATTCAGTCTATCATTTTTGAATGGTTACGTTTTGTTAAGGGCGTGCTAGTAAATAATAAGCATTAAAATACTAAAAAGAGCCTTAGCCTGAACATTTTCATCCCAAATGCTGATGACTGAATAAATGATCACCTTAATTACTAAACGAATGATTTCCCAATAGAAAACTATAGCTTTATATTCCCTATATAAAAACCCAAACTTTAACTCAAAAATATTATTTTGTAGTTTGTGCTTATTGAAGTAAAGAAAGGTGACCATAGCTAATGGAACTACAAATACATACACCACAATAGAAGGTATAAGGAGCTTCTTAATATATTCCACGTGCTGAGAGGTATAGCATAACAATGACACATCAGCTGTTATGTATTTTTATGCACCTATTTGTCTGCATGAAAGTACTAAAACCAAATACTAAACCACAGAAGGAATAGTAAAAAGTGTTACAAAAAAGCCAGAAATATAAAAATAATAAGCTTTGATTAGCTTTTTATGAATTATTTCTATTATGCAAAGTAAGAATATGATAATAGCATAATAGAATAAGGGAAGTAAGCAGTATCCATATGCCTTAACGTAAATGATATCCAAAGAAAAAGCATAACTTAATGCGCAATCAAAACCTGTTTCCAAGAATCTATTTTAAAAACATATAAATAAATTTAATAAGTTAGTTCACTTATATGATAGCAAAATTATTACTTAAAAGGTGATATGATTGATTATATAACTTCAGTTACATATCCAGGATTATTTAATTTTAAAGTGTAGATTATAAAGTTAATCTAAGCATAATTGATAAATATCTTGAAAAGAGAGGATGAAACTTGAAAATATTGAGAATTCGTTCCAAGCAAAAGAATTCCCATAATTTTAAAGGCTGACTTTAATATTTTATTTTTTACTTCAGAAACAATTGCATAGACTGTAATTATAGCAAAAATAAAGCATCCAAGTAACACAAAAGATATTTTTATATAAATTATTTGTGGGCTATCACAGTCTCCACACTCATAATTTCCATTTTAAAAATATTTTTTATCAGTTTTAGTTGCCTTTATTTAATTTTAAAATAAAATGAATAAATATGAATGGATGAGGAGTGTGTTTTTTAAATTACAAATAAAAAATCAAACTAAATTACTCTTATATCACACTATTCGCATAAAGCACCAATATGTCCTAATTAGCAAGGTGTAAATGGGTTTACCGGAAGTGTATTTCCATTAGAATCTACTTCACCAATACAATTATCCAGATTTTAAGAGCATTGTATAACTATAGAAGGGGAATTTTTTTTATCATTCCAATAGCTTTTTTAAAGCTAAATTTTATTTCCACCTGCACACTTTTTAAAGTAAATATCAATTAAATATATAAATAAAATAATTTATTTATTAATTAAATAATTACATATGCTCCCATAGGGCAAACTTAGCAAATAGCTTTTTCTGGAATATCAAATGTATAACTACCTTTGTTACATTAGGAGCATATTTACTTATCAAACAAATAAATATCTCCTTAACTACAATTTTTAAATTCTACTTCTAATACTTTTTCATAAGTCATATAGTTTTAATTAATTACAACACCGTTGCCATCAATATAAGGAACTTTTACACTAGAACATGATATTGTTAATTACTTTTTTTTTCCTGGTTAGTAAGTTAGCTAAAACGGATTGAATACTAAGTTATTGGAGGTTACATTATAATCAGCAACCATCTTAGTATCACCAAAATAAAGCTAACAAGAAGGGAGTGTATCAATTGAAGTATACACTATTTGTTCATTTAAAATGCTGTATAATTCAACTACTAAGCCGCTCTCTTGAGTTTCACCTGAAGCAATTCTTAGAGAATAAATATCTTTTGTACCATTAAAATTAACTTTGATATGATTAGGAGCTATGTTGAAAGAAGCAACATTATAATCTTCCTTAAGATCATTATTTATATGATTCAAGCTAGCGAAGTTATTGCGAAGTGTAGGTATATGATTCAAGCTATTTACAGCAGGAGAATTTATTCTTGCCGCATTATTTGTGAAATTAGAATCATATAACACAAATTTGCATTTCTAAATTTCTTAACAGCTCACAAAATTTATTGCTCCACCTGTAGAAGCTGCATAATTATTAGAAAAAATAGACTTATCAATAATCAATACTTCTGTTGTATTTTAGTGCGAAAATATTTCAAGGTATTAATTATTTATAGTACTTTAACCAATCACTTCTAATGGTGAAGGATCCAGTAATTAAATTGACTTATAGTAATTAAGATCTCTCTAATCAAATTCTACATAATTTAATACTTATCCTAAATAGTAGCTATCATAGTCAATTATATTTACAGTTTGGTCACCTTATAAAAACCTATTTTAATATTCATCTTCAAAATTTATTTGAGTTTATTCCAAAGATCTTTTTGTAGACTAAGTGCTATCTTGAGAAGTTTAATATCCAAAATAAATACCACCTCCTGATCCCTTTTATTTATTTAATAAATAACTAATTAATTTTTTCACTTAAAAAAGTAAGTTTGAAGAAAACCAAGAAATTAAAAAGCAGAATTTAAAAATATTCATGAAATATCAAACTTGTAGTGACAGAATATATTTATTCAATCATTATTTTAATATACTAAAAAAGACAAATTCATAGAGATAGTGATAGTTTATTTTATTAGCATTATTATTTATAAATTAAAATAATTTCTTTTTAAGTCATGTCTTAAATTATTTAATCTTAAAAAAATCAAAATCTTTCTTAAAATTTTATTTTCAATATAGAAATTTGTATTAGATTAAAAAGTAATTTAGACTTAAAGTTTATTTATTAAATAGAAAATTAATGTAAAATGATGATTAATAAAAACATCAAATTAAATTTAATAATTATAAAAAGTAAAAAATAATTTTTTGTAAAATAATTTACTGCATTGTTAGACTAAAATGTTGTGTTATAAACTAATAATCCTGCAGATGAGACTTGGACCACTCCATTTGTTATATTGGTTAAAATATTGAGCTCGATATCAGAATGTAGAATTAAATTGAACGAGTAATTAGAATTTTGTTTTTAAGAAAATTTAACAATTGAGATAGATTGCTCCTCAATATCTGATTGATAACCTTCTACTGTGTTATTATAAATTTAGCATCGTTTTATTAATGTTATACTCCTTTCGAAATTCATATAAGAATCAGAACACCCAACAATATAATTTGAATTAATTTTAGAATCTAATAAAATGACTAAATTGCAATATGAACAATTTATAGGAGATTTGCAATTAATTAAAATATCTTTGAATCTTTAGTCATTTGGTATGGCTTAAATAATACTATATAGCAAGATATTGAATGAAATTATTGTTGAATCAAGTTCTAAAATTCCATTTTGCATATCTAAAATTTGCATATAAACTTCATTTTATGTTATTAATGAATTACTGATTCTCAAACGACTTGAAGTTGATTAAATCAAGATGATGGCACCTTTATTTTGCAAAATTGTGGTATTATAGAATATAACATTTGCATTATTTATCTAAAACAAGGAATTCTTATTATAGTTATAATACTATGAAGCTGTATCTTAAAATCTTTCTGTTATCTATTTATTATTTAAATTATTAATTTTTTTAATTTGTTCAATTAAAATTTTATGTGACTTGCAAAATGAAATAATTTTATTTAATTTAAATAATTTCTGATTAAATGAAAACAAAATTTACCAAAACGTCCTGCAGATTTAATTTGTGCTGTGCCTAGTTATGTAGTTCTAATATGCTTGTCTGATATGCAGAAATAGTGTCTAGGGTAGTTTTGGATATATTCATGTTAATACTTTTTCCTAAATTTTCAATATATGCCAATCCTCCAGAATAGTTAGCTTAAATCATTTAAAAATTACAATCAAAGATAAAAACTTTAACATCTTAACCTAAGTAAGCAGTGTAAACTTGCAACACTCCTCCAACTGTTAAAACAGAAACATTATTTGCAGTAATATTTTAAAATTAAATTAAATTATTTCCTATTATGGAGCTGGGAGAGAATCTTACAATACCTCCACTTTATGATTGAATATTTTCAAAATAGCTGTCTTTCACATAAACTTAAAATCCTATAAAATCTACATATCTTCCAAATAACACAAGACTATCAAGAGCTTTTAATATTAAAAATATATTATTACTATTTAAAATAAAAAGTATTTTAAAATAATTTCTTACTTGATTATTGAACATATTTACTGATATTCATTTAATAATTTATCTATTTAGAGTAGAGAAGCGTAGATTAAACTTAAATTAGACTTGTTTAGCTGGAAGAAATTTGTATCATCTACTAATCTAGTGAACTATGATTATACGCTTAAAAGACATTGTTTAAGGTAAAATTGTTAACTATTACATAAGAAGAGTTAGAGTTTACACTTAAAAATAAACTGTTTGTCATTAGCGATTTATAGAATGCATTAACATCCAAAGTAGATTCCTCTATATAAATATCTTCGATCAATATTTTTTACACTTAGCTTTGAAAATTGCTTATAAAAATAAATGGACTTAAAAACCTAGTCTTTTTGATGTAAATGTCTTTAATTTTTATAGGGTAATAATTTTGTCCAATTAGAAATATTTCTCCATCATATAAGATGTTGTTCCTAGTAAAATTTTATTCTGTTGTATAGTTTTATAAATAAATTAAGCTTTTGGAAGACAAATTTTATTTGCAAATATCGACATCAGTATAACACTCATTATTTGTGTAGCAATTTGTAACATTATAAATTGATAAAATTTATTCATCATAATAATTTTCAAAGTAAATATTATCAACCATATGATTAATGTATTAAAATACTTGAGTTATATCTTGAGATAGAACAATATTTTTCACACTCAAATAATAGCTGAACAGATAAAAAGCTGATCTTTACTAGTTAAAAGTATAAATATATAATTCTCTAAGCTTAATTTTTAAAGAAGTAGCTTGTACCAAGCAATTGAAATTAGTTTTATTGCTTTACCAATAAAGTTAATTAATTACTAGTTTGTAAACTCCATTGATATTTATAATAGGTGTAACAGAGTTAAATATATTTTAAAGTGATATTTAACTCATATAAATGAATTTATAGTTGTTGTTGCTAATAGAATCTGATTTATAAATTTAACAGAATACTTTACAAAAAGAATTAAAAATATAATTTTACCTAGTTTAAATAGTGGTGTATTTGTTTCGATTGGATCAATATTTTTAAAATTAGTGATATTAACTGAAATGTGGACACAGTATTACAAGTCGTATTAAATTAATGGGCCAGTTAAATCAAAAAGTGTAAAATCACTACCATTGGCTAAAATACTTCCAACCACAGTGTTACTAATTATACCTTAATAAAAGCTAAAAAGAATAACAGCAGATAAAATTTGTTAAACCTCTATTTTTAAAATTGTATTTTAATCCATAATAACCAAGTCAAAAGTCTGAATATCAAAAATAGCTCCACCATAATTTTAAAAGGCTCCTGTAATTGTATTGTTTAAAATTTTGATAACTCTATCTGCATAAACCAAATCCCCTAATTTATAATTATAAAATTAAAACATATTTATCTGATTGATTTATTCATTATCAACTTTATATCCTGGTAAGACATATCAATAATCAATTAAAATTTAGATGACAAATCAAAAAAAGGTTTTTTAATTTACTTGGATGATAGACTGAATTAATTCTGATGAAACAATTGTTACTAACACTAGAATTAGTATTTGAAAAATCAGCATAAAAATCAATATTTGATGATGACAATTAGAAGTCTAAATAATTCTGTCCTATATATTCTGTTGAAATAAAACACTTTTAGAAGCTAGTCTGAATAAAATTTAATTGATTTAAATAAATGGTAAAATCTTTATTTTATTTCTCAAAGTTTGAATCAAACATTTAATAATCTATAAACTAAATGAACTAATCATTTTTCAAATATAAACCCTAAAAAGAACAGCTATCCATGGTAAAATTTTGTATATTCGACATTAGAGCTAAGAAACCAAAATACTCTTGACTTACATCTTAGAAAAAACTAACTCTTTCAAAATATACTTAATAGTATGAATCAAGGTCTCCAAAAAAGATTTATTCTTTATTAAAGTAAAAAAATTAATAAATAAAGATTTATTGTTAAAATTATTAATAAAGCTGCTTACTATCTTGTGCAATTTAAATTCTCAGATCTACAAAGGTGACTGTATGGAAATTGAAAATAGAAATGTATGAGTTGATAATAATAGTAGTATTTTAAAAATCAGTTTTCATTCCTTGAAATGTGATATTCAGATAAATATATCTGTTTAAGATTTCCAAATAGTTTCTGATCAAATGAAATTTAACGAAAATATTTTCGTTAACCATGTACGTGGCTTCATCGAATTAAATTATAATATTAACTTGATTTACATCTAAAGTATTAAATGAGTACAGACCAAATTCACTCTCTAATTAGCTTAATGCTTGATTTAACTAATCTGAAAGGAGACCATTATTTTGATAAATATATACTGATAAAGTGATTTAATATGTATTAAAAGAGCTTTAATCTGCTTATAAAACACACTAATTTTTTGAATTAAGCATAAATCCACTTTCACACTGAGAGCATAAATGAACTCTATTCAAATACTTTTACATTAATATATTTTTGTTAGTATAAATTTTCTTTTTGAAAGAATAATTTCAATTTAATTAAGAAATAAATTTTTATTAAAATCTAATTAAAATGGTTATTTTTACCTGCTGTGATGATTGTGTAAAATCTACTGGGATACCATTAAATATCATAGGAAACTTTTTTATTATTTAATACATTGGGTAATTTTATATTTGTTAATCCAGTCCAGGATTTGTAAAATACCCGTTTATCTTATCTGAAACAAAGCATGATGAACAACCTATTTTGCAAGGAACACAGTAATTTGCATTTCTTAAAAATTATTCTTTTACAAGAATCAGTGGACGATCTATTTTTTGATTTATAGTACTCAATATATTTTATAATTATGTTAAGTCATTTATATTTTGTAAGTCAGCATTTCCTGTTGGCTAGCATTATTAGCATATTTAATTTCCACTTTAAAGATCATTTATACATTCTGAGCACTGATCGTTACAGTTTTTTAAGACACATTTGCTTTTATAAACAGAGTCTTCTGTTGTCATTTAAACTATTAAAATTGTATTTATGTAATAAATTTGGAATTACTCTCAAAAAAAAGAAAACTTACATGAGCTGTTACATTTACTGCAATATCCAAAAGATTCAGTAGAGTTTAAGCTTTAATAGACACTTGTACAAAGAATACATTAGTTAAGTTATTAAAGAGGGTCATCTATACAATAGGTACTGTCTATATATTTTTTTAAAAGTTTTTAAGACATTTATATATAAATCATGCATTAATAATAATGTTACCTGTTGTGACAATGCATTTATTCGGGCATGGATATTGAGTAATTAATTAAAAAGAAACCTTATATGATTTTATTTAAGCTTATGTTAATACTCTGAAGAAAGGAGAAACAGTATAAACAGCATAATTTGATGGTATTATACTAGAATATGCTTAGTAATAGCATATTTCATTATTTTATCCACAGTAAACACAAGATATCCCGTCAATGTTAAAACCGTGATACTATTAACATCTGGTACAATACTCTCTTGTTTAGGAGGAGCGTTTCTAAGTAAAAATATCTTAAAAATATATTGTCCCAAAGTTACACTCAACACAATTAAGAGAACACTTTACACATTAAAATTCAGTATTTAAGTAATACCCAGACTAGCATCTTGAGCATTGAATCTATTACTACACATAATTGCATTCAATACACTATTAGTTTTAAAGTAAACTTTAGCAACTGATGCAATTTGAGTTTGTTGAATCTTATATATATCCTTTATAACACTGCTAACAAGTATAAAACATTGCAGAATTTACAAGGCTGCCTTAAAATACTTGACAATTCTAAATAGGTATTATGCATAGCTGCTTAGTTGAATCAAAAAAATATTTTTCGTTACAAATATAGCATGAAACTCCATCCTGATCACTATTTAATCTACAATCCTAACAATTGATATCACACTTGTAAAAATTACCATTTGAATAAATGTATTTTATACTATTGTTGCATTAAATAGTCGAACTACCTAAACTGAATATTAATATTAATAAGTATTATTTTTAAATATTGTAGAAATTTTTAAACTAAATTCATATTTCTTTTTATTTACAATAAAAAATGTAAAAAATTACCTATATATAGCTCCTGAGCAATCAGATGGAAGTTATATACAAGTTCCATTATAAGTAAAATATCCATATTAGCATTGATAACAAGACAAAACATTATTAAATTATTAAATTAAGCAATTATTATTAATATAATTGACTGTGCTTGATAGCACGATGTTGATATTTGAGGAACTAATACTAAATAAATACAGAAAGAATAAGAGTAGCTTAAAAAAATAATTATATGCTTCTTTCTACATTTTCCTATTTAATTTTTCTTTATCTTTAATTCTTCCCTTTTAAATAAATAAATGCGATACAAATTAGTTGATATATATTGAATAATTAATTAGTTCTTTACATATAAAAACTAAATTGTTAATAATTAGTCTTAGCTTTGATTAATTGATTGAACGCAAACATAAATACAATTTTTCAATAAATAAACAAAATACATTTATAAATTGTACTAATTTATATGTTTTTTTATAAATTAAGGCCATTATTAAAACAAATCATCTATTCCTTACTATTATTTATTACTTTTTTGAATTTCCTAATGTTTAATAGACTAAATTACAAACATTTTTGTTTTAAAGCTTTGTATCTATTTTAATTCATAAATGCATTCATAAGCTTATAATTAATTATTTTTAATTAAATGTTAATAATTTAATTAAAATTCAAAAAATATTTTATCTTTTTAAAGATTAATTTTCATTAAATTAAAATTCTAAAATCTATTTTTAAAGATTTATTGATGAGTCACTTTAAGATTTATTTAAGAAATTAATGCATATGCAAATTAGCTTTACTTTCATTAATATAAATTGCAAACAATAATAATAAATTATTCTTAATCATTCATTTAGCAAAAAATATAATTTTATTTTTTTTAGTGAAAAGATTTTATTTTGTTACTAAATTTTTTTTACTATTTATTTTTAATTTATTTTTTTTGTTTAATTCATCCTAAAATTTCTAAAATATCATCTACATCTTCTGATTGTTCCCCAGGCGATTCAATAAACATCTATGACTATATGAAAAAGGTTGCTGCTAACAACAAAACTTTTTATTCATAAATTATGCCTTCTGGAAAAATAATTTTAAAATTTGACATTCCTGTTAATGCATTTTTGACACAATCAGTAGCTTTTTTTTCAATATATCCTACTATATTTCTATCATGCGGTGATAAGATATGAAATCTTACTTCCTGGCAGGCTGAGCAGCAGCAAGAACTACAAAATGTGCCACACTTAAATTCAGATACTTCTATAATGTAAACTAAATTATCATTTGAATCATGAACATCAACTCCTGTATTAAACCATTCTCTTGGGGGACAAAGCTTTATAGGATCTTTGATTTTACCAATAAATTAGAAAGAACCGTTTTAAGTCCTTATAGAAACATTCATGAAAGGTCTGAAAAAACAGCAAATTGTACACCTAAATTATCTCACTAACTAAATAAAGCAATTTGAGTTTTAATCTACCTTAAACTCATTTTTAATTTCATCCTTGATATGCAGCTTCTCATAAACATTCATCTTAAAAGGTTGAAAATCTCCAGGACAGCAGTTTCTGCAAAGACAATTACTTCTTTCTTTTGCATAGACAAGTGGTTTGTTGCTGATCATCTTTTTTTATTCATCCTCACCATATATTTTATACTTCCTAGGAGCTACACACAAAAAGGCTGTTTCAACGTCAAACTTTTGATAAATATATACAGAAATAGATTTATTTAATCCATTCATGAATTCATCTAGAGCTGAAGGTAAATTATTATGATTTAAATCTTGCAGATCATAAGTATACTGATTAACCTTATATTAATTCATTTTTCTTTATTCTTTTATTTTTTAGAGGTAATTTATTTATACTGTTTTTGTTTATTTTAGGATAATATTAAAATTCTTGATTATTTCAAAGGTTGCTTTTAGGTTTTAAATATATTTTATTCATTTAAAATTATGTAAATTCCTTTTTAGGATTAATCAGAAAACTAAAAATATTAATTAATTTTTCAATTCGATATTTACTAAATTCAAAAATCTTTATCTATTTCAACACATATAATTAAAATAAAAAGATACTTGCTATAAGGGATAGTTTATATTTTACTGTAATTAATAACTAAATAGCACTAGTCTAGAATAAAGTTACAGTTTAAAAAATATTAATCCTAAATCAGAAAATCAAAATAAAACAAAAATTGAACTTGAAAGAAGCTATAAGTTTAACGATATTTAAATGATTATCATAACATTTTAAAAATTATTTTAATCTAAATTTCATTAAAATGTAAATGTAATTTTTCTTTTTTTAATTATTTTTTTTAGACTTTAAGCAATTATTTCAGATAGATCAGAATATATTTAATTTTTTATTTTTTTAAATATTTTTTATAATTTTTAGTTACTTAATCATTTTCAACATATTTAATAAATTACTGATTAATATTACAATCTAAAAAACTATTTAAATTTTAATATTTAATGAATGGATATAGCTATGGATAGATAGATACATAGATAGATACATAGATAGATAGATAGATAGATGGCTGGAAAAAGATATAAAACTAAAAATTAGACTAAATCCATAAGCAAATGTGAATATATATATAGAAATATATATTTGATTTTCAAATATTAGGTTTTTAAAGAATTTATGGAATTTTAATATTTGATATATTATTTTAAATTAAAATCCCTAAAAGATACAAATCTTTATGTTTTATCCTCTTTTTAATTTCTTCATCAAGATTTGATTTGCTCATATCAAAGCAGCTACATATTTAAAAATTATTTTTTTAAAACACATGCGTTGCAATAGGATTATAAGTTATCCCAGTAATTATGCTATATCTCAGTTCTGAAGCTCTTTCTATCAATAACCTCAATAGATTTGACCCAATTTTAAGATTCTCATATTCTGATCTTACACCTAAGTTCATTGCTACTAAGCTTTCACCCTTTTAGTAATTAAGTGCAATTAATGGTTCTACAAGCTTCAATGCCATTTAATTCTTTTCATTCATAAAGCTATCAGAGGCTTATTTCCTTAAAATTTAGGTATAATGACAAAAATCTAATCCAGCTAAAATTCCGCAAACATAATCTTCTTTTTATGTATCTAAAGCTATAATAGTTGAACAGCAAACATCAGGATACTACATAAATATAGTGTTTTCTTCACTCTTAATTTATTCCTTATACCCTAATTCATGATTAAATGTCCCAGCCTGGTTTCTTACTTGATTTAGACAGTCTATTGTAGCTTTTATATACTTAGCTTCCAAAACCTAATACTTAATACTATTTATTTTTTGCATATATTTTTTATGTTAATTTACTTTTTTGATGAAATAATTAACAGTTTAGCATAATTTTTGTATCAATTCAGATTTATTTGATTTTTGATTATGAATGAAATAAAATAAGTTATTAATTACTAAAAAGAAAAATATTTGTTGATATTAAAACTAAATATTAAAGGATTATTGAAAAAGGTTTGTTTATATTTTAATTTTGCTTAACATACTTGAATATAAATTAAAAGATTATTGTTTGTAATAAGTAGCTGTTGAATTGTTAATAAAATATTGCAATCAATTTAGATTTTCAATTTATTAAAGAATTATATTCGAGGACTACTTTAAAATCTTCTAAATAAAAATAATTAATGGATTTTTCTTATAACTATTATTTTTCTTTTTAAATTTATTCTTAACATTCAGTGCAAATCATGAAAGTAAATTCTTTATATTTTATATTCTTTAGTTTATATTTTGGTGTATTTTATTTTCCATTTGAATGTGGAGAAAAGCAATAATCATTTTTCTTATAAAAATTTATCTTTTTTTCATTATTTTTTAAACATTAATTTTAGAAAATATCTTTCATTTCATCTTAGCTCTTAGGAAAGTAATTATAACATTTTTAACTTTATTATTTAGATTCCTCCAAATAGTTCATTGGTTTTTGAGATAAAACATTTTCTTAAAGGATTGGTCTAATAAGGTTAAAAAAATAAATTAGTAAACATAATAGTATGTATAAAAGATCTTTTTTTTCTTAGAAGTATTTAAATATTTTTAAAATCTAAATGTTAAGTAATCTACCCTTTCTTTAAAATGTCTTAATCAACTAAGCACATATAATGCCCATTGGTGTAGAGTACAGGTACATTTAAAATTATTTAACTCTACTAAGATAAAGGTTAAAATATTAGCTAACTATTTATAATATTTGATCCTTCATTATACAGATTCTAAACTATTAAATTGCACTAGAAAGCCTAATTAATTAATTAATTAATAAATAAACAAATTATTTCATAAATAAGTTTAAAAATATTATTTTTTCCATAAAATAAATTTAATATTTATGCTAAAAAACTAGCTAGCTATTTGAAATTAATAACAATTTTTGTAAATATTTTATTAAAATACTTTCTTTTAAAATCAATTCATTAATAATCTATAAATTTCAATAAAAAAGATTTTTAAAGGTTCAATTAAAGAGTTTTTAATGTTTTTTTAAAGTGATTAATTATGTTTGAAACTAAATTTCTAATAAAATTTTACTTTTGAAATATTTTTTAATTCATAAAATTTATGCATATTTTATTTTTTAAAATAAATTTATTGGAAATTTTATTATGCTTAAAAATAAAACAATTACTTCAGCAGCAAGTTTGATGATCATATCTTCTGCCTGGGTTCCATAGCTTAATAACAACTGATGAATATGGTTTATAACATCTTAGTCCCTAAATTGATTCAGCGATGGATTTGATTTGTGCAATAAAAACTGTTTAAATATCATGTATCTGCAAATTATAACACATGAAAAATCAAAGTGATTAGAGATATTTAAAGTTTCTATTATACTATCTAATATATTTTTTCCTGTAAAGAATTCCTCTAAAAATCCATTAATATGATTCAAAAATAAGTTTTTTAAGTCTATTATTTGTGTGTTTTAAATTTTGTAAGGTAAGTTCATTTCATTTTTTTTAATACAGTTTTCTAGATTTTCAACTTAACGGATCAACCTCTGAATTGCTTTTATTTAAAATTCTGGATACATTTAAATTTCATTAGGCTTAAATAATTGCAAAAGAAAACTCAATATTACAGACCTATAAAAGCAATTATCATCACCTCTTACATCTATAAGATAGGGAAATTATACTAATATTTTCTTCACTTCCGATTTTATGTTATTGTTATAATATCTATACCCTTAAGTTTCACTAATTTTTAAATTATAATTCCCATATTTTGATTATTCTAGAGCTTCATCTAAATGATAAATTTTATTCTAAAAATCATCATCATTAACCAACTATTAAATCTTTATGTAATTCGCGTCTTTTGCAATAATTTATTTCATTTCATATTTATCAATTAATTTCAAACCTTAATTTGAATCTAATTATTGAGGATAACTTGGAGATGAGTGCATTTATGATTATTTTTACTTTTTCAAAACCTTTTACTAATACAAAAAAAGAATGAATGAATAAATAAATAAGTAAATTAATCATAATGATTGATAGAGTATTTTACTAGGTAAATCAATAGTTATTTATTTCTAAATATATTTAATTCAAATTAAGTTATTCAATTGATAGATAGACTTATAATATCCAATTATTTGCTTACAAATGGTTTAAGCTTTTTGATAAATATTGTATTGATATAATACTATGAATTAAATATTTTCTTTTCACCTATTTTAATTGTTTTGTAAATAATTAGTGAATTAGTTATTAGAATATTAATTTGAAGAAAAAATAAAATCTGATATCATTTATTATATTATTTAATAATTTTTAAAAAAAAGACTAATTTAGGAATATGATCTTTATTAAACACAATAGAATCTACATTATAATGTATTTTTATAGTAAAATCCAAATGTAATTTTATATAAGCGTTTAACAGAGGGTTTAAAAATAATAATAATAAAATGTATTATTAAAAATAATATATATAATTCACCTCTCGGATACACAGAAATCCGTAATTCGGAATGCCTAATTATCGAGGAATTACGATACTTGTTGAAATATCTTGCTTTATTATTATTTTTTTATTCGTTCAATTCAAAATGGGGGAGATGGAAACAAATGATTTTTTAGCAAAAATAAATCTCTCTTTCTTGGCAAAAAGCATGGATGACATATAGTGCCATAGATTTTCTCTCGAAGGTTGAGATGGTGATTATTATTTTTTTACTGTAATACTTAGTAACTTGATTTAATAAGGTTATAAATCTTCACTTCTTTCTCTGATTTCTTGTTTTCAAAGAATTAGCTTTTGAGAAATTAAATTTAGTGAAAGTTTTTTTTTTAAAGTAAAAAATAATATTTGAGAAGATGAATTTAAAATAATAATTAGAGAAATTTTTAATTCATAAATAAATAAATATATACAAAAGCTATAATAAAATTTCAAAAATATTTTAAACAATTATTCTTAATTTCAGACGATGGATCAATCTAAAAAAATCTTGGGAGAAATCCAAAAAATAATATAAGAATTATCACTACTGACTGATGGTGATATATAATAAAATAAAGTTTGAAATAAAGTTAATTAATTATATAAATCGTGCTAAATAGCAACAGATAAAGAAACAAACAAACAAACAAACATAAAATATTTTGAAGCAAAATAAAATTTTGATTTTATATTAAAAATAAAAATTATTCAATTCTACTGATTATTACCTTAATTCGTAATTTTAAATTGCTTTTGTTAAAAAGAAGCCTCTTTTACATTTTTAGCAAAATAAAATTAATGTTATTAACCAGGAATATTACTCAATACTTAATTTTGCTAATTAGGTTATGGATTGAATGGATTGTATGCTTAATTTTAAATTTGTTATTATTAATTAAAACAATTCTGTTAATTTTAAGGTTAATTTTATTATGGTCGCTACTAATATGATTAATAATTCTAATTTTATCTTTATTATTAAATGCCTTATTATTAATAATATTATTAGTTTTGTCCTTAAATTTAGTGTGCTTATCTTTAAAATTAAAAATTGTTATTATTTTACTACAAAGGTTAATTAAATTTTTAGTGTTATTCTTATTCCTATAACCTATTCATAAGCTAATTTGGTCCTTAATTTTAATAATACCTTTAAGCTTAACCTTGTTAATTTAACTATTAGTTTTAAATTTGTTATTAATATTAATTTTGTTAATATTATTATTGAATTTATTGATATTATTAAGGTACTTATCTTGATTGTTCTCGCTATTATTATTATTATTGTGGTTATGATTGTTATTATTATTGTGGTTATTATTAAGGAAAAAAATATGTTCCAGAATATTACATGTTATTAATTTATTAATAAGGATTTTAATTATCAAAATTATTTATGTTTTAGGAATGTACTTGATTTGCTTGATTGAAAACTTACTAAGGCTAAGATTATTTTCTCTAGATTATATAGGCTGCTTGCTTAAACATTTCATACATTTTTTTATTTTCATTTTGAAGAAGCTATTAATTATCTTGATTTATTTGTTAAACTTCTTATTTTTAGTAGTAATAAGTATTGATGCAATCCTAGCAACGGTATTAATATTCTATGTAAAGACATTATTTAATTTTATTACAGCCTTTACACGTATCAAGCTTTTAAGATTATGAAAAATCATCACTTTATTATTATTATCTATTTTTATTTTAAAAATTATATTTATTAAAGAATTAAATATTGTTTGTTTATTTATTTGTTTTATTTTTAATAAAAATCTAATTAATCTTGTTTTGCTATTTTAAAATTAAAATAATCCTAAAAAAGTAATTTTTTTGTTCATAAAAATTGTAAAAGCAAGTTTGTTTTCTAATTGGAAAAATCTTTCAGTGAAATTTTTTAAAAAATGTAATGATTTTAAATAGCTTATTAAACAAAATAATAATTTTAAGAAAATTAAATTTATAAAAATAGATTTTAAAATTAATTAATTAGTTAAAAATTACATAGAACTTAAATATATCATTTAATTTTCTAAAGTCCTGCGATCAAATTTTTCTAAGCTTAATCTTTTTATGTCCTTCTCCAACAAAATATAATTATTACCATTTGAAAAAAGGATATTTATTTTATTATCTTCTTTAACTTAGTTTACAAATGGAGTAAATGTCAAAGTTTCTTTGAATTATCCACCATCAACAAAATAGATATCGATGTTTGATTAAAATGTCTTTTTTAGAAAAGAATTAATTACATTAAAAAAAATAAATTTAATTAGGCAAATGAATATATTATATGAATTATTACTTCAGATGCTAAGCTAACTATTTAAAAATTGATTTTTCTCTCTAATTCTAGTAGATTTTTTTCAATCTCTTCTTTCTATTTACATTTATCTTATCCTTCAAAAATCTCTAATAGTCCACTTTTTTCAAAGCAAACTAAAAATAATTTTTTGCAAATCACAACAGTGATAAAATCTAAAATATTTTATGTAGAGAAGTCATTTAAAATATCAGAAATTACATTTTATTTCTCTTACTGCCTCCATTTATTCAAGAAGGCAATAAATCGAACTGCACTTGATTTAAAAATTTAATCTAACTCCTAAAGTTATTAATAGAGTTGGATATTTTCTTGATTACTTTCAATAAACTAATAAATGGTTCTTATAAAGTTTTCGATCTATTGCTATTAACCATGAGCAAACAAATTAATTAGGTAGTAAATAAATACTACTCTGTAAAAGCTATTATCATCGTTTGCTAAATAAATAATAGTTTTAAATTTTAGGTTATTTACTTTTGGAATTATTTTTTAACTAGTATTAGAAGTATCTTCACATACCTAAACACTAAATATTTACCAATTTTTTTTAATTTTTTCAATCTACTGTTATAAATCGGTTTCTAATACACTTACTATCTATATTATGTCAATTAAACTAGTTATCTCTGCACTACTCATTAGAATATCTAATAATCAAATAATCTTCTTATTATTGAATGTATTTGCTTTTATTAATTAATAATTCTTTCTTTATATATTATCTCTCTTATCTTATTATTAAAAATAAACAAAAAAGCAATCAAATTTTTCAAATTAAATACTTTTTTATTGATAAATATAAAAAAGTAGAAATTTGCAATATTCTAACACAAAATACAAGGGAAAATTGCTTTTTGAATAAAATAAAAAAGACTTATGCAAAATTGTTAATAAGTATTATAAATATTTATAAATCTAATAATTATTTGAATCCACTCATACATAATCCTCATTTTTTGAATAAGCTTTTATTATTTTAGTTTTTAAAAAAGCTCTAATAAACAGAAAAACAGACAACATATTTAAATATTAAATTGAAGAAATATAAACAATAATAAGCTCAGATCAGACTCATTCATTTTTTAAATATAATATAAAAAATAAACTAATTTCATATTAAGAAATTTATTTATTTAACTATAAAAATATATTAGATATAAATCTTATTTTAAGAGTATGTATGTATTTATTTCCTCTATATAAAACTAAATCTCTCACGAATTTTAAGAAATAAATATTTTAAATAAAACACTCAATAAAATCAGCTAAAACTTTGAACAAAATAATTATTTGAAGGATTATTATTATTGCTGTTGTTGCTTTTTTAACCACTAAATTGAGGTTAATATTAAATTTTACTTTGCTGATTATTTTAAATTTATTATTACTAGTTTGAATACATATTTTATTAATATTATTGATCTCCTTAATTATAATTTTACTGCTATTATTGCTAATCAAACTTATCATTTACATTTTTTTGAATAAAATGTAAATTTTTCTTTTACTAAACTTGCTAAAAAGGAAGTAACTATTTTTGCTATACTGGTTAAGGATTACTTTAAAATTGAGGAGGATTTTATAATTGTTAATTTTAAACATTAATCTGGTTTTATTAGTTTTTAATTTAATTATTTTGTTACATCATTTAGTTACCAAAAAAATTATTTTAAATTTATTAGTTATTGTTTTAATAATAATTTTAGTTATCCATTTTTTTATTTGTTTCCATATTTCCTTATTATTTCAATTTATTTTATATGAAACTGTTAGGATAATCTAAGCTTTATTTTTCTTATTCACTCAATGGTTTAGGATAGAATTCTTATGAATTAAGTACAACATTTTTTGTATTATTATTGTTTTAATCCTATAACCCTAAATAAATATTATTGTTTTCTAAAAATTAGGACTATAATTAATTCTAATTTTCCAATATATGCGAATTTTGATTTTAAAATAACTGCTAATTCTATTAAAAAAATTGCTGCTTTTAATTGATATTATTTTGTGATTGTTAATTTTGTTTTATAACATTTGAATTCTACAACTGCTTATTTTCATTTTATTGTTGCTAATTTTAGTTTCCAAACCATAAATTTTAGTTTTAATCATTCTAATTTTGATTATTTACTTGGGGAATTTAACTTTGGTTTATTTGGCTTGAAAATCTTTGAATTTAGTTTGGTAAATCTTTCTACACATGAAGGTTGTTCTAACTTTTATTTTAAAATTGTTGAAAAATATGATTGTCCTAATTATTTTGACTTTGAAATTAATTATTTAATTAAAAATTCTAATTATTTAATTAAATTTAGTTAAAATTATTATTCTGTTGAGATTAATTCTCATTTTAATTTTACTAATAATTCATATTATTATTGCTATAAATTTAATTTTAAATTTAGTTATTATTTAACTAATTTCCATTTCCATTCTATTGCTGTTGCTAGTTAAATTAGTTTTAAAATTAATTTTAATTTTGAAATTAATTTTAATTATTATTATTGTCATTCTCAATCAGAGGTTTAGATTATTAATGCCAAATTTAGTTAGAATTAGTTTACTAATTATTCATATTTCCTTAGTTTTGCTAATTTTAAAATGAATTATTTCCAAACTAATAAACATTCACATAATTTTAATTATTTCCAAACTAATATGAGTTATCTTAATTTTAATTATTTTAATTTTCAAAATATTGTTAATTGGGATACTTGTTTTAATTATAGTTGCTCATCTGTTGGGGTTATTACCAGCTTTAGTACTGGTTTAAATATTGTTGATTTTATATCTAATTATAATTATTGTTAATTGATTATTGGTTATTTTAGTTCTATTAATACATTTAGTTATGCGATGGATTCATATTTTGAAAATTTTATCCATTTTAGAATTAATTTTGCTATAAAACAAATTATTTAGAAGATTCTGTATTTTAAGAAAGCTAATTCTATTAGGGAAAGTTTTATTACTAGATTTATTGTTATTAATTCTATTTCTAAGGAAAACTGCTAAAATTAACTTTTTATTAAAAATTAAATTATGATTATCGTTAATTATTTATTTTTTGACCTTCGTTTAATAAATTATTTTAGATATTTTAACCATTTGCCTAAAAATTTTCATTATTCGATTATTACCCAAGCTGCTAATTTATTAGATTTTTCTATGAGTTAGTTAAATTATTATTATTATTGTTATTCCATTGTAGCTAATTTGGCGGCTATTGATTAAAATAGTTGATTTCATTGCTATTATTCTCTTTTACTTTGCTATTATTATTATTTTTATTATTGCTTTAATTCATTTTATCCTATTAATTTTAAATTTATTATTATTACTATTATTATTTTTGTTATTACTCATTGAATTCAATCTTAGATATTATTTGAATACATTCCATGCAAACATTTTAAAATAATTCATTTTTGCTTTTATTACATTGCCTACATTTTTAGAAAGTAGATATTATATCTTTGACCTATTTTTTTTATATTAATTCATAAGCTTTTTAGATTTTTTCATCTTTTTTGTGCATTTTTAAAAATTGTAGGCAACCCCAGCAATATTATTATTTATTATCCTAGATAATATAAACCTTTTTATTTTTTGAGTTACATTCTTGACAAATGTCATTATCATTAAAAAAAATAAATTCCATCACTGAATTATCTTATTTACTGCTATATTATTCTTCTAATCCTAAAGCTTAATTTATTAATTGTTTTTCAATTTCGACATCCTATTCTATCGAAATGTAATAATTTATTTTATTGTTAGTTTAATTATTTAACTAATTTTAAATGCATCGTAAGCACTAGAATCCATTTTCAAAAAAGATGACTTCTTCTTATTTTTTTTTACATTTCTGGCATTTTTGGTCTTTATTTGATTAATTTATGCTACTTGCTTACATATCTTATGATTTTATAAACTAATTTTATATTCTAATATTTAAAATAAAACTTTAACATTATTTATCTTTAATTTTAAAAATTTTAAATATCTTTTTCATTAATTCAAAAGAATATTTGGGAATAAAATAGGGATAAAATTATTCATAAAAAATTGATAATTTATATTTTTTATTGTAAATTGGTTAATTCGAATACTTCAAAATTAGTTAAAGATAAATTTATTTCCTTATTTAATAAAACTTTTTGGTAAAATTTTATAATGAGTATTTAATTCACTATTTATTTTTGATAATAAATTATTTATTTGACTAGAGCTAATACTTGTAAAGTTAAAAACAATTATTTAAGTAATTTTCTTTATTACTTATTAAAAACGATTAATTATATTTTTATTTAATTAATATCTGTTTATATTTTCACTTTATTAAATATATTATTAGAAATTAATAGTTAATTTTATAAGCAATTTATAGTAAATTTATTAACTAATTAAATAGAGCTAAGTAATTTATTTTAAATAATCTTATTTTTTCTATTTAAAAGTCTAAAATAAATATTTGTGGTCAATTTTCTACAATTTTTTATCATGTAGTATTTTATCTTAAAACTTAATTCAGTTTTTTTATTAATTCAAAGAAAATAAAAAATTTACTTACAAGATACTTTGTTCCATTACTTGTTAAAAAAAAGAACTCTTGTAGCTTTAAATATTGAGATCTTCTGCCAAAGATTTAAAAAGAATGTAGTAATGTTAGTTCATAAGAAGTAGATCGATCTCAATTAGGTTGTTACTTTACTGAAGATATTTATTTTGAAAATAGAATTCTATTATGTCTTCCTTTTTAATGTCTACTAAAATAGTTTTCAATTAACATTTGAATGCCTAATTTATTTTCATAAAGTTAGAGGATTAATTGAATAAATAATAATAGCAATTAATAATTTTACATGTGGGGCGCAATAAATACAAAACGATTAAGCAAACTCGTTGTATTTAAAAAGCAATTGAGGTATTTCTTCTTCGGCATGGATATCAATAGCTTTTATTTATGAACAATTAATATCACCTTTCAAACTCTTGAATACCTCATAAATAAGGTTTTTGCAAATAACAACCGAGCACAAATCTAAGCAAAAGTTATCTCTATAATCATTGAAAATTGTTTCTGCTAGAAGCTTTATTTGGGTTTGGCCTGAAGAGTTTGATGAATTAGCTTTTTAAGTGGAAATTTAATACCACTTTATAAGACTTTAAAGAAAGGTAAGTTTTATTGATAACTAAATTTGCTAATTTATATTTTGTTAATAATGTGTCAACTTTAAATGTATTTCATTTAAATTGTAAGTATTTCTTATCAGCAACTCTATTAATTAAATATTTTATGTTGAAAATATTTATATCAAATAATTTATCATGAAAGCTCTGTAGAAGCAATTTCCATCTCCGCTGATGTACATAATTGATTTATAATTTTTTTTTAATAATTTCTGAATTGGTATCTAACTCATTTTACATTCAGATAAATTTTCATATTTAATTATTGGTTAAATCTTAAATGATATTTCCTCTGCTTGATAAAATAAACTTTTCATAATCTACTCATTTTATTTAATTTACTTTAGGATATCGCTAATCAAATTGTCAAAACTGCCTTAGCCACTTTTTATTTGGGACATTCTTTTTCTGCTTTTTATATTTAGTTTTTTTTAATTAAATTATTAAAAAAAATAACCAAAATCTAATAAACTTTCTTTGGTTGCCTATTTTTATATATTTGGGTTGTGTAGAGTGTGTATTTATGTGTTAAGTATGTTGATTTTTATTAGAATATTTAATCAAATCATTATTTGTAGAATATAAGCCTAAAATTTATTTGTGTAATTAAGATTAGATGATCACAATATTATGCAAATCTAAAGAAAATTGAAGATTTTAGTAATATATTATAAAATTAATTGGTGTTTGTAAATAATAATAAATCATCTTGCTCTCATACATATCTATCTGAAATTAGTTATTTTAAAATATTATTTCATTAAGATAAATTAATTTTATTTTTGTTACTGAAAATTCTAAATTGATTTACTAATCACAAGAAAAAATAAATAAAAATAACAAACCACAAATTTGATATTTTTTTACTGATTATTTAAATGAATTTTATAGCTTATTTAACAGTCAAAATACTTAAATAGCCAGATAGATATCTTTGATAATAATATTCAATAAAATAATACTTTGATGATTATTTTATTTTGTTATTAGTAATTCAAAAAATTAGAATAAGCATTAAAAGAGAGAAAAATCAATTGAAAATTAGTGGAAAGCAAATTAATGAATGATATTAATTGAATGACTATTATAAACGGATAGAAGGGAAATAAAAAAAATATTTAAAAATTTGAATAATCAACTTTTCAAATAATTTGTTTCCTTAACAAAAAGAAAAGAAAGTAATTAATATTGATAATTAGATAGATAAAAATTAATTAATTAATTAAGATTAAGATAAATAAATAGATTAAGAGTAAAAAATTTGAATTGTAAGTTATTGAAAAATACTCTAAGATCTTAAATAATCTTCCTACTTCTATAGTTAAAATTTAAGCAAAATAGGACATAAAATATTTTTAGTTGCATTAGTGAAAAAGAATTTATAAAAAAGTTATTTTATTAGATTAGGGATAGATGTATAACGAGTAATTCATCATATTAATTAGTATTATTTTTTGATGACATTTTTATCTATTATATATAGACAGAGAGATTAAATTTAGATAATTTTAAATAGAGCTCTACTCAATCAAGTAGATCAAAATTATGAGGTAACTAACTCTTTATTAGCAAATATAGAAAGTATTAATGAATATTTCGTCAATTTAATCTAGTATAGGAGAGAAATTAATGAATTGAATCAACTTTTATAAAGGAATTAATATGATAAAAATCAATTCTATGATCTAATGCTGTAACTTATTAAACATACATACTTTTAGCCTTTGTGTATTTAACTTTATTTTCAAAAATAGTTCAATTATCTAGACTAATCAATCAAGGTATAATATAAGAAGCGTGCTTTCTTTTCTATAAATTTGGTAAAACTCCTAAGATGGTCAGTAGCAGCCATAAAAAGTGTAATTAAAAATGCTTTTTAATTTTAACGAAATAAATGTATTCTTTAATATAAAAATAAAGTAATTCAAGATAGTTGGCAGCTTTAAATGGTTAGCCAGTTAATTAATAATAAGAATAATTGAGATTACACAGAATAGGAGCATAAAATCTATGTAGATCTCTACTTTAGATTAGATATAATCATGTAAATTAGTTATCTAAAATTAATAATTATGCTAAAATTCAGTTTATAAAAAATAATAGATGAGAAATAGTTTTTATCAAATAAGATAAGTTCAGTTATCATAAGTAAGAAGACATCTTAATTGTAGTCAAAGAATTAAGGGGCAAATCTTATAAATGATCTTTTAAAGATATTTCCCCGCTGAACTCAAAAAGAAAGAATTCTTCTATCGTTGGAGAGTCAGATGCAATATTATTTAACCTAGAAATGTGATAAAAAGATTGGTTTTGTATGCAAGAATCCAGCCAGAAATCGTAAATACAAGCTTTTAAAATTCTTTCTATTAAAAAAATAAAATTATTTGTGAGATTCTTAACTCACTTATTTGTTTGCTTTTAAGAAATCAATTGTTGTTGTTTAAAAAATGTAAAGAATTTAAGTTAGAAAATAAATATTTTTTTTTATATCCAAAGATAATTGATAGCTTTCAAAAAAATAAAATTTATCGTTATTTTTTAAATTCTAATTTTTTAATTTCAAATTATACGAGAAAACAGCTTTATTTAATTTATATTTTTTAATAAAAGGCTTATTGGAGACTAAGAAGCTTAATTAGCAATCCTTATGAAGATCATATTGTGGGGAAAAAAATTGCTTAGTTTGAAGATATTCTTGAAAATACCAAAAAAGCTATTTACAAAAAATTTTAGAAGCAAGCTTTTGTCATTTTGTTGAAGAACTAAAAGAGGCAAAAAAATTTTTTAAGATTATGTGAACTCTTTGAAAAAAAAATGAATAAGCTGTTTAAAAAAATAGGATTTAGGGTAATAAAGCTAAACTAGAGAGATTATTTAGTCAATAAAAAATTTATAGATTTACTTGCAAATTATGCAAAAAAGAAGACTAGAGCACCTTATGATGAAATAAAAAAAATAAATGAGGAAGGCGAAGAAAAAAAGAAAAGAGCAGTTTATAAAAAACTTAATGATAATTTAAAAGTTAATATAACAGAGTGGAGAAAGCAGGCTAATTAGGCTAAATAATATATGAAATGCAGACTTGTTATGAAGTTTTTAGAAACTTTAAATAAAGAACTTGTAGTGAATACAATGTAGATTTTTCAATCAAATAGAGAATAGATTTTGAAAAAATAAGCTATTGAAAAAATGTTTGGTAATTTTAACTAATTTGCACGTAAACTTTTAAACACTTGGAGAGTGAATGCAAGGTTTGGTACACTTAACAGAGACATGATTTAAAGAATGATATAAAATTTAGGTCAACAGGTTAATAATGGATAAAAAGGAAAAATGAGATCAACTCTAAATTCATTTTATATAAATATGAAAATCAAAAAAGTTTAACTCAATTTCTTTAAATCCTTATTAGACACAAAAGCTGGTTAAATGCTGAGAGTCTTTAGAGTCTGGAAAGAAATTCCTTCTCGTATGACAGGTCCTGCAAACAAATTCTAAATTAAACTTTAAAACTTTGCTTTTAAAAGATTAAGAGTATTTTAAGATTCAATGAAGTTTCTTTTCTAAGAGGCTGAAAATTAAAAAAAAAGAGCCTTATAAACACTTCTTCTAAAAACATAATCTTCGTATAAAAGATTATTTATTGAATGGAAATAAATGGTGTACACTGATAGAATGATTAGAAGATGCAAACTAGTCATAAATATCTTCGAAAGAGTTGAGCAAGTTATTTAGGCAAACACATAAATGTTATTCACTGATGACCAAAAAATTAGAAGAATGACAGCTATTGTAGAGAAAATGATTGAACAATGGAAGAAGAAAAATTACAATTATTTCTTTAGATGGAGATAAATTAACCACGAATTAAAAATGGAGGAGCTCCTTAATGATAACAATAAAAAAGATATGCTTAAAAAAATGGTAGATTATGTTAAGAGAAGCTCTGGAAACTCTCATAGATTCGTTCTTCGTTAATTTTATACCAATTACAAAGTCAAGAATATTTAACAAAAGATCTTCAAAGCTCTCTTTGATACATCTGCAGGAAAAGTTCTTCATCTCTTTATGCTTTGGAAAGGTCTTCCACCTCCAAGCGATAACGAAATGTAAATAAAAACTGTAAGATTTGAAGGTATCTTGCATAACTTTTCTATGAGACCTATTAAAAAATCTTTTTAAGCTTTCACAAGAATTTATTAAGAAGCTATTTCAAGAAAAGTAAAGAATTTTCATATTTATTTTTATTTTACAATTCTCATTAAAAAATCCACTTAAAACAAACTTGACTAAATAAATATTTTAATTATTTGATCAAATCCAAAAAATTAATTTAATAAAGCCAGTTTTATTATTTACTTTATTTTGAACTTTAAGGTGGACTTTTTATTTTTTGATAAATATTAATAATGCTTTCATTCACTAACTTTTCATAATAATTATTATATAACTTTACTTAATTTTAATCCTTAGAAGCTAATTTACTTTATGAGTTATTTTTTCTTTTATTGTTGATAATTAAAGCATATTTTTAACAATAGAAAAGTTTCTTTCAGAGTCTACAAAAGAAATCTATGTCATCACATAAAAGAATGTTCATAAACTGGCATTAAATAGCTGATAATTGTAAAAAAGTAAGTAGATGCAAAAAGACTATGATGTTGTTTGATATTATGAATGATTTACTCTCTTAAAAAGTGGAATTTGCTCTATTTAGCTCTTTACCTGACTATGATAGGAAGATAAGAGCAATGTAAAAATTAATTGAAAATTACCAAAGGCTTAGAAAAGAATTCTGGATTATGTGGAAGAGCAGGATAAACGATTTCAGGATAAAAGATGAATAGAAAGGTGAAGCAATCAAATAATTGGAAGATCTTTTGGATGACAAAGTAAAGAGATAGATGAAATAAGCATTATAAAGCTTTGATGTTGACAAGAAGCTCTAAAAAATTGCATTTAATTTATATAAAAAGCTGGGTGTTACTTCCAGTTAAATGGCTCTTCAGCTTTTCCTCAAGGTATTTTATAATTTTTATTTAATTACCAAACATTTTTTTATTAATCTTTTCTTTTGATAAATTTAAGTGGAAATATCTTCCTTACAGACCCCCTAAAACAATTTCTCACTATTTTGAAGAAAAAATGAGAGGTTTTGTAAACAATAGAAACAGATAATTTTTAGATTGCTTGAAGGAAATAAAAAGCCAAGCTGATGAAAAGAAAAAAAATCTGATTATTCTCTTTTTACAAAATTAAAAATCTAAATTTTAAGGAGTTTATGATAGCTGGAACTATAAAAGAGAAGACTAAGCAGTTTAAAAGTAATTTTATCAAAATAATAGCTAATTTAAATTTTTTGTTTTTAAATAAAAATAGATGTTCTTTAACCATAAAATTATTTGATGCTATCCATATTAAGCTTTAATAATAGTTTGGAGTTATAGCTGAAAGCAGAAATTGGGATTTGATGCAAAAATACCTTTAAAGATTGATAAATCAATAAAATTTAAATATAAAATTCTGCTTGAAATAATGGCGATAACATGTATTTGATTCTAAGATAGATCTTGAAACTAAGCGTAGAATCATTGAAAAATTAAATTTAATGAAGGAAGGATCAACTTTAGGCGGATAGAGAAAAGTTCTAAATTAATTTATGAAAAATAGAAACATCAAAATAATCTAAAATTAATTTTTCAGTAAACTCTTAGATACTTCAGTAGGAAAGACTTTATCAGTAATTTTTTATTTATTTATTTTTTAATTTATAAATTTTATTCAATAGCAATGAAAAATTAATAAAAATTAATTTATGGCAATTTGAATGATTTAATTAAAATAGATATCTTTGATTTTTTGATTTTAAATATAAATTCTTTTTTTTAGTTATTTTAAAAATGGAAATCACTACCTCTTCCTAGCTCTGAGAAAATCAAGGCATAGAGATTTGAAAGACTTCTTAATGATTTCAGTGGAAGAAGACTCAGATAATTCTTTGATCCATTAAAATAATCATTGGTTAAGAGTTAATTAATTCAAAAAGACTCTATCTATCGTCTAATCAATTTAACTATGAGTGACCACAAAAAACTGTTCCTAAAATGGTCAAACCAAACAAAATAATACAAGTAGAATTCAAAATGCAGATAAACTTTGAATCTTTTTGCCATCCTTCAAGAAAAACTCACTGAAAGATTCCATTAAGCTATTGAGAATAACAGGGAAAATAATTTAAAAAGAAAAGTTATTGAAAGATTATTTGAAGAACAAAGAAGAAGAGTAAACAAATAATTTATTTTTATATTTAAAAATTTTTTAATTCTTTTTTATTTTATAAAATTAACCAATTTAGACTCAAAATGCATTTTCTACTTGGAGCCAACTTGTGAGAAGTGTTATGTAAGCTGAAAAATGCAAGAGGACAATTGACTTCTTTGAATAGATGGTTGTTGCTCTAAGATCAAGAACTGATGTTATTCTTTTAAATTCATAAACTGTAGCTATTAAAAAAAGAGCTCTGGAGAGATTGTTTGAAGTTACAAGAAGTAAAACTGTTAGAGCGTTTAGAACTTGGTATTAGTATATGCTTTACAATAGATTAGATGACAAATAAAAGAGGAAAATGATTGATATGCTCAGAAATGCAATAACTCATTCGAAAGGCAATAAAGTCAGATAAGCTATTCAAAGTTTCAAGAAAAATGCTTCAATTCGTAAATATTAGATCCAGTTCTTCAATAAAATACTGCAATCTAATATTGGCTAGTAGATTCTTTGTTTCTAAAAGGTAATTTCGATTTATTTTATTTTTAGAAAAAATTAAAATTAATTTTAAAAATAGTGGAAATCGCTGCCGATTCCAGTTAACTTCGAAGAAAGGCGTAAATATGCTTCCTTTTAGCAAAGAATGGCTAATATATACACAAATCCAATAAAATAGAGCTTGTAAGCACTTAAAGATATAAAATATGTTGCAGAAATTACTAAAAAGAAAGCACTTTACTTGATGCTTAAAAAGACTATGGGTGTGCCTCAAAGACTCTACATAAAATGGAAAAATGTAAATTCAAAAAATAAATAAGATTTTATTTTAAATTTTTTAATTATTTTCAAAATTTTAGGTTACTTAAGATGAAAAAAGAGTTGAACATTTTAATGCAGTGAGTAGATTCTTTGAGATAGTTAATTAGAAAATCACAGGAAGTTTAGAAAACACTATAATTGAAAAAACTGGCTCAGCTTCTCACAATTAAAAAATATAAAAACTTGTCATGTAAAAATTATACTTTGTTCAGAATTATTTATTTAGCTTACAAATAATATTTTAAAAGATTATTCTAGAGAGTCGAAAGCTTATATAAGAAAACTCTAAACGACTCCATGCATATGATCTAAAGAAAATCTGGTAGCGTAGCACTTAGAGCTTATTTCGCATCCCTTTGGAAATGGAAATTTGCAAATTTAGATTCAAAATACTATACAAAATATAAATAAATTTATAGAGTAAATAATTTTTTTTAGTTTTATATTTAATTTATTGGTTATGAAATTAGTAATCTGCAATTCTCTCCAGATTTGTCTAAATTGTGTAAGCAAGAATTACAAACAACTTACAAGATGGATATAAAGAAATCAAAAACTTCAAAAAGAAGAGTAAAGAACAGCTCCTATTGAATTGTATTGGCATTAGATAAAGAGAGGAAGTCAGATTATAATCAGCATGGCTTAACAGATGGAGACAAAATGTTAATTTGATGAGATATTAACAAAATATTATGACTGTTATGATTCACCAAAAACTGAACAGTACTGTATAAATCTTAAGTCGTTTGTTGAAACAAGCAGCAATGAATAGAATAAAAAGTAATTTTAATTGAAAAAAATACATTTTTTTTATAAAATATTCATTCAAAACATTTTAATTGGATTAATTGATGATAGTCCAAATTTTTTGCAGATAAAATTTGATATAATTTTTTTCAGTTAAAATTTGATTTAAATTTTTACATTTTTTTATTTCAGTAAGATATAAATAAATTTCACTTTTACTAATTAAAATTACTCAAATATTTTTCAATGAGAGATGATATTTTTTTACTATTTTTTAAAATATATAAAAAATAATTTAATGAATAGACTTCGTGTTTACAATTAGATCAAATAAATCTTAGTAAGTTGAAAACTTGGTTGCGGTCATTAAAAGGGCTAGATAAAGATAATTATAATCTTCCTTTGAAGCAATTCGTAATGAAAGTTATTCAAATAGAATTACACGTAAGCTTTATCTCATAAATAGAGGTTTAATCAAACTTTGTGAATCTAATACGATAAAGCAACAACTTCTAGCTTATGCTTTTGATGCAATTTACGATTCTGCCTATGATTAAAATGTTAATGTTTGGGAATAAAGAACCTTTTAACAAATGTTTTGTTTATCAGATATTGCTACTTCATTTAATATTCTAAAAAATTTGGCTTTCCCTTAACAGGATACATAAAATTCTCCTCCTCCTTCTCCACCATCTACTCCAATAAACTCAAGGGTAAACAACAATTATATGGCTCCTAGACATCCAGAGTATAACAATAGTAATTAAAGAAATAACTAGTATCTATAGTAAATACCATAACAGTACTAGGATAACTTATCAAATTCTTTGACAAGCTCATATTAATAACCTCCTGAAATTAGAGTTACAACATCTGCTCTCGTAGCTTAGCATTTACTTGAACCATCCTTATAATAATCTATCTAGCTCAATTAAAATAGAAATCAACCTTAAATACAGGAGATAGAAGACAATAGTATAAGTGGAATCCTGAAGAAAATAGGTTAAGATAATTTAAGAATCATCAATCGTTATGGTGCCTCTGATCATATTTATAGTGTGCTACAAAGAATATTTTAAAGATAAAAATCTTCCATATTCAGATAACTCGTTATTGTAATCATTTTTTTAAATTCTTTATTTTTTCAACTAAATTTTTTCATTAATAATTTAGAAAAGCAAAAATAAAACAGTGGTTGAGCTTAGATTTGAATAGTAAAAAACTAAAAGTTAAATTAACGATTTATAAAATTCTAATAGGAAATTAGAAAATTAATTATAAAACTCTGAAATAAATTACTAAAACAAGATTTAATAGTTAGAGTAATAACTCAATTCGGCAATAGTTAAGTCAGAGTCTTTACTTTCTCAAGAGAAATAATAACATTAACGCTATATCTAGTAGTTATAATAATAAAACTAATAGCAATAACTAGAGCTTTAAGATTAAAGAAGGTAAAACTAGGAAATGCAATAAGCAATCCAATAAAGTAATTTTTATTTTTTTCTCTAAAAAACCATTTATTTATTTAAACTTAAACTTATCTAAAAATAAAATTTAATCTTAGGATTATATGAAGAAGATAATTAGGAAGCAGACTAATTATAAAGAAGTAGCAGACATTAAAGCGATTAAGAAGAGTATGAAAGAAGATCTCTTCACTAACTAGATTAACTAGAAGAAGAAGATTAGCAAAGAGACAATTAATATTTAAATCAAGTTTCTGATGTTTAATATACTTTGTAAGAAATGGAAAGTAGAATTTAAGAGCTGATGGCAAGAGATGAAGAAGCATAAAGACAGCATCAATAAATATTGGAGGATGAGCAAAATTATGATCATGGAGAATACAATAACAATTACTCTGATTAGCCATAGCTATCTTTAAGAATTAGATTATAATATGCTGATTAAAATGATCCAAGATATTCTAATTAACAATAACAATAATCTCTTTTATCACAAAGATCTCAACAACATTAATACTTCTAATCTCCTGCTAGCACTTAATTCAGAAATGATGGTAATTTAAGTAGTAGATCCTAAGGATATCCTTATGTAACAGGAGATGATTAAATAGACGAAGATCTTATTTAGTACTAAAACAATATGGCTGATTAGTAGCCAGATGAAATTTAAGATCTATAGAATTTAAATTTATAATTAACAGTAACAAAAATTAATTAACTAATTCGCATATTTAATGATCTAAGAACAAGAAATTACAGATTTGCTTTTTATAAAATTAAAAATTAATTATACCAATCAAATTGATGAGATGATATAATTAAAATTTTAACTGAAAATTTGTATTGAAAATGGATAAAAATTAGATAATTCTTATCTATTGGCAGGAAGGCTGACTGACTATTTGCCATATTACTAAAAACAATTAATTATATTTTCCATTTATATTCATTTTTTTCTTTTCTAATTAACTTTAGGAATAGATAAAAAAAGACTATCTATTTTATTAGAATATTTTCTATTTTATTGTTAAACCTTATTTTATTTTCATGTTTTTATGTTTAATTAATAAAAATATCTTTTATATATCTAGTTTTTAATATAATCTTTACTCATATTTTACTTATTTAAAAAAAATTATATTATTTTTTCTAAGTCCCTTTTACTGTAATTAATATATTAATTACTTGCTTATCTTCGAAATTAATAAAAATTCATTTGCTAAATTTAAATGTAATTTATTCTGTTTAAATTATTTTTTGCAATCAAAGAAGTAAAAATTTTATTTTATCATGAAAAAGTTTTCAAAAAAAATGATATGTTAATAATAAATAAAAATTAAAGTATTAAAAATTTTTATTAATTGTTAAAAATAAATTTTCAAAAGTTACTTGCATCGAATTCAAAACTAAATATTAATCAATTAGAAGTAAGCATCAAAAAGTAAATAATGATCTGTCATAAGATACAACAGACGAATCGAGTAAAATAAATATCTAACAGCGTAATTATTCATCTGAAATAAAAAATTAATAAAAATAATTACACTAATCAAAGAATGAAATAATGGAATTAATTAAATTGATGTTTTACTATTAAAAAAAAATAATTAAAATACACAATAAATGAATTTTTTACATCTATTTCTTTATTAATTTATATTTTATTACTAAGTAGTATTAAAATTATCTACAATATTTTTGTGAACATTCTCTTTTTCTATTGTCTCTTAAATAATATGTTATTAAAATATCAAAAACTCAAATAAATTAGTCAGTCAAAATTCGATTTATTGAATAATATTCACTTTAGAAATAATAAAAAATAATATTTATATGTGAATTCATTATTAAAAGAATTCAAAGATTTGTTTGTTTATTTGTTTGTATTTTTTGTTTATTTGAACCCAAAAAGTATAAAGAAAATTTACACTTCAAAAATTAGAGCAAAAAAAATTATTTATTAAAATTAAATTTTGTATTAAATACAATTTATTCAATTAGGAATTATATTATGAAAAGCACAACTTATAGATTGCTGCTAACCGGTATTGTAGCACTAAGCATTTTCTTACAGACTGTCTTAGCTACTTTAGAAAATGGTCAGCAGTAAAATTCAAACTAAACAAATAGCTCAGAATCATTTTAGTAGAAGGAAAGCAGCTAGGATGATATGAATAGCATAATAAAAAAAGTTAAAGATTCTTCAATAGTTAAGCCTGAAGAGCATATTGTTAAGGAAAGTAGAATTATTTTCTTTATCTTCATGAGTCTAACCATAGGAGGTCTTCTTAAGCATGTCAACAAAAGATTCCCAGTAATTTATTTACATCAATGCACTTTATTGAATAAAAAATATGACTTTATAATTGATTGTATAAGTGAATATCAAACAAATAGTTAAAAAGTTATCTGACATAAATATTTAAAATATAAAGGTTGCTTATACTTCAATGCTATTCTTAATTGGATATTTTGGAGGTCTATTTCATGATAGTTTGGGATAGCTTGGTGAATCTATCAAATCAGCTAGTTCAATTAATCCAGTATTTACTTATAAATTGTAAATACAATCTAAATTCTAATCAGTTTTATATTCTAAATAAAAGCATGGAATTCTAATTATATTTTTACCAGTCATGATTTTCTAAAGCGCTTATAACACAGATTGGCACATTTTTAGGAGATAATTTAGTTAGGTAATTAATATATTAAGCAATAAATATTTTTGATGAATATAAAAATTATAAAATTATATTTTTAGAATTTGTTTTTTGGACCACATATTTATTTATTTATTTGCTTACTTAGCTTATCCAATAGCTCTAAGTGAGTATTAACCCGAAATAAAATATTATGATCAATAAACAAAATAATTAACATTAAATAAAAAATATAGATTTTCATTCTTGCAGTTCCTTGTGTTATAGTAGGTTCAGTCTTGATAATGGCATTTATTAAATTATTGTATAGAGGGGATGAATATTCCTTGTCAAGTACATTCCTTCTAGGTTCTCTACTTTCTTGGACAGACACTGTTGCAATAGGAGCTATTTTATAAGTACTTAAAATAAATAAAAAATTTAACATAAAACTATTAATTTCTGTAAAAAGGAAATAGGTGCACCAAAAAGGCTTAATTCATTAATAAAAGGTGAGTCTCTAATGAACGATATCACATGTGTAGCCTTATATAAGGTTGTAAAGGTACATATAATATTTTACTCTATTTACTTATATTATTATTTCTATTTATTAATTTCATTCTTCTTTTACATAATTGCTTATTTATTTATTTATTTATTTATTTATTTATTTATTTATTTATCATTAAATCTATTTATTCAACAATCATTATTTTTATAAAAGGAAGTTGTAAGGGAATCAATTACTGGTTTTTGGGGTAGTGTTCAATATTTTTTCGTAGTCGCACTAGGAGGAATTCTATTTGGTATACTTTTTGGATTTGTTACATCGTTTTGGATAAAGAAGATTTTTAATGACGAAATTCATGCAGTCAATATAGTTTTACTCAGTTGTTATCTTGTAAACTTAATTATAAATTCATTTTTTATAAAAAATTAATTCAAATAAATTTATTTTTCATTTATTTAGAATATTTTTTATCTTTAATATTTGAATATTTCAAGGATAATGTTGGTTTTATTTAAAATTTATTCTTAAAAACATTTTAATAATATTGATTTATTATATCTCTTTAAATAGCTCTATTTCTTTGGTTAAAATATCACTATATTTGGGTAGTCTTTGAATGGTATAGTACCTTTAGTGAGTTTTGGTTTATTTATGTCAGCTTCTGGTAAAAAGAGAATAGCAAGTTAGGCAGATCAAGCATTTAGATAGTTCTGGAATTACATCTCTTTTTGTGCAGAAACAGTTATTTTTATTCTTGCAGGTGTTATTGTTTCCTTTACCTTTTACGTAAGAGATTATAAAATATTTTATCTCTTAATTGATTCTTTTAATTAATTTTATTTAGTCTGAAGAAACATCAGGAATTACTACACCAGACTATTATAAGCTATTTTTGATTTACATTTTCACAATCATTTCTCGTCTAGCTTCTATTTCTATGTTTATGCATTTCCTTTAAAGACTTGGATACGGTCTTACTTGGCATGAAGTTTATGTTCTAGCTTATGGTGGCTTAAAAGGAGCTATCGGTGTTTCGATAGCTTTGATTGTGTCTCATGATTAACATTTTAATTCAGAAATGAGAGCTTTGGTAAATAATTAATTCATTTTATATTTATTTTTACTGTAATTAATAATCTCACCATAAATAATTTAGATATTATTTGAAGTAGCCGGAAATTGTCTTTTGACATTATTAAGTAATTATAATTATTTAAGAATTTTATAAAATAAAAATATAATATTAAATATATTAAAATAGTAAATGGGTCAACAATAAAGTTTTTAATATAATATTTAAAAATTACTCCTACTTCCTAACTTAAAGATAAACTGTTTATGGATTACTTAGAAAAAGATTTTAAAGAAGAGCTTGAATAATAAGTTAAAGAATTAAAAGAGAGTAAGTATTTGAAAAATGCAGACTGGGATAATGATGTGTTAGTTCTTTCTGGAGCTAAGAAATAGCAAGAATACATGTTATAGTTAGACAAAAAGATTTAGGAAAAAGAATAAAATTAAGAGGACAATAAAAAGAAAGAAGAAAATGAGCTATAAGTTGTGTAAAAAATTCATAAATCATTCTTATCAAAAATTAGCTTGCTATTTTTTAAATTTTTGTTTATTTAGATAAAAATAAATCAATCTTTTATATAAAAAATAGCTTACTTAAAGATGAAAAAAAATACCAAGAAAATGATCGTGTAGATGAAGAAAATAAATAAGAAGATAAACCCCGCTAAGAAAGAAGCAACAGTAATAGTTCAGATTCATCTGATGAAGATAATGAAAATTCAATTAAATAAGATGATGAAACCTTAATTTTCATTAGAAATATTTTCCTTAAAAGATTAAAAGTAAAAAATTAGTTTTTTTATCAGGAAATTAAAATAATTCATTTTTATTATTTTAATTAATGCGAATCATTCATTTTGAAACCTTTTTAATTAATTATACATAAATAATAAAGTCAGCTATCTGGGATTTATTTGAAAAGAATCAATGTACTGGAGAAAGTTACATTAGATTATGCGAAGCAGTTGATTGGGATTTAGATCTTGAAACCTCACTCATGAATAATTGGACCTATTTGAAAAGATAATTTAGTGAAGGTTATATTCACTTTTATTCCACTTTAAGAAATTGGACCATTATTGGTAATTGGGCTAAAAAACAGCTTTTCTAGCATATTTCGGGTATTTTTGACATGGTTCATACTTACTTAGAGGCTCACAAAATTGCAATGACCAATTTATTAAGTGTAAAAATAATTCTTATTTATTAAAATGTTAATAATTGATTTTTCAGATAAAATAAGATGAAAGATATATTCAAATCATTCTGCAGGAGGCCTAAGAAAATGAGATTTATGCTAAATAATATTTAGATGATTTCTTAGATATAAGTTTCCCCGACGTTAGTCAATAAATAAGAACGAAAAAAGTTGCTTTCACGATTTTAGAATATCAAAAAGGTAAAAAAATAAATATTTTAAATTGAAAGGTAAATTAAAATATAAATTTAATAAAAAAGATATAATAAAAGAGAAATCTGCCTAAGGACAATTAGATGAAAAGGAGTTCTTTTCTCTCAAAAAGAAAATTGATCAAAATATAATACAAATAAACAATTTAACTCCATCTTGGGTAATTTAATTTCAAAAAAAGTAAAGTATTAAATATTGAACATTTGTAAAATAGAATGAACTTAAGTTTGATGATTTCATTAAATCATAACCATTATTCTAGCTGCTAAGCTAGCATATGAAAGAAAAAGCTAAATTTAGTGAAATCATAAGCTAAGCTACAGAAGCTCGTTTTGATCCTGAACAATTTGTTTTCAAAGTAAAATATAATAAATTTTTTGGATGAAATTAAATAAGTTATTTTGAATTAAAGAGCGAAAAAAAAGCTACTCATATTTTTGTTATTATGAGAGGTGGTGGAACTGAAAGCTACAAAAACGATTTAGGAAAATTTTCAGTTAAAAGAGGTGTTGGTCATATCTTACCCATTTAACAGCTATTAAATTCAAATAATAAATACTAAACAGGTAAATAAGAAAAAATGAACATTTAAACAAACATTAAATTCTATATTAAAATAATGTAAAATAGAATTTTAAGCTGACTGCATGATGATTACAAGATAAATTGAAATTAAAAAAATTCAAGATCATATTAAGTGTCACCATGAAATTGAACACCATATTTACAGAGAAAGTTTACCTTACTTATTCAAGATACATTACCAATAGTTTGCTCCATTAAGCGTTTTAGACATTGAAAAGATAGAAGATATTATCAATAAAACTTTTGTCAGAAGAATTAAAAAGGATACCATTTTTGAAATGTAGAGTGGAGGTATTCTAGCTAGAGGTAAACATTTTAAAATTCAAACTATTTTTAGCTTTTTATTTCATATTTTTATTTTATGTGACATTAGTTTTTATTTTTAGCAATTTCAAATTTTATATTTAAAAATATGAATAATTTATAAAATGATTTTGTTTTAAATTTAAAGGTGAAGTTCAACTTGTTTTAAATGAAATTGGATAATCTTCTTTGAATGTCTTCGAAGATGATTAAAATAACGTTGTTAAGAAAAGGGAATCATCAGAAGTTAACATATAAGAATAAGATGCTAGGCTTAGACCTAATTTCTAAAGTGAACAAGATTAAATGCCTGAAAAAGTTATTACCGCTTATAGCATCATAAATCCAAATGCTTCTTATTATACATATAAAACTACGAAAAAGTCAATTATTTTTGAATTTACAAATCCTGAAGAAATTAGACTGCTTACAACAGCCCTAAGAAGATAAAGAGCAACTCTTATCACTCCAAACTCTGCTCTAAGAAACCTTTTAAAAAAATATAATTGATATGTTTATATTAAATAAAATTTTGTTTGTATAAATTTTAATTTGCTTTAGAAAAATTTCAATTAACTGGTATGTTTTTGTTAATTATTTTAAGTTATTGTTTGAATATTTTTTTATCAGAAAATATATTATCTAAAAGCTTCTAAAATTTTAATAATGAATTTACTTTTTGATTTCTTTTATTTGAATATATTTTGGAAAAGTAAATTAAAACCCGGATAGATTTTTTGAATTATTATTTAAAATAATTCAGGTAAAAAAAGTAAAGAAAGATTTTCAATAAGATTAAATTTTTTTGTATAATTTTGGCAAAAATTTTTATAGATGTATGAAATTTTATTTGACTTTTATTAAAATAAAGAAGTAAAATGGAATGATTAATAAAAATAATTATTTGTTTTGGGATAATTTTATTAGTATTTGCCTAACAATTTCTTTTATATAAAATTTTAATTTTGTATTCTCAAAAGAATAATTAGATAAATTAATTCCTTATCAGGCAGAACATTTACAGAAAAATCTTATTTTAATCATTTTGAAGCAACCAAATGCATTCATTAAAATAAAAAAATTATAATTGTGGATTCAAATGAATAAATTGAAATAGAAAAATTTTAAGTGATAGATAAAATACAAATTTATCATATGTCATAATTTGTAAGTAAGAATTGTCAATCGACTTTTGTTAACTTTTGGTGGATTTTATTTACTATAATAAATAAGGATAAAATTTATATTTAAATTGTGTGATTTGATTATCTTTAATAATGTTTATAAAAGAAAAAGAGAACATTTGCAACAATTATATGTTATTGTTATCATTATGATTGTTATTATTCTTATCATCTGCTGGCAACCTTTAATTAGACGTAAGTGTTTACTTTGATTTTTTCTATGTAATCTGTATAAGAGAAGATAATCATAATTACATACACGCATGCATGTATGTATATACATAATAATTGATATTGATTAATATTATATTTAATTATTAAATCTCTAAATTATTGTTAGTAAATTTAAAATAATTGTTAAACAGAAAAAAATTAATTAATTGCAAAAATTTCAGAAAGAAAGAACATAGTGAATAAAAAATGCCACCAAATTTCAAGAACTTTAAAAAGAAAGAGGAAACCTAAAATCAGCCCTAACAAGATAATTCACCGAATTAATCTCAAGCTAGTAAATATCTAAATCAAGCGAATTACCAATAACATTTTTTTAACTTAGATCAATAGCCACAATAATAGTCATCGCCAAACAAAACATAGAAAGCACCTGAAAAAAATTATGGAGGATGTAATAAAGTTATTTTATTAATGCTAACAAATTAATAATGAATTATATATTTAGTCTGGGAAGAATAAGAGGATAAGCAACCTTAAAAGACAGTTCAATAATAGCCTGCTCAAACTAAGGGAAAACCAAATTTCCTGAAAAAGGAATAACCTGCTCCTCCACCTGCCCCTGTATAACAATAATAATAATAGGCAAATTAAGTAGTAGAAGAGCCCGTTTAAAAGTAGAGTGAAAATACTGCTCCACAACCAGAAGTTTAAAATACTTAAAAGCAGATTAAATAAGTAGAGAATAAGTAAAATTATTAGAATGCAAAAATAATAAATAAAAATAATTTTAATAATAAGAGTATAAAACAATAGCAACATACCTTTATCTAAATAATTTAAAGTACAAACCGAGTATGACCTAATATAACCAGATTAACTTGAAAACCCTTTGATGTACATAACTATATTTTTCAGCATAATATTAGATTTATTTATCTTTTTTTTGAAATCACTAGACAATTTGAAGGAAAATCTGTTGAAGAAGTTATTGCGCCAGGAGGTGTTAGACTAAAATAGAATTAAAATATCCTTGATGAATTCAATTATTCAGCAGCTAACTTCTAAACACCTATTGTAGGAAGCTTCCTAATTTCTAAACTCTATTCTACTTTGAACTTTTAATAAAAAATAGTAATTAATTATTTATTTAATTTTTAATAGCTTTAATAAAATAAAATATATTTTCTTCTCTTCTATATCATAATTTATGTATAGATTTTCTTTCAATTAACACTCTTATTAGAATTTTGTTAATTAATTTAAATTTAACCAATAGAGGGCTTTGTATGCAATTCAAGAACTCATTAGAAAATAAGAAAAATATCAAAAGTACTTTAAGCATCACATTTAAGTAATCAAGTCAGCTCCAACTCCTGAAGGCGATAATACAAATACTTTCAGTTAAGAAATAAATTTAATTAGCACCTTAGTTGATAATCCTAATGCAACAATCGCAAACGAACATGTAAACTTATTTTTTAACCCAAAAAAATAATTAAACAGTTTAAAATTTTGCAAAAAAAGTTAGAATAAATAATGAATAAAACATTAAATTAAAATTGTTTTTAATATTGATATTAATTTATTAAAAGGTTGATGTAAAGTTTGAATTTAAGAGCAATCTTTTGCCTACCAATTCTAAAAACACCAATAAAGGTCCTTCATCAATATTATCTCCTCATAGCGATACAAATAATACCAGCTACCAAAATAGTTAAAATAATACAGTAAATTATTTAGATGAATTGGATTTGTAAGAGTAATAGACATCTGAATAGAAGAAAAAGGGTTTCGATTTCATTAAAAAAAATAAATAAAACAAAAATGAAAATGAAAATGGAGTTAAATCTTAGTAAAATATAGAAGAAGTATAGGAAAATTAGCAATAAGAAAATAAATAAACTAAAAAAGGTTTTAGCTTTTTAAAGAAAAAGTAAGAAGTACATAGTGTTTAACAAATTGAAAGCCCTCTACCAGAAGTAATTTAAAACTAATAATAGGAAGCTACAAGTGAGTAACCTAAAAAAAATGCATTCTAATTCATAAAAAAATAAAATTCTGCTTAGACTACTCAACCTTAATAATAACAGTAACAACAAAACACTAATGGAAATGGAGTTAATCATTAAGATTACTCTAACGGTACAAACTAAGAAAATAAATAGGTTCCTTAATAAAATGGTACTAATGGTCATCACCATCCTGTGACAAATATAACCAATTAATTTGATTCTTTATCCTTAAATGGAAATCATTAACCTAATGGAAATAACACTTCTGCAAATTAATATAGCCCATATAGTGGATAATACCCTTAAAATGGAGGTTTTTCTCCCTATGGATAATAAGCAGGTGTACCTCCTCATGGCTTTTATCCACCTCCTCCTTAATATGGTGCTTATGGAATGTACCCTCCTCCTCCTGCTTATGGGTATCCTCCAGCTGGATATCCATATCCATATGGATATGGAGTTCCCCCCTAAGGCTATGGATAACCTATTCCACCTTATGGATATCCTCCCTACCCTCAAGGGTATGGTTAAAATTTTGTAGCTCCTCAACAAGAATAAAAGTAGTAAGCTTAAGAAAATTAAGAAATTAAAAAAGACAGTAGAGAAGATGCCTTTAACTTTATAAAGATCTGAAATAAATAAAATTATGTAGAATTAATTAAACATTAAATATAACTAAACAATCTTTATTATTAAATAATAGCTATTTATAACTATAAATTGTATATTACTTTATTCTATCAAATAATCAATCAATCAATAAACAAACAAACTAATACTTTATGTAAAAATTTTATTTTTTTATTATTTTATCTTTTAATTTTATATTGAATTGACTATTTTGGATTGTTATTTTTTTAATGATAAACATCATTAATCCATAAATTAAAAAAGACAGTAGAGAAGATAGATGTCTTTAACTTTATAAAGATCTGAAATAAATAAAATTATGTAGAATTAATTAAAAATTAAATATAACTAAACAATCTTTATTATTAATAAATATCTATTTATAACTATTAATTTTTTTTTACTTTATCCTATCAAATAATCAGCCAACCAACAAACAAATTAATTCTTTATGTAAAAATTTTATTTTTTTATTATTTTGTCTTTTAATTTAATTTTATATTGAATTAACAATTGTGGATTGTTATTTTTTTAAATAATCATTAATCCATTTTATTTGATGTAGATTTGTGAAAGTTTAATTTATTATTTGAATGAATTTATTTCCTAATATGAAATATAAATCAGGTGCAATATTTAAATTAAAATTAATCAGAATTTATTATTTTATTAAAGCCAAACAAACATACAAATAAAAAGAGACAATTTAAATATTTTTCAAACTTGGACTTGTTTTAAATTTTAGAACTTCCTTTTGATTTTTTGTTTACGAAATAAAACATTTTTGTTTTAAATTTTAGTACATTATATTTAAATAAGCTAAGAATGTTCTATTAAAACTTGAAAAAATATACTTTATAATTTATTGTTTAGGTTTTAAGCCTCAAAAGACATTTATTTTTAAATAGAATCAATTCAATAGCACTCACTAATAATCATTCAAAAGATTTATTTAATAAAAATTACAATTAAGGTGATATCTATATTTTAATTATAGGAGATCATCCAAAAAATCAGATATAATCTTTTAAATCTAGTTATTAATTTATTTAATATGTACACTCCAAACGATTAAGGATATTACTAACCCTTTATCCCATAAGATGGATAACAAATGCCAATATAATAAGATTATCAATACCCATACATGCCTCCTCCTCCTGCCTTATCTAATTCAGGAGCGTTGAGTAGTTAAAGGAATAATTAATTTTATGAATTATAAAATATAAATTAGGTAGAACGCTAGCAAAATTTTTAACAAACACCTCCTTCAAAAGGATTTTAAAGTATAAAATTGAGTGAAAAAATATAAGAATAATATGAAACTCCTACTGATCAAGGAGATGATGTTTAGGAAGAATCGAAGCATAACGGATTTTAAAATGCATACTAGCTAAGATAATAATTTAAAAGTGATTAGCAATTTAAATCGTTTAACATAAGTAATAATTTTAATACTCAAAATTCTTAATATATAAATATTAAAAGTGGTATGGCTAAGCTCCATGAATTACAAGGAATATATATTAAATAAAGATTCGATGCAGCTGAAAATTTATCTGGATGTGAATAACCAAATATCTATAAAGTATATCCAGCAGATTGCAATGGAGATGTGATTTCAAATTAGTATATTTTTAAATGCAAAGAAAAGAGCTCCTGTTGTGCCAGAAATTGTATACCTGGATCGAAGAGACCATTTAATATGATAGTTAAAAATAGGAGTGGGTAATTAACTCCAAGTAGAGATATGGTTGAGGATTCAAATTTCCTTTTATTGCGCAGACCATATAAATGTACATGTTTTTGTCTATCTAGACCAGAGTTAGAAGTATTTGTTACTGAATAAGGTGCAAATAAAATATTAGGAAAGATTACTTAACCCTTTTACTTTTGTAGTGTTGGTTTAGAAATTTAAGATTTACTTGGAAATGTAAAGTATACCATAGAAGGCGAATCTTATTGTATGCCAGCAGTCTTTTGTGGTAATTGCCCATGTAGAAGCTGTTAATAGGCTACTTTTATAATTAAAAATACAAAAGGTGATCCCTTAAGCTACATTACCAAAAGAACAGCAGGATGTTGGAAATCTTGTGCATCAGATAAATCCAATTTCGGAGTAACTTTTCCTCATAATGCGAATGCAGAAGACAAGATATTAATTATGGCTGCTACTTTATTTCTTGATTATAGCTACTTTGAAGAAAGTATCACAGATAGACATGGAAAAACATCACATATTAACTTAATAGATGATGAAAACAAAAAACAGCCAAGTGAACTAAACATTCCATTACAGCAAATCAATTGATTGTTGAGAAATGTATATTTGTATATTTTCAGCATAGCAATAATTTAGAAATAAATGAAAAATGTATTAATTACTAACACCTAATAATCAAACCACATAAAATAACAACAATAATAATTAAATCATAATTGAGCATTAATATAAAATATAAATTAACTAATTAATTAATTCATCAAATTATTAATATCAATAAAAAAGCTAAAATGATAAAATAAATTTATAAAAATTGAAATTTTAATTCTATTAATAGATTTTAGAGCTAAAAAAATATAAAAGCTGTAATACCAATAATTATTGCCTGAAAAATTAAATAAAAATATATTAAGTAATAAATTTATTTAATCTAATTATTCAAAATTTATACTAAAAAAATCTTTGTTATCTTTATCCTCCTTCATTAAAAGTATATTATCATTTGATATTTTCAAAAATATTAGATTAAATTTAAATGTTCAAATTAAAGAGAAAAGTTAAGTTACTAATGTCCTTTTTTACCACAAATTTTTTTGAGATTTCACTCTAAAAAGAACTATTTTTTCTCATTTCTACCAAAACACATCTTAAAAATGTTAACTTTTCGTTGAAAGTTGTTATAAAAAGTTTGAAAGGATACAAATTTAAAAAATGAGAGAGTTTCTTTTGAAAAAGAATAGAGATTTACTTACTATTATACTGACTTGAAGTTTTTTTTATTAGTTAGTTTTTGTATTTAGAAATAAATTTTTTTGATAAAAGTGAATAAAAGGAAAATATCTAAAAATGAATAAGTTTTAACTTAATCTCATAAATGTCTTAATAAATTTAATTGCATATATTAAACATAAATTGTTAATGCCAGTAAGAAATATGTTAATTTAATTAAGAAGAGGTACTTTTTTTTATTTTCTATCAAGAATGTTTTAAAGATTTTTTTTCAAATTATTTAATCGATTAAAGAATTGTAAACTAAAAACAATAAAAAGAGATAAGATCAAATTAAGAAAAAAATGATTAAAAAATAATGGATTGTATCTATTATTTTACTTCAACTGTATCTATTGAATTGCTAAGAATGTGGAAATTAGAGTTAATTTTATGATTAAATAAATAAATAATGCTTAGATTGTCATTAATCTTGTAAGGTTTGCTTTGGTCCTTCATAAAACTAATGCACTTAGTGTAATAGTAATTATTTTTTATCAATCCAAGACTCCAGCTGTGTATAAAAATGTGATAGCTATATGCAAGTAGAAAAGAGTCAATAAGTCTGCATAAAATGCTAAATATTTGGATGCAAATAATGTGATTAGAACAATGCTTGCACTTAATGCTATGAAAATATGGTTTTATAAAATGATGGGCTTTGCTACTAAAAATAAGATATTTGTTAAAGTTTATAGCTTTATGATTATCGATAAAATCAATGTGTTTATTCTTGTTAAAAGAACACAATCGAAAACTAATAACAAAATATTTGTCAAAACATCATAGACTGTAATGTAATAAATGAATATTCTAGCTATCAAATTAAGGAAACTATCTAATAAGTTTTCCTTTCTTCTAATGGTAGCATAGTAATAATAGAGTAATATTGCAAGATAAGTATTGCTAATTTAGATTTGTAAATCAGTGAATAATTTTAGTTGCTTCCTACATCGGAGTTTTAAGAGAGCTAATTTTAGTAATTAGGTGATGTTATTTATTGCCAAAGTAACATAAATATTGTTTTGTATGACGTTGTTACTGAAGAATTAATTAAGGTTCCTATATCTAAAATATCAAACAAAATTAATTTTATATCCTATTTTAAAACTTTAAATCTGTTAATATTTTAAAAAACTTTAGATTATAATATAGTAATGTATTCTATTAGTTCAAAAAATTAAATTACATTTAACATTGGTAAAAACTTTAGTTTTTATGTAATTAGTAACAATCTGCGAATTATTTATTCAGCCAATAGCAATAATTCAGAGGTAAATTAATTTTTTTACTTTCTTATTAAAATTTATCTTTTCCCCTCCTAACTAATTAAAAGCTGAAGCAATATTTACTTGAAATTTAGTAATAATTAATAATATTCTACCATTTAAAAAATATTAATTTTTTATTTTAAGCTATAAGGATTAATTTAAAAATATTTTAATTTTAAAATCATGCCAGTTTTGCTTGATATTTACTTCTCTTTTCTTCCAAAAAATTTAAAATCAATATTTCTTATTTTATAAAAAGGGTTCATTTTTTTTAGTTTAACCTAATGGTCTAGTAGCGAAATTGGTTAATAAAAATTTCAGTTGTAATTTTGCTTCGGTTGTAAATGATGATTTAAAGATCTTCATATGTGGTTACAAAGATAGATATGAGATTCATTAAATAATTTCAAGTTAAAATTAGCTTCAAACTTAATTAATTTAAAAAATTGACAGTTAAAAGGATTCTTAAAATTTAGAAAATATTATTTATTATCAAAGATCAGCAAATATGTTTATAACTAAATCTTAATAAACTTACACTCTTAATATTTACTCAATTACTAATAATTACTCATAAAGCGTTCTTAAATATAGTTTCTTGCGAAGTGCTGATTATTAGCTCACAATCATCTAATCTAATCAGGTTGGTTAGCCTGATTATTTATATATTAACGACTATTTTAATAGCTAATATTTCTATGTACCTATTGATGAAACTATTCTAAGTGTTTCTTCGTTTGATTAATTTCTACATAACTTCGATAATCCAAGTGATCTTACAGAGATTTCGAAGTTTATTAATAAAAACTAGATATATTTTGTATTTAAATTTGGATAATTTTAAATCAACATGTTTATTTATGACCTTAAGAGTCAAGAAAGTGCTGGAAAATAAGTTTGTTCTGAAGGATATACTCTTGAATTAACTTATAATTATTAAGAATCAAGTATGTATAATTCATTCATAGGTAAATAAAGCAAATACTATTTTACAAATATATTCAAATAATATATAGGATTTGTATAAGAACAAGATATACCTTTGCCTTTCTATTAATATATTTAATAGTAAAAATCAATTATTTTTAATCAATAAGTTATTGGTGATTAATATCAAATTATTTATTTACTGAAAAGAGTTACAAATAGCGATTGCTTATTTGTAATAGTTTATCAACCATAAGATTTCGTTTCAATCCTTTAGATAATGGATTTTTGTAAATAATAAATTATCTTTAAAGAGAATGTACCATTTTTAATGATAGAATATATTGATAGTAGCTTAGCTAGAAATGTGGCTGAGTTAATAGTTGAATTTAATTATTTAATTATTTATATGTATTAAATACTTTATGATTTAACAAATAATTAGATAATTACTAGCTTTTCTAGCTAGGCATAAGGTATTTACTCCTAAGCCATGTGGGTTTTTAACGGAATGATTTTAGTTGTTGATAATAATAAATTGATCACTTAGTTATTTGATTTAAAGACTCAAACTTATTAGAATTTATTTAATTAATAAAGCACTATCTAGCTAGTTACAGAGAATGTAGAAAATTCTAAATTAGTTCTTTTTGTAGATTCTTATTTGTATTTTAATATTGTTGACTAATAAAAACTAAAAGCATTCTCCTTAAAGCAGATGTCATTCTCAAGCTATGAGATAACTTAAAATTAATTTCTATTAGATTTAGAAAAAAGAATATTTTAGCTATCCTCGAATCAGCTAATTTTATTTTCTTAATAAAATATCGTTTTCCTTTCATCCGATTTAAAGGTAATATCAATAATTCCTTCTAATAGTCTGTTTTCATAGCTTATAAATTTTTACAAATCTGCTAATAAAGATTGTATATTGTTCTCTAATGATTAAGAAATGATATAATATAATTTATAAACACAGAGTAGTTAAAATATTTAGATATTCGACTAAAATCATAATAGTTACAATTTATATTTTTTTGGCTCTGGTAGTAACTTAGTTTTAAAGAGTAAATACTTGGTTCATTATTAATCAATGAAAGTTGTAAAAATCTTTGACTTAGAATATATTAATTTCTACTCATTTTTTAATCCTTAAAAATATGCTTCGATAAATACAATGATAGATGTAGATAAATAACAAATAGTATAAAGCTTTAATTCAGAAAACAAACCTTACATTAGTTTTCCTCTGAGTTAATCTTATAATATCATTTATCAAAATAAATAAAACTATGATGCTTATTTTATTGATAAAAATACTTCTAAAGTTTTAAAACTTAATTTAATATCATAAGAAGTAAATTAATTTGAAGTTAATGTGAACGTAGATTAAATTTATATTGATGATTTGCTAAGTGCAGCAATATTCACAACATAAAAAAGCTAAATATATGATTTAAATATTATTTATCTTACATAAAGCAGACCTTTTTAAAAAATATTCTCGTATGATAAAATTTTGAATTTTTAAGTTTGCAAGAACTAACAAAGAGCCATAATTTAGACTAGTTTCACTAATATTTATATTGTAGATGTAAATAATTTTATAATTTTTTTAATATATTCATCAATATAAACAATTTTTTAAACAAATAGTATGTAAATAATCTCTAGCAAAAAATAGAACTCTAAGTAAATACACTATAAAATTTAGCTCAATATAAAATCTTATGCGAAGACAATTTAATGATTTAATATACTCCATTTATTGTAGAATATTTAATTAAAGAATCTATTAAAAAACCTATCCAGTATTATGTAAAATTAAAAATAATCTTATTTAAAAATTTATTAATCTTTGATTTAAAAAGGCTTAATATATTGATAAATTCTCGATGACAACAATTTCACCTGTTTTAGATCTTAAAAGGTAGTCATTGATTTTATATTCAAAACTAAATGGCCTTCATTCTATATATTAAGGAATATACTCATTTACTTAAGGAATTTACTTTTATGACACAACCAACTTATTTTTAGACTCAAATAATAACTTATTAATCAGTACAGATGGAACAGCTAAGTAAATTTAAGTTATCGATGTCTTATCTTTGAATCAGAAATATAAAGTTCAGTTAAGTAATCAAGTCACCTAACAAAATATATAGTTTGATATAGTCTCTAACCAAATAATCTTACTTGACTAAAATCCATCATTATTAATATATCAATATGTAACTAACTAATTTGTTCAAACAAAGCTTTAATATTATCAATTAAAAGGGTTTTAAATTGATTTATTTAAGAAATATATCTTTTTCTATGATAGCAGCTATGTTTATGCTCATACATTTCCTGAATTAGTCTTTTTAGAAACTATATTAGATCAATAAAATTTAAATTAATTAATAAACTTTGTTTATTTAGATGTTAGAAGAAATTTATTAATTGTTTAAAACCAGGTAGTAATTAATCTCTATGATTTAAATTAAATAGTTTATACACAGAGCTTTAATTTACCATAATCATCAGAAATAACTTATCTTAGCTTTGACTCAGATCTATATTTAGTCTATAACTTAAGGATAAGATATTTATCTCTTTTCTCTAAAAGTATCTTCAAATTTTAATACAAACTGCCTAGTTTATAATCAACTTTGAAAAGCTTATCATATGGCTAACTCATAAAAACAAAAAGTAATACATTTATTTACTAAAATCTAGACTATATTTTATTTGGAAAAGTGGATATTAATAATATCTAAATTACAAAAATATCAGAATTAATCTTATAATAATCAATTAGAGATATATATTATTATTTCCAATCAAATTGTCTATACTTAATTGAATATATCACTAACGATATCTATAAAGTAGACTTAAGTTAAGCATTGATTAGCTAATAGCTTTCTATAATATTGGATCATAAAAATCAAGGATAAAATTTATACTATCGAGGATTGATATATGGAAATTTTTTAATTTACTATTCATCAGGATTTATTTATTCTTACGATATCTAGGGAAGCCAAATCAAATCTGGTTAATTAAGTCAATTAAATGATATTAGCCTTATATTAAAATTATAAGTTACAAGTGCTAACAATATTAATAATTACAGCTCTTAGAATTAGAATATTTATTCAAGCATTAATGATAATTAATAAAACAATTAATTACTAATAATTATTTAATCTGAGTCAATTCTTAAGATTTTAGATAGTATAAGTTTAGGAGAGCTATTTTCAATTAAAGTTTAATATAACATTTTAAACATTCATATAGAACAAGAAAGAAGTCTTATTTATGTTGTTGGTGATTAAGGCTTTACAAATGTTTATACAAACAAATTGGAATATAAAATGTAAATAATAAATCCATGCTTATTATAAACGAGAGTACATACTGATGAGATTTATCTGTACGTTTATTGTGATTCTTAACTGGAAATTTATAATAAGTTCTCAGTAAAAAGAGTATTCCCAATAATTTATGCCTTTACTAATTTGAATAAAATATACTACATACATCAGTAAAATTTATTTATTGTTATCTAACATAAAATGATATAAATAGTAAAAATTCTTAAAGATCAGATATAACCTATTGTTTTGTTTTAAAAAAACTAAAATCTTCTGTAAATTTTAAATTTCTCTGTTAATATTGACTCAAATAATAACAAGTATTTGGAAATTATAGCTTAAGGTTTGATGGACATAGTTTAGTATGTAGTCTCTATTGATAGCATATCAAATACATGCTTGTATTCATTTAAGTAGTCTGACTCAAGGTAATTAAACCAATTCATGTAAAAGTAATTACAAGAAAACCTAATTTATACAAAATAACAATTACAAGAGCTAAAGATATCTCTTAGCAATAATTAAGAAATATAAATTCCTCCTCTGTTTTATAATTTAAACCCAGATGGTGTGAAAGTAGTTTATTAATCTTAATTTAACGATTTAGATACTTAATAATAAAAACCTATTGTAAAGTGGCAAGATGGCAGTTTATTTGACAATAGTTTGATTTAAATTGTATAAATAAGCTCTATAAATTTAGTAATACCAAAAGAACAATAAATAATATTAAACTAACAAAAAAATATCAAAAAGTTATTTTTTTATGATATTAATATACTAGACATGTAAACTGATTTAATAATTTAAAATTTAGATTTAGTCCATATAAAGACAATTATTTTTTAAAACTTTAACCAAATAGAAAACAATAATATGATATCAATAATTAATTGTAAAACAGTGATAATTGAAGATATTTAAATTTTAAATAGCATATTTACTAATGGATACATTTTTTAAATTGTTAATTCAACTTTTGTAAGTATTTAAAGTGTTAAAATTAGCACTTCTACAGTAGATAATTTTATTGTCATGGATGCAATTTAGTAAGTTTCAATGAAAAATATCAATATCTTTTCAAGTAGTATTAGCAAAAATTTCTTAAAATAATAATAAAATTATAACACAACACTAGAAAACATTAAATGTGAAAGTCTAAAGGGAAATACATTAATTTATTAGATTGGTTGTTAATATTTAAGAATAGATGATTTTAAACTAAATAAAACTAGTTAATCTGATTTCAATTTACTCATCACAGAAGAATATTTCGATGTTTATTACTATAAAAATATATTTGTTTAGATGTTAAATTTAGTTTTTTAAGAAAGTGATAACATTAAATTATCAATGGTTTCTTCAAAAGTATTCTTTAAAAATATTTAGCTTAAGAGACTTAACTAGAATGGATTTAGCTTATTTGAAATAAATACTTAAGAGCTTGAAATTTAAGATTTCTTTTGTAGTTTTTGCAATACCAATTAATAGCTTTATTTGGTTTAAATTCAGGATTCGAATACAATAAAAATAAAAAATTTGCAATTAGAAAAAAGTAATATCTCTTTAATAAAAATGGATAATTAAATATAAAGTAAAGTTCATATTGATGATTTAAGAATTAATTCTTGTCAGCCACAATCATCTCTAATATAAATCGAAAACTGTAATTTTTTATAAATTATTTCATCTAATTTTAATTCTAATGAATGCAGTTAAGATGGTTGTGTCTTTATTATTAAAAACATTGGTAGTTTAAATATATAAGATTCTAAATTTATAGGCAATGTTTCTAAACAAGGAAAAGGTGGAGCAATTTATTTAGGTGATGTTGATACCACAACAATAATAAATGTATAATTTATCAAAAATAGAAGTTAAAAGGATTATGGTGGAGCTTTGTATTATTAAAGAGAAGATGGTAGTATCTCTGTTCTAAAAGTATTAAGTTAGAGCTTGTTTCAAAATAATTCTGCTAATAAAGGTAAAGGAGGAGCAATTTATTTAAGTAAGATAAACTTATATATAGAATAGAGCTAAATAATTTAAAACGAAGCTGCAGTTGGAGGAGGAATATTTTATGAGCATTATATTCCAGATATTTTTATACAATAAAACTATCCTTATCTCTCATTTATTAAAGAAAACAAAGCAAGTTTATATGGCAATAATATTGGGTCTAAACTTAGAGCAATTGAAATAGATTTAAGTAAAATTCAAGGAATATAATTAAGTTAGTAAAAACAAAATTATTTAAACATTTATGACTTTTAGAGTGGAGGGTATTTAAGCTTGTTAAATGTAAGGTTAAAAGATGAAGAAGGTAACTACTTATAATTTGTCTCTCTAAATAATTTAGATATAAATAAAAATTTGCTATAGGAGCTTGAGAATTTAAATTTATAAGTGATAACTGATAATGATATTTTAGTTTAAGGCAGTTCTATCTCTAAGTATTAAGAGAATGGGCTTAATTTAAATTTTAGTATAACATCTAAACCAATGATGAGAAATGTATTCTAAATTCAGTCAAATATCTTATTAGATTTTTAATCATCTTAGTAAGATAATCTCTTATAATAATATGTAACCTATTAAATTGAAGTCTAGTTTAGAAAATGCCATGTTGGTGAAATCAAAGTCGACTTTTCAAATAAAATAATATGTGAACAGTGCCCTGATGGAAAGTATTCTCTAAATGAGAGCGATTTAAGCTGCAAGCAATGTCCTAGCAGTGCTTAGTAGTGTTATGGTTCTACCATTAACCTTCTTCCTGGCTATTGGAGAGCAAATAATAACACGGATGAGATTTTACATTGCTCCAACAACTAGCATAGTTGTCAACCTCAGTAAGAAAAGTCAAAAGTATTTAAATTTATTTTTAACATTGATAAGAAAATTATTTTACTTATTTTTTAATTAAAAATAATAATAATAAAAATTTAAATAAAAAATTATATTTTAAAGTTTGGATGTGAAAAAGGATTTGTCGGACCTCTTTGTGAGACTTGCGACTTTTAAGGGAATGTTTGGGAAAGCAGATACTCAAAAGCGTTTTTATCTCTAAACTGCATATAATGCTCTGGATATATTGCTATTTTTGTCTTGAACTTTTTAATATTTTTTACTTTCTAGTTTCTATATTTGACATTTAGCGTATACAAGATTATTGAGTAATCAGAGAGGGTTTTGTTGGGATACTATTTAAAATTACTAGGAATTTTGCATCTGAGTAATTCAGGTAAAAATTAAATTAATCTTAAGATAATATATTTATTTTTAAATTTTAAAATAAAAACAGTGTATAACTTTTAACAGCCAATTTTCTCCCAAACTTTAGTTGATCATATTTAAGTAATATCGGTGATAGATAAGTACAATTTAGATCTTCCTTAAATATTCAGTTTTGGTACTACTTCTATTGGTAATCCTCTTTAGATTTCTAATGGATCTTTGGATTGTTTTTTCCCTTTTAAATTTATTGATGGAATGGAATATTGGGTTTTTAGATTTATAATATCGCTTTTCACTCCTTTATCAATTATATTATTCCTCTTTTGCTTCTAAATTATTAGAAATGGAAAGAATTTTTACAAATCATACTTGAAATTTAAACTAACTAGTATCATTTATGTTTACATATTTTACTTCCCTTCGTTAGTAGCATTAATTTCTCAAACTATAAGCTGTAGAAAAATTGGTTCTAAAAAATATGCCTCTATTGACTTAAATATCGAATGCTACGATTTTAAAAGACACACAAGGTTTATCTTGATTTTGGTTTTACCTACAATCATTTTTTTTATCATCATAATACCTTATTGGATTTTGAAAATGATTTAAATTCTTAAAAAGTAAAGACACTAAAGATTTCAACTGAGTAAATACCAGTTTCTTTATGAAGACTACAAACCAAAATATTTTTATTGGTATAAATTGAAAATGTTTTTTAAATCAATAATTATGACTGCCTCAATATTACTGCTCGAACAGCCAAATATAAGAGTAATTTTTATTTTAAAAAAATCAAAAAAAAAATTATTTTTTATTATTAATGTTAGGCTTTTGTAGTAAATATCACTTTGGTATCTTATAGTATAATGTCAACTCGAAGCTGTCCATATATATCTTATTAGAGAAATTAGCTTGAACAATAATCAATATTCATTTCGATATTAACAATAAATCTTACTTTTCTTTATTAAGGCATTTAAGAAGTAAATCCAAGTGTGAGTCCATATGTGACTATTATCATTTATTCCTTGAATGGGTTCTTTATATTAAAACTTGTCTTGCTTGTTTTCTTAGAGCCTATTCCATCAGAAGTTTCATAATAAAACTTTTTCCAAAAAATCCTATATAAAGCGAAGCTAAGATTTCCAGAAACATTCAGCTTTATAAAAGTATATAAAAATAAATCATTTTAATCAATCAGAAAATTCAACAAGATAAAGTAGTCAATAAAATAACTTGCTCAATTAAGGCAGCATTAATTATAATAATTTGAAAGCAAAGTTTAAATTTAAATAAGCAGCAACTGGCGAGTATCTAGCTCGAAAAAAAATACAAATGCAATCCCTCAAAGTGAACCTCATCCTATGAAGAAATTAAATAAATTTAATACTTTAAGTCCTAGTTTCAAAAAATAATCAAATTAAGGTATTTTTATTAACAAAACAGAGAGCTTTAAAGTTAGCTAAAGAGAATTAAGCGTTTTCCATGATTAACTATAATCTAAAGAATTTTTGGATGGAAAAGAAAAATAAAAAGTAAAGTTTTCTTAACTTAATATAAATATCACAACACCAAAATACTCAAAAGAACCTGAATAATGTGTGTTTTCTCCAATGAATAAATCTACATAAAATGATTTTTTTATTACAAGCTAAGATAAACTATAAGATTAAAAAATTATAGAATCCTAATACTAAATTGCAAATCATAATTTAAAATCGTTTAAAAAATCTCTAGAAATGGAATAATTTAATAAAGTTTTTAGCACTTCTGTGATAAAACCTGCTAAACAGATAAATAAGCCTAGTTAAGAGACTAAAGATCAAACCAGCACATCTGATAACTTATAGTAAAATTAAATATTTAGTAACAATATGCTTCTTGATTCTTAATGCTTGAATGGTAAAATCATAATTTATAAATGCCAAAATAATTTAACTAATTTATTTTAATTAATTAAAAAGATACAATGTAAAATGAAAGCCAACCCATCAAATAAGAATAATTTAAACACTCAGCATAAAATGTAAAATAAAACACCTTTTAGACATTAGTTAGTCACATTAATAAATTATAAAAATGAATTTAAAATTTTAAAATTTTGTAATTTTAGTAGCTATTTTATGATATTGTTCATAAATATTTATTTTCATTTTTTTCTCTGTATGCTTACTTACAAGTTTTTAAATAAATTCATACAAAATTAATTCATTTGAATCTAAATTTATCATAAAATAACTAATTGCTTCTTTTTAAATTTTTTCTTTATATATTTCAATAAATTTTACTAATTGCAAATAATTATTCTACTTAAGGTAATTTACAAAATTAAATTATAATAAATTTAAATTAATATTCTACTTAAATTATAAAATTTAACTTCTTCATTTTTTTTTTTTGAGTTTTACCAAAAGAAAAAAATGTAATCCTAATGTATGATGATTGTTGTAATTTTATATTGAATTAGATTAATTTATAATTTATTATCCTGAAAATAATTATTGTAAATTATACAATTTATATTAAATTATCATTTTTATTTATAAATATATTAATCTACCTCTTCATTTTTTATATTTTTATAAAAAAATAAAATTGTCTTTTAACTTAAAAAAATTTAAAAAAAGTAGAGCTTTGCAATTGAATTATTTGTAACATTCAAAATTGTAAAATTATTACTAGTAAATATCATTCATTATTTTTTCTTAATTACTTTTCTTCCTGTTTTTAAGGCTATTAAAGGAAAATAACCCAATTAATACTGCGTAATTATTTAAATTGAAAATAAGGATTCATAAGATTTTGGATCAAATTACATAAATTTGTTCTAAATTATTTTCTTGTATTATAAACTAAATGCAGAAAAATAAAAAAAATATCTCAAAATATTTTAAAATGAAAAAAATAAATATTTTAAATTATAGTAAAAACACAAAATAAAAGAATTTTATCAATTAACTTATTAAAATTTATTGATTTATAAAAGAAAAATTTTACATTTAGTTACATCTACTTTTTAGGAGTTTTTCCATTTAATTTCTTATTCCACTTTAGAATTTTTTTACAATCTCATGTTACTCAACCTCAAATTTACTAACTATTAAAGTGAAATATTAATAATATTCTCAAAGTAAAATTTTGAAACATATTATTTAAATTTATAAATCTAATTTTTTTTTTACAAATTTGCTTTGTATCTTTGAACTATTAAAGTCAGTAAATTAAATTACTAGATATTCACTAGATTCTTAAAAAATAATTAATTTATTTATAACTAATTTGAAAAATATTATTTTATGCATAAATATATTTAAATTATTATTTAGATTTTTGTCTTCAAGGAAATCTAAAAAAATCTATTTTGAATATAATTAAAATTTAAGTGGGTATTAATATCAAAATTAAAAATAAAGATCACAACACAAATATTCAAAAAGCTGATTAGTTTTCATATTAATAAATGGGTCTTGTTTGACTTTTTAGATACTTAAGCTTTTGTTCTATATTTGTTTATATTTATAGAACAGTTTGCAATTAGGTTATAAATATTTTAAAGCTAGAAAGCTAACTTTATATGCTCAGCTCTATTCTATCAATTAATAAAAAAAATCATACAAATATAAATCATGGCTATTAGATATTAGATGACAATAATTTAAATTTTAAATTTTTTTTAATTTATCCAATCAATAATTTAGATTGTTTGATTTTTTGTTTGTTTGTTTGTGATAGTTATTATTATTAGAAGTGATAAATATTATATTTGATGCATTTAGCTAGCTGGTTTATTTTTCAGTAATTTATTAAAAAGAAAAATGAATTAAATTTTATTGTCTCTTTTATTATTGATTAGTATTAAGGAAAATTTTACATAAAATTGAATTAAGAATAGACAATTTAAACAGCATTATCTCTTTGTAAAAAGAATAATCTTTTAGAGATATACGTTATGATTGAATTTCTATTTATAAATAATTTTTTATTTATTTACCTATTCATATATTTATTGCGAAATATAATTGTTATAAATATTAATTATCATATAAATTTAATAAAAAGTTAAGTAAAATAAATTATCATCAATAAATAAATGTATCCACCATAATAGCAATAGTATAATCAATAACCCTATGGTTAAGGTTATGGATAATAAGGTATGCCTAACATTTAAATGATGCCTATGCAATAGTATGCAGTAGTGGCTATTTAAAACGGATTGTAAAAGTTAGCTTCTGCTTAAGGTATATTTATTGAATAGAAGTTAGAAGTCATTGAGGCATTGACTGGATGCTAAACTCCTAATGTCTACAAGGTTTATCCTGCTGATGTTAATGGTATATAAACATCAGATTAAACTATATTCAAGTGTAAAGAACTTAGTAACTGTTGTGTACGTTAATGCATAGCCCCAAGCTGCCGTCCATTTGATATGGCAGTCACAAATTAGCAAGGAAAATTAAATTATGGATAACTTTCTGGCTCAACTTTTATTTAAATGTAGCGTCCATTCAAGTGTACATGCCTTTGCTTCAACCGTCCTGAACTCTCTGTAACAGTTGTAGAAAATGGGATGAATTAGTATCTAGGAAAAATTAGAGAACCATTTAGATTTTGTGATCTTTGCGTTGAAATTGAAGATGCTGCAGGCAATCTCAAGTTTATAATTTCTGGATCCTGCTGCTAACTTGGTTATCTTTGTATGGGTTGCCCTTATCAATCTTGCCAAGAATTAACTTTTGAAGTAAAGAATCCAGCAGGTGAACTAATTACAAGAATTTTAAAGAAATCTGCAGGTTGTCTAAAGAGTTGTTTTGGTAAAACAGATAACTTTACTATAGGTTTCCCTCCTGGTTTGTCTCCTGAAGACAAAGCTCTTTTTATGGCTGCTACTCTTTTAATTGATTATATGTACTTTGAAAATAAAACAGAACAACCAAATGATTTATGAAATATCATCAAATTAAGTTATTTATTTATATATAAAACTTATTTAGTATATTTTTATTCATCTTACCTTTCCTATTCACATGCGTTTATGCTAATTTCAAAGCACTTCTACCAATAAATATAATATATAAAATCTCTCACTAAAACAAACAAACAAACATTCAATCAATATTATATTAAAATGTTAGAACTATTAATTGATATTTTTGATGATATTTATTGCTTATTTTTTAAAACTAAATAAAATTTAAAGTTTATAACAATTGTACATCAATTTTACAAGAAAAGCCAGCTCTAACAATAATTTAACTTTATCAAATTAATAGAATTTTTGAAGCTAATAGCAAGTTTCTTTCTAACTTTATAACTTTAATCCAACGGATTGACTAGATTAATAAAATTAAAATTTTTTATCATCTATATAGTAAAATAAAATTTATTTATAGTTTAACTAAATAATTATTAAAAAATACTAATTTAATCAAAAATAACTTATAAAATTTTTAATTTCAATTAAAGAGCATCCGTTCATAATTTGTTTTGTATAAACTTTTTTTAATACTCAAAAAGCTAAAGTCAATTAATTAATATTTAAATTGATTTTGTTTAAATTTTCTAGATTTTAGGTTAGAAAGAAAATTAAAAAAATAATCAACTTGTAATTAATTGTATTTTAAATAAATTTAAAGAATTAATAATAATCTAAAACACAAAATGAATGCATATTCAAATGATTATTTAAACAGTTTAATTTGTAATAATTTTAAAAATATTTCCTTTTTATATTGATTGCTTTTAAACATCATTTTATTCACATCTATATGTTAAATTATTATTGAAAGCTATTGATTTTTTAGAGCTATTTATGATCAGTAAATTAATATACAGAAGGGAGGGATTAGATTTAAGCTGGTAACATATATATATTAGGGATTAAAAATATTTCTAGTAATTATTAAGAGTGAAAATAAAAAATTTCTTTTATTTAACACCCTTTTAATACTTTTAAATAGCAGAGAGCAGTATTAAATTAAAAATAAAAATATTTTAATTTACATCATTTAATTGCTTAATTAGCCTTATTTTTTATTTTGCTATATTTTTAATCTATTTATCTTAAATTATTTAAAAGCATTAAAAAATATTGATAAAAATAGTTTATCTAATTAAAGGATTATTTACAAATTAAATAAATAAATATAAGAAAATGAGAAAAATAATTCAAGAAATTACAATTTTCATATTAGAATATATATTTTTTACTCATAATTAAATATTTTACTATTTTAATCTTTATATTAATTTGAATATATCACATATTAGTTTTTTTAAAACAGTTTTTTAATTTGAGAAACAAGAAATAGCAAAAATATTTTGGAGGAAATAATTATAATTAATTTTATTTATCATAATAAATTCATTTTTCGAACAAATTTGCTATCTAATTAGAAATAAAAATTATATTAACCTCCAAGCCTTTCAATAAGCACACGATCACAATATTCATCGTAATCAAAATCAAAATACCAATCATCGTAATAATATTAATAATCTCCATAATAATCTTTTTAAAACTTCCTATAATCATATTTATAATATTGTTTGAAGTTTACTAGCTTATTAAATTTTATTAGAAAACGCTTTAATAATATTTGTTTAGGATATTATTCATCTTAATAATACTTTATTTCTCGAATTCTTTCGAACATTAACTGAGAAAATTATAAATTCCTAAAATTAAAGTTATTTACTTTAAATTTGTTTATGTATTAATTATCTCTATAAAATTTCATTTTTAAACTTATCTATTTTGTTTAATCATTTTAAATATTAAAATTGGAGCTATTTTACTTAAGAAATAAGTAAATATCACTTAAGCTATAAAAGCTAATATTCAATTTCACAAGGTTTTGTAAATTTGTTATCAAAGGGTAAGCATTTATTTTATTTTTGAGATGTAATGAAAGCTTGCTAACAAAATCATAGAAGTTTATGCTATTCAAATTTTATTAAAATAAATTTTCATCAAAAGATTAAATATATTCGGATTAGTCTATATATAATTTTAGATTTTTTCTTATATTTCTTCTTTTTAAAGAGTCTAAATAGTATTGCAAGAAATCAATTACGTTTTCTTATTGTTAAAATTCCACTTCAATATATTACATTTTAATTTTTTTATTTTAGATTGGTTTCAACTTTAAAATCCTATGATACGATTCTTAATTCTCTCCTTTATTTAGTGATAGATTAAAGTAATGTACTTAGTTTTAAGATTAATCATTTTCTTGATAAATTAAATTAAAAATTAATTGCTTAAACCATTTTGACTTTAATTCAAAATTAATTAAAAATTTTGTATTAAAGTTGAATTAAAAATTTTGGAAATAATCTAACATAGTTTTATATTTTTAATGAGATAATATTTCTAATGAGCTAAAAAATAAACTTAAGTAAACTTCTTTGTTTTTAAAAACCTTACATGTATATTTTCTTTTAGTTTATTCAAATACTCTACACTATTTAAATTAATGTTCTTCATAAAAAGACTCAATTAGTTAAAAGCCATCAATATTAAATGATTTCAGATCATTTTCATCTTCGAAATTTAATGTAATCTACAATTAATTTTTTAAACTGAAGTTGCTAAATATTAAATAGGTTTTTTGTTTAAAACACAATTAAACAATACAGTTTTCTCTTTTATTTTAAATATTTTATTAGATTATTTAAATAAAGTCATTTTAACTTTATGCTATTTTAAATGAAAAAATTTTTGATGAAACATCTTAAATAAGTATTGATTATTACTCTTTATACTCAAAATCTATTTTCAATGAATTATTGGTAATCATAATTCTTCCTTTATTGTATTCATACTTGTAAGTATCATTTAAACGAAACATCTAACTGATAAATAGTACAAACGATTTTGCCTTTTTTTATGTAATCTTGGATCCTAATATTTGAATCGCAACCTCTTTTAATTATATTTCCTTAATAAATTTCTAAAGAATACAAATCATTTTGTTTTTCATTTCTATTTTTTCAAAGTGCATAATAAGTAGATCTAAATTAGATAAAGAGTTTATAAGCTTTATAATGGCACCTAATTCTTTAATTTTCTCATTTTTTAATGATATTTTCAAAGATTTAATATGATCTTAAGTTTTAGAGAGCTTCTCAGAAAATTAGTTTAACTCCTTCAAACTCTCTATATATTGGATTGACATTATTATTATTTATATTTATTAAATTTTATTTTTATTTAACAATTAATTTTTAGACTATTAACATCAAACTTTTTAAAAGCTAGTCTTTTTCTTAATAGTGGCTACTTTAATTAAAATTATTTGATCTCCATAATTAAAAGCTTTTTTTTACTTGTTAATAGCATTAATTTTTATAATATTTTGATAAAGTGGCTAGCTTTTTTTAAAATTTAAACATTTCAAATAATATTAATTTTATTAATAGAAAAGTAGCTACTTTAATTTATATATAAATGCATCTACCAGAAATCCAAGATGTCAAAATATTAAATTAAAAAAATATTTGTTAGATTTTGAATACATTTAAAAAAATTATAAAGAACTCTTACCTTTTGGAAAAAATTTAATAGGAGATTAGTCTTCTAGGTTATTCATTCATATTTAAACTATTGATACATAAATACAATCTTTTTATAAAATATCCCATAGTGAAACCTAACCAAGATACATATCCACTAATTTGATTAGAAGTAAGTCTCAAAACTTTATCATTAGGATGCTAAGTTTTTATCTAAAAATATTACTTGTTTATATTTATTTATTTCTTAAGTTTTGTTTTATTTTATTGCCAATTTGATTTAAAGTATTGAAATTATTTTCTTAATATTATGATTTAAATAAATTCTGAATTTAAACACAAAAACTTATAAATATGTAAAAAAATAGAGCTTTTAAAAAATAATTATATTGTTTTATTTATTTCTAAAAATGTATTCGTATTTTTATTTTTTAATTTTTCCATATTATGAATCATTTATTTACACATAGAATATTTATTATTTGATAATTGAAGCGTTTAAACTAATAAAAATCTAATATCATTCTAGTACTCAAAATTATAGAATCCTTTTAAGGTTTTTTATCATTCATGATATTTTTAAATTGTATTCTAATAGAGCTTTAAATTATCTATCGAATAATAAATAATAAGTGATAAGAATACATAATAAAATTTCTAATCATTAACAACACAAATTAAAAAAAAAGAAAATTTTAAAATTTTGAAAAATGAGTGTCAAAAATACCCCTATGGGATAGACACCCTATTTTACCATATATGATGAATACTATTTATGATTAAAATCTAACTGGAATATAAAAGCTTGGTATTTATATTATTATATAAGATATAATATAACATTAAAAATTTAAAATGATTTAATGTTTTATTATTATTTATAAGCTATTTATCAGCTTATATAAATATGATATTTATAAATATAAAATCAGTAATAAAATCTATCTATATATATTTAAGTTAAAAAAACCTTTTCATAATATTATTTTATAATACATATAATATTCAATTATTCAAATATTTAATATGTATTCATCATTTTTTTGCTACTTGTTTATCATAAGAAATATTTTTTAAAGACAACTAATCTTTTAGGTTTAAGGAATTTGCTTATTACTTTGAATATTTATGATTTATTCATTTATCTAAAACTTTTATAGTAAATTTTTGTAAATTTTAGAGAAATGTTAAATAAAATAAACTTTTAAATTGAAAATTTTTTCTTAAATTAATAAATAAAATAATATTAGTTGAATAAAAAAGAAAAAAAAATAAATCAAATAAAAGCTATCAAACAAATTCAAGAGCTTTTTTGTTTAATATTCATTTTTATAGTAAAAAATATCACAACTCAAAACAAATAAAATGTTTTTACCTAAGGTGAAGTGTCAAATTTGAGAGTTTATTGCAATTTGCTAAAGCAGAGCCTAAGCCTGATGCACTCATTTCATCAATTTAATTTTAACTTTTTAAAAATTTAAGAAAAAATATATAGTTAAATAGAAGGAAAAAATGAAAGAAAAATATGAAATAATAAGATTAATTAATAATAAATCCAAAAGTTTAAAATAAAATAATGAATTAAATTAGCAAAGAAAGAAGAAAAAAAGCAAGCACAATAAAAAGAAAAAGAAAATTTATTGTTTTTAATTAGTTTTTTATATCTAAAAATATCAATCCAAAACAAATAAACTGTTTTTACCTAAGGTTAAGTGTCAAATTTGAGAGATTAATGTAATTTGTTAAAGCAGAACCTAAGTTTGATTAACCTATTACACCAATTTAATTTTCACTTTTTAAAAATTGATGAAAAAAAATATAATTAATTAGTTAATTGGAAGGATAAGATTAATTAATAATAAAAGCAAAAGTTTAAAATAAAATAAAGAGTTAAATTAGCATAAAGAAGAAAAAAAGCAAACACAATAAAAAAAAAGAAAAAAGAAAATAGAAAAAAGAGCTTTATTGTTTTAAATTAATTTTTTATATCTAAAAATATCAATCTAAAACAAATAAACTGTTTTTACCTAAGATTAAGTGTCAAATTTGAGAGATTAATGCAATTTGCTAAAGCAAATCCTAAGCCTGATGTACCTTCATCACCAATTTAATTTGACCTTTTTAAATATTGAAGAAAAAATATTTAATTAAATAGTTAATTAGAAGAAAAAAATGAAGAAAAAATATAAAATAATAAGATTAATTAATAATAAAAGCAAAAGTTGAAAATAACATGATGAGTTAAATTAACAAAGAAAGAAGAAGAAAAAAGTAAGTATAATAAATAGAAAACGAAAAAGAAAAAAGAGTTTTATTGTTTTAAATTAGTTTATATATATATATATAGTACCCTAGGGTACTGCCTTTTTCAAGGCTACATACAAATAGAATACATATTTTGGTTTTACTTTTCTTTTTCGGGGATTTTTGATTTTAAGAAATTTTTATTTTTAATTAGTTTTTATATTTAAAAATATCACAATACAAAATCAATAAACTGTTTTTACCTAAGGTTAAGTATCAAATTTGAGAGATTAATGCAATTTGCTAAAGCAGAGCCTAAGCCTGATGCACCAATTGCGCCAATTTAATTTTACCTTTTTAAATATTTGAAGAAAAAAAAAGGAGTTAAATAAATAGTTAATTAGTAGGAAAAAATGAAGAAATTTTATTAAATAATAAGATTAATTAATAATAAAAGCAAAATATAAAAATAAAATGATGAGTTAAATTAACAAAGAAAGAAGATAAGAAAGCAAGCACAACAAAAAGAAAAAGAAAAAAGAACTTTATTAATTTAAATTAGTTTTTATATTTAAAAATATAACAATCCAAAACAAAAACTATTTTTACTCTAGTTTAAGTGTCAAATTTGAGAGATTTATGTAATTTGCTAAAGCAGAGCCTAAGCCTGATGCACCCATTTCACCAATTTAATTGTAACTTTTTATATATTGAAAAAATATTTTATTAAATAGTTAATTAGAAGGAATAAATGAAGAAAAAATATGAAATAATAAGATTAATTAATAATAAAAGCAAAAGTTGAAAATAACATGATGAGTTAAATTAACAAAGAAAGAAGAAAAAAAAAAGCAAGCAAGCACAATAAAAAAGAAAAAGAAAAAACAGCTTTATTGTTTTATATTAGTTTTTATATTCAAAAGTATTATAATCCAAAACAAATAAACTATTTTTACTAAAAGTCAAGCGTTAAATTTGAGAGATTAATGCAATTTGCTAAAGCAGAGCCTATGCCTGATGTACCTTAATCACCAATTTAATTGTCACTTAATAAATATTGAATAAAATATTTACAATTAAATAGTTAATTAAAAGGAAAAAATGAAGAAACAATAAGAATAATTAATAAAAAAATCAAAAATTGAAAATAAAATGATGAGTTAAATTAATAAATAAACAAGAAAAAAAAAAAAAAGCAAGAAAAATAAAAGAAAAAAAAAAAGAGCTATATTGTTTTTAATTAGTTTTTTATTTCTAAAAATATCACAATCCAAAACAAATAAAAAATTTTTACCTAAGGTAGAGTGTCAAATTTTATAGATTAATGCAATTTGCTAAAGCAGAGCCTAAGCTTAATACAATCGATTTTACGTTTTATTTTTATCAAAATTTTAGGTTTTTTATTAAAGAGGAAAATAGGTATATATGTAAAATAATCACAAATTAGATATAAATTTTTCTAAATGGTTTTCATTAATAATTATCAAATAAATAAAAATATATATAAACATATTAAAAAATTAATTTTAAGTTGTATTCTGAGTGCATTTATATGTGCGAGTATTTCTATTCTATTCTATCACCAATTTAATTTGACCTTTTTAAATATTGAAGAAAAAATATAAAATTGAATAATTTATTCGAATGAAAAAATGAAGAAAAAATATAAAAAATAAGATTAATTAATAAATTAACAAATAATGAAGAAAAAAAAAAGATTTATTGTTTTAAATTAGTTTTTTATATTTAATGATATCACAATCCAAAACAAATAAACTGTTTTTACTATAGTTCAAGTGTCAAATTTGAAAGATTAATGCAATTTGCTAAAGCAGAACATAAGCCTGATCCACCTATTGAGCCAATTTAATTGAAACTTTTTAAATATTGAAGAAAAAATATAAAATTAAATAGTTAATTAGAAGGAAAAAATGAAGTAAAAATATGAAATAATAAGATTATTTAATAATAAAAGCAAAAGTTGAAAATAAAATGATGAGTTAAATTAACAAATAAAGAAGAAGAAAAAAAAGTAAGAACAATAAAAAAAAAAAGAAAAAAGAGCTTTATTGTTTTAAATTAGTTTTTTATATTTAAAAATATCACAATCCAAAACGAATAAACTGTTTTTACAAAAGGTAGAGTCTCAACTTTGAGAGATTAATGCAATTTGCTAAACCAGAGCCTAAGCATTATGCACCAATTGCACCAATTTAATTTTACCTTGTTAAATATTTGAAGAAAAAATATAAAATTAAATAGTTAGTTGGGAGGAAAAAATGAAGAAAAAAAATGAAATAATAAGATTATTTAATAATAAAAGCAAAAGTTGAAAATAAAATGATGAGTTAAATTAATAAAGAAAGAAGAAGAAACAAAAAAGCAAGCACAATAAAAAGAAAAAAAAAAAGCTTTATTGTTTTAAATTAGTTTTTTATATTTAAAAATATCTCAATCCAAAACAAATAAACTGTTTTTACTAAAGGTCTAGTGCCAAATTTGAGAGATTAATGCAATTTGCTAAAGCAGAGCCTAAACCTGATGCACCCATTTCACCAATTTAATTTTCCCTTTTTAAATATTGAAGAACGAATAAAAAATTAAATAGTTAATTAGTAGAAAAAAATAAAGAAGAAATATGAAATAATAAGATTAATTAATAATAAAAGCAAAAGTTTAAAATAAAATAATGAGTTAAATTAACAAAGAAATAACAAAAAAAAGTAAGCACAATAAAAAGAAAAAGAAAAAACAGCTTTATTGTTTTTAATTAGTTTTTTATATCTAAAAATATCACAATCCAAAACAAATAAACTGTTTTTACCTAAGGTTAATTGTCAAATTTGAGAGATTAATGCAATTTGCTAAAGCGAAGCCTAAGCCTGATGCACCATCATCACCAATTTAATTGTCACTTTTTAAATATTGAAAAAATATATAAAATTAAATAGTTAATTAGAAGGAAAAAAGGAAGAAATAAAATGAAATAATAAGATTAATTAATAATAAAAGCAAAAGTTTAAAATAAAATAATGAGTTAAATTAACAAAGAAAGAAGAAAAAAAAGTAAGTAAAATAAAAAGAAAATGAAAAAAGAGCTTTATTGCTTTAATTTAGTTTTTTATATTTAAAGATATCACAATCCAAAACAAATAAACTGTTTATACCCAAGGTTAAGTGTCAAATTTGAGAGATTAATGCAATTTACTAAAGCAGAACCTAAGCTTGTTATACCAATTGCACCAATTTAATTGATCCTTTTTAAATAATGAAGAAAAAATATAAATTTAAATAGTTAATTTGAAGGAAAAAATGAAAAAAAAATATGAAATATTAAGATTAATTAATAATAAAAGCAAAATTTGAAAATAAAATAATGAGTTAAATTAACAAAGAAAGAAGAAAAAAAAGTAAGTACAATAAATAGAAAAAGAAAAAAGAGCTTTATTGTTTTAAATTAGTTTTTTATATTTAAAAATATCACAATCCAAAACAAATAAACTATTTTTACTAAAGGTCAAGTGTCAAATTTGAGAGATTAATACAATTTGCTAAAGCAGAGCCTAAGCCTGATGTACCTTTATCACCAATTTAATTGTCACTTTTTAAATATCGAAGAAAAAATATAAAATTAAATAGTTAATTAGAAGGAAAAAATGAAGAAATAATATGAAATACTAAGATTAATTAATAAGAAAAGCAAAAGTTGAAAATAAAATGATGAGTTAAATTAACAGAGAAAAAAGAAAAAATAGCAAGCACAATAAAAAGAAAAAGAAAAAAGAGCTTTGTAGTTTTAAATTAGTTTTTTATAATTAAAAATATCACAATCCAAAATAAATAAACTGTATTTACCCAAGGTTCAGTGTCAAATTTGAGAGATTAATGCAATTTGCTAAAGCAGAGCCTAAGCCTGATGTACCTTCATCACTAATTTAATTTGACCTTTTTAAATATTGAAGAAAAAATATATAATTAAATAGTTAATTAGAAGGAAAAAAAGAAGAAGAAATATGAAATATAATAAGCTTAATTAATAATAAAAGCAAAAACTGAAAATAAAATGATGAGTTAAATTAACAAAGAAAGAAGAAAAAAAAGTAAGCACAATAAAAAGAAAAAGTAAAAAGAGCTTTATTGTTTTAAATTAGTTTTTTATATCTAAAAATATCATAATCCAAAACAAATAAATTGTTTTTACTAAAGGTAGAGTATCAAATTTTAGAGATTAATGCAATTTGCTAAAGCAGAGCCTAAGCCTGATGTACCCATTGCACCAATTTAATTTTACCTTTTTAAATATTGAAGAAAAAATATATCATTAAATAGTTAATTAGAAGGAAAAAATGAAGAAAAAATACAGTATGTTTCAAAAAGTTGTTAGCTTTTTATTAAAAAATTTAATCTACCTTCCCATTTTTTTTTCTTGAGTCGAGGAGCTACAGTAGTTCTTAATACTTTTCACAACATAATTTGGTCAAACAAATGTAAAAAATTATTAAAGTGATTAACATATAAAAGCTTCATCGATTTAAAAAGATTGAAAAAAAAGCATTAAATATAAATTTTAAAATTAATTTAAATTCTAACATATGGAATATCAAAATTTTAATAATTATAACATAAATCAAATAGTGATGAGTTTGTTTAATAAGTTTGTTCAAGTAAAATTTTGAATTATAATTTTTGTGTTAAATATTAATACAAATTTAATTTCAAATGGCACAGTCCTAGCTAGCTTGTTAACAAACATAAAGTTTATCCAAATAATTATAAAAATGTATTAGCTCTTTTCCAAAATATTTTAGATGCTTACAAAAAAAAGAAAGTACCAAATAAACAATGAAATAGTTAAATTATATTTGATGTTTTTCATTCTATTTAGAGTTCAATTTGAAAAAGAAATTTCAAATAATAAAATTTCAACAAAATATCATAGCCTGCATAATTAGACTTTTAAAGTATTTTGATAATGTAAGTAAGTCAGTAAAGATAATAAATAATAATAATAAAAACAACTTTTTGCATAAAATGATAGCTAAAACTATCCCTGAAATAGAAGCTTATTGGAATTAATTTTCTTAAAATTATGTCAATATGTATAATGGTAGCAGTACTTTTTACTTATCACTTATAAACATGCTTTAAATTTAGAATCGTAATTGCATATTAGAAGTAGGAGCTGGATCTGGATTCTTGTTTCATCATACAATGAATTATAAAAAATCTGAAGCAAAATATGTGGCAACAGACTTATCTGAAAATATGCTTTAATATATCTTGATGAGATTGAATATAAAAGAGGCCTTTAAGGATAAATACTTCATCTCAAGTTATAATTTAACTATAGAGAAAGCCAATGGAGAAGAATTGCCTTTTCTCGATGGTACATTTGATTGTTATATTGCTAATCTATGCTTATAAATAACTAACGACCCAGCTAAAATGCTAAAGGAATCTTATAGGGTATTGCAAAAAGGAGGAGTAGCTGGCTTTAGTGTTCAAGGAGATAAAGAAAAGTCATCCTTATTTACAATTATATCTGATATTCTAACAGAATATGGATGTTTAAATACTTAAATAAGAAGTAATTTTCACCTCAACAACAGATAGAAACTAATTTAAATGATGGAAGAAGCAGGTTTTACAAATATTATATGTTGGGATCAATTTTCTCCTTATCATATCTAGATTGAAGATATGCTTAATTATTTAGATTCTCCAAATAACACTCTTGCTCTTTAAAAAGCAGGCCAAAATGGCGATGAAATTAAATAAAAAATATAAGAAAAGTTAAAAGATTTGATTAACAATAAAAAACTTCCACTTGGTTTAGATGCATTACTGATAATAGGTGTTAAAAACTGATTCTGATTGCAGAAAAGTTTAATAAATTTTATTAATTTTAAGGTTTCCTTTTAATGTAGATTTCTTATTGATTATTGGAGTTATAAATGGAAAATAATTAAAAATATTCAATTTAAATAATTGATTTTTTTATATAAATATTTTTTTTTGTGAGATTGATATGATAAAACATTTGAATCATACTCAATTTTAAATTATTCTATTTGCTTAACTATGAAAAATTGTTTTTAGACTTCTAAATAAATTAATAATTATTTCGTTTAAAATAATTAATTTTTTATATTTTTAGATTTTCATTTACTTGTTGATTTCTTTGAAATAAATTTTTAATAAATAATAGAATAAATTATATTTTCTGCATTTATTTTTCATAAAATCAACGGTTTACCTCAATTTATAATTTATTATTATCATAGTTTAAAGTAAATAGATAAAAAATTAGATCATTCAAATTCTAAAGTTTATTAAGAATCTTTTTGTTATGTAGTAAATATACTTAAACTTCATTTAATATTTTATTTTTCTCATTCATCAAATCAACTAATTTCAAACAAACAAGGTATAAAAATAAGTTTTAAAGCTAATAAAAACCACGTTTAATTAAATTGGTCAGATAATTTTCAGTTTAAGGTCTTATAACAATAATTTAAGAAATTAAATAATATCTATTACATCACCAAATCTCTTAGTAAGATTCATAGATGTTTACATTTAAAAAATTACAATTGATTATTATTATTATTATTATTATTATCAAAATCATCATTTAAAATTTGAAAATATAAATAACACTAAATATCTCATAAGCAAATATGTATATCACATTAATCTCATTTCTTGAATGTCTATTTAAAAATATTAAAAATAAGATATATAAATAAATGTTAATAGTTATTATGCTTGTAATCTATTCGATAAATATTAAATTTAAATTAAAATGTAAATTTCAGAATCAAAAAGCAAAGTTTTAACAGGATTCTAGTTTTATTCATAGCTTGTTATCTATTTTAGAAAGGACTTCTAAAATTTATTTTAAATATATTTTTTAAGTTAAACAAATTATAATTAATTTAAAACTTAAAATAAATTATTTTTGGCCCTATAACTCATTTTGTAATATATATATTATAGATGGGTATTTACTCCTCAGGTTTACTAAAATGTTGCTTAAATTATTCATTAATTTTCTTTTTTCAATTAATAAATAAAATTGTTTTAAAATTTTTGCAAAATTTAAGAATATCTTTAAAAATTTTTCTAACTTAAGAATTAAATTTTAATTTTTAACAAAAATATTTTAATATAGTTTATAATTAAATTAAAAAATATCTTTTCATTTTAAATAATAAAAAATATCTTTTCATTTTAAATTATAAAAAACCATTTTATAGTAAGAAATGGGTTTTCAAAGTAAAGAAATTTTTTGTTAAAATTTTATATTATCTGAGCTTAAATAAAATAATAATGGTAATTGATTACAAATGATTTATGAATCTTACTTTTACTTTTTTCCTTTGTTTATTGTCATTTTACATGAATTTGACATTTAATAGATAAATTTTCTTTTGAAAAATATTTAAATTGATTACCATAAAAATAAATAAATTTTTGTAAATCTATAAAATGGCTACATATTTTGTAGCTTAAAATCTAAGTTTTGATTAATTTTTTTAAAAGTGTAAATTAAATTATTTTTTTCTTTTTAAATATTAAATTACAAATAGTCTTAAAGTAAATAAGTTAATATAACCAAATAAGCATGTATTATAATAATTTGTGAATTAATTATAAAATATGCAGACCACGAAATAAATTAATATTTGATTAAGATTTCAAATATTGCGAATTAATCGCATGATAATTCAAATATAGATTGAAATTTTCAAAATTAAAGAATTTAAAAATATATGAAATTCATTGGTGGGTGTTGATATAAATTTAAGTATTTTACATTTTATATATTGAATTTTAGTTCTTTCTAAAATTAGTAAATTCAACTAAAATTAGAATTTTTTTTTAAATCTGGAAATAAAATTAAAGCTTTTCGTTTTAATTTATTAAATCCATTTGAGATTGTTTTATTTAATTTGCGTTTACTTTTATCCTTTTTTTGCATTAAATTTACACTTTTTAGTAAAAAAATTTAAATATGTTTTTTAAAAAATATCAAAGACAATTATTAAGTTCAATATATCCTAATTTAATTTACATTCAAGATAAATTAAGATTGCAAATAAGAAGACAAAAATTTACTTTTACTTACTAAGTAAACTAAAAATTTAGAATTTAATATCTTAGTTACTTTAAGTAAAGCTTTACATTTCAATTTCTCTCTCACTCTCTTAATTATAAAATAAGTGTTCATGTGAACGAACATAAGTAATAAAGGTAGAATTCAATCAATAATTATATATTCATAGAATAAGCCTTATTTGTCATCATTAATTAATTAATTAGCAATTAAAAACAAAAAATTGTAAAATAAAAATTTATAAAAATGAACAAAAATATTTCTTCTTTCTAATCTAAAACTGCTGCTTCTAGTTAAAGAGGTTCTAAATCTTTTATCCCAGTAATCAATCCTGATTCCAAAATTATCGTCAGAGAATTTGCTAATCGCAAAAATATCATGGAAAATTTCGAAGAGAATAAAAGATATTAAACTAATGTAGATGTATACCAAAAACCATTTTTCTCTATAGACTCGCAAAACTCTAGCAGAATTTTATAAGGCTAAGCTAGTCAGATAAGAGCTAGGTCAGCTACTGTAAATGAAATATCGAATCTATCAGCTAATAATTCATAAATCTTTTAGAAACCTAAGAGTGCTTGTTTGTTCATACTTAAAAGATCTAGTTCAAGAAAAAGGTATTAAAGTATTTCAAGCAAATAAGAAAGACAAAGCTAAACAAAGACCAGCCTCAAGACTAGCTCCTATGAATAAGAGAACATTCTGAAAAATGTTTACCAAAAAAAGGAAAAGGGATGGGACTATTATAAAGATTAGCTATAAAAAGACGTTGTCAGATCTGAATCTGCTCAAGCAGAGAGAGTGAGTCACTTAACAACAACTCCTCTTGTATATCATAAAAATTATTTTGAACGTAAAAGAGAGATCGAATAAAACTTAAATTGCAAGGAATTCGGACTTAACGTTCAAAATTATTCCGTTTTAGATAAGAGAACTAAAAGTTTTTTCCACAACTAATGCAAAGAGGAGGCCCTTTAGTATCATGATGAGGTGAAAGAGAAAGAAAAAAAGATAAATCAAGAAATAAATGACATTATTCGTCTTTCCATATAAAATGCTAGAACTAAACTCTCATATAAATATTCAATATCCAAACACCTCGAATAAAATCGCTTGGCAAAGGCTTAGTTGATATTTTGATTGGCAGTAAGTAAACAAACAAACAAACAAAAAAATAAAAAATTGGATTGAATAAGCATCAAAAACTATTTTGTTTTAATTTATATTCAAATTAGATGCACCGCTGAGTTCTATTTCTTTAACCAAATTAATAATAATCACTAATCTAAATCAGGTGCTTTTGAAATGTACTTACTTTACTGATAATGCTTCTATTTATAATAAATATTTATTACACTTCTAAAAAACAAAAATTGCAATTTTCTTACATAAAAATAATAAATAAAAAACTCACTTTATTTATAAATTTTAAAATATATCAAAATCTAATTAATACTACCTCTATCTTAAATGTGTTACAATATTACTATATTTTAACTAGTAAATATCTTTATTTATATTTTGTTAACTATTTCATAAATTTAAAAAATCTTTCATCCAACTTACAAAAGCTTTCATAAAAAATAAATAGATAAAATATATTTTATTTTATTTTGATGAGGAATTTTTTTTTGATTAAAATGTTCATTTTACATTTTTGTTTGACAAAAATAAACTTAGTAGTAGATTGATGAAAAAATTTTGACAAATTCAGGCTATTTTTAATAAATTCAAATAGAATTACAAGTCTTTTATCTTACACCAAATTAATAATAATATTTTTGATATTTTTTTGTTTTATTTTTTTGAAAAATATTTGGAAATGTTGTAAAATTTCAAATTTTTTAAATTTAATAGAATATTTATGTTTTGGAAACCAAAAAAAAAAAAGAAAGATTATTAAAAGTTATTTGCTTATGGAGTAATAGAAGTGAAATATAAAAAAAAATTTTTAAATTCTCAACAATTTCAAACATTAAATTTAGTTTTAAATATAAATATTAATGTAAAAAAAGATAGGGAAAAAAAATTACAATTTACTCCTATTTCTTAGAACACATGAAGATATGAATATTACATACATTACGTACTTTGTTATATAATGCTGTATGGTGTTTTTTTTTACTGCATATGATTGAGAAGTAAATGCCTATACAATAGACTAAAAAGGAAATTAACTGAGTAAATAAATCAAATTCTTTACTTACATACCACAAAATTAATTATTAAAATATCAAATTTTATTATTGTCATTCAAATCGATAAAAAAAGAAATAAAAAAGTGTAAAACAAGAATAATTGGATATTTTATATAATTAAACAAAAATGATTGTAAATCGCAAACCACTTTCTTGTTACTTTATGCAAAGTTCCAATAACTCTGCAAACAATAATTAAATTTATCAAAACTAGCTTTAGTAAGCATAGATTCAGTAATAGATGTTCAGCGAATCATTCAATAACTATCCTCATAATAAAATTCAAGCATGGAAAGAGCTAAATCAAAAGATTTCTTAGCAAATTAATATAATGCTAAAGAAAAAGATTACAGAATAGAAAGAGGAAGCACATGCTTAACTATTGGAAGAACGAAAATAAAGAGAGGAAATTCATGGACAAGAAGATTAAAAATTAAATTATGTTGTTTTTTCAACTGCAAAGAGAAGATCAGTATCAACTGATGATCTAAAAATGACATAAATTATGAACAAATTTTAGTATAATTTAAACTAAGCTCCTAAAAAAAGTATCCTTAAATTGCATTCATCATACAAGCAAAATGATGACAATATAGTCAAAACTGATAGGTCTTCTATACTTTTAAGATATAATAGTGTATAAAAAAATAAAGATAACTGCAGCGTAGATGATTTTAGCTAAAGCTAAACTTAGCATTAAACTCCTGAAAATTAAAATAAATTAATTAATAATACTTAGCCCTCTTAGAATATATATTTTATGAATAGGCCTTCTTCCAGTAGTGAAAGAAAGTTCAAAAAGAAGGTTTAGTTCTCTGATACCATTCGTAAACTCAAGCTAATGTATGAAGATTAAAATGAAAATAACAGTTCAAAATCTTAAATAATTTATCCAAATAAAATAATTTCCTAAGCTAATCAGCATGATTAGTAGCAGAATATCTTTTAAAATCAAATGCAAATTAAATAGCAAGTATAACAATAAAATTACCAAAAATAAAATTAATAAAATGAATTGAGACCTTTCACAATTCAATCTTACAGATCATCTCTCTCTACTAAATTATTTCTGAACTAATCAAGTCAAGCTTAAATTCAAAAATAGTAACACAGAGAGGAGGAAACAGTTAGTAAAAACTAACTCAATGAAAAAATTTAAATAATGGATATTAATTTTAGAGAAAGATTGTAAAAAAAATTAAATTAAGCCTTAAAAAAGAAAGAGGAGCTTAAGCAGCTGCAGTAAGCAATGTACTAACCACTTTAAATTTAAAGTATAAATGCTAAATAAGGAAATTAAGCACCCGTACAATACATAATAAAGTTACCTTCAAAAAAAATAAATTATTTAATCTAATCTTGAGTATAGTAATATGACCGACAGTCACAAATTAAATAGAAACATTAATTTATTACCAATAAATTGTGTTTATATTCAGATTACTTATATTTTAACTGCGTTCAACCAATAATAAACCATATATTAATTAAATCTAATAGACTAAATTAGCTTAACTTTTATCAAAAAACAAACTAACAAAAACAAAAAATAAATATATTATAGTTACTCAAATAATCTAATAAAATTCCATATTTATAAAAAAATAACATTTTTAATCTTTCTATATTTGAAAAGATATTCATACATAGCGCATCTAACTTACATAGTAAATAACAAATCATATTCAATAATTTAACAAATTCAAAAATTAATATTAAAAACCAATTAAAGAAATAATTTGATGTTAGATAGAATTAAATTTATATTAAAATAAAATATATTTATTTATTTGTAACAATGCAATTACACTATTTACTAAATTATGATTTATTTCATCTATTTATTTATTTATTTTAAATACATATTTCTAAAATAAAAAAAATACTTTTATTTTATTTAGTAATAAAAATAACAAAATAAATTTGTGATCAGCTAATATTAGTAAATTTATGTTTACAAAAAATAATAAATGATTTAGTAATTTATTTTATGGCATTGAATATAATATTTAAATATATATATAATTTTGGTAAAATATTTATTAAAGATAAAGAATGAGATAATTTCTATTTATTTTTTACTTTGATTTTATTAAGTTGTTTATGTCAATAGAATTTCAAAATATAAATGAAAGAAAATTAATATGCATGTAAATCATTTATTAAAAATATGATGTAAATTCAAAATAAAAACCAGCATCATCTTAGCGAATATAAAAATTATAATTTTATTAAGATTTAAAATTAACTGGATTTTAACCACAATCTTAAAAAAAATATTGATTGATGAAATTGTTTATAATAAAATGTAAATCAAAGTTCTTGGTTGTTTAGCAAAAGTATTTATTTTTTGCAAAATTAATTATATACATTGATTTGACTATTCAATTTAAATTAATATATATATTAAATGCTCATAGAATATATCCAATATATATATCTTGATTAGATAAGATAAAAATTAAACAGATCTGCTAAATAATATTTAAAGCTAAATAATATTTAATATGAAATCCATTAAATATCAGTAATTCAGAGCAAGTACTCCTTCAAGCCCTAAAGGCCCTAGGACATTAAACTCTTGCCGTGAGGCTAACATTTTTTAAAACTATGATTTGCCTATCCTCAGTGATAGATTCTTACTTAATACCAGCAAGAATTCTAAGATATCATCAAATAGCCCAAGAAAAAATAGAATCTTATCACAAGTCTAAGCTGAAGCTGCTCCAAATATAAAATAGTAAAAAAGAGAAAGATCCCTTTCAAATTAAGCCAAGTAAATTTATTAGGAGACCTAAGGAAGGAGTTTATCAAATAGTAATTATTATGCACAAACTTCTCCTAACTCAGAAAGAAACGAAATATCTCTACCACTCAGAATGGTTTAAGATAATAAGTGCTATAATTCGAGTATAGTATATGGTTATTCTTCTTTTCACTCTTCGCTCAAGTAAAAGAAGAAATCAGTTCAAAAATAAAATTATTTAAATGACTATTTCGAAATAAAACAAATAGAGCTACTTTAAAAACTTAAGTAGCATGAGAGTCATAAAAAATAAAAAGAAATTAACAATTCACATGAGTAAACCTAATGTAATAAGAATAAAGGTTTTTTTGAAATATCAATTTTTAATTACTCTAATTTGAATAGAGGTGAGTTAGATAACATAATTAATCACAAATAAGTAAATTACAGATAAATAAAGTGAATTAATAAATAAATAAATAAATAAATAAATAAATAAATAAATAAATCAATAATAATATATTTAAAAATATAATAATAAAATCATAAAGATAATATAAATCTAATGAATGACAATCAAAACCTTTTAAAATTAAAAAAATTACTAAGCACTTAATTAATAAAAATTAATTTATATTAAAATTTAAAAAAGAAGATATATCAATCATACAATCAATCTATAAATTTAACTATTTATATGTGTTTATTTCTATTTATTCAAATTATTTTAATTATTACTTCAAAATAATTTAATTTACTCTAGTTTATTTTTAGAAGATATATCAACACACAATCATTCAATCTATAAATTTAATTATTTATATGTGTTTATTTCTATTTATTCAAATTAATTTTTCATTATTATTTCATAATCATTCATTTACTCTAGTCTATTTTTTAATTCAAAAAAATTTATTAATTTTAAAAATTTTTAGATAAATTAAAATAAAATTTATCCTAAAATAAATCGAATAAAATCAGATAACTATTTTTTTTTCTCTTTATCATCAATTTTCTCACTAAAAATAAAACAAAAACAAATTCTTTTAGAGATTTATAAATGAATTTTGAAAATTTTTATATTAAAAATATAGTTTATAGTTTTAGATGAAAATGTTAGTATATTATATAAGAGTTTATTTTAAAAAATATTTTTAAAATAAGAATATAATGATAATATATATCTATTTGTATTTATTCGGTCAGTATAAATCATTGAAATTTTGGCTGTTTATTAAAGATAGAAAATATCTAAATGCATGAATGCTTTCTCATTTAATAAGTTTGTTAAAAAAATATCTTACTTTTATTTTTAGGTAAATAGGTCGATAGAAAATATTCATGCTTAAATTTGATCCAAAAAAGATATTCTTACAAAATTTTAATCTTAAAACGTGTAAAATCAATCAAAATATGCAATTTTTTATCACTATTTTGTTTAGATAACTTATTTTAATATCAGATATATCTTCGTTTTCATCAAAAAGATATAACAAATTTAATTAAAAAATAACAAAAAAATCACAAAAAAAAAACAATAAATGGATAAATTAGAAGACCAAACCTGCAGAGAAGATTTTAGAGCTTCCTACAAGAATTTAGAAATCAATGAAGCTAACAAAAAAAACTTTGTAGCTTGTAATTCATTAAACATTTTTATAAAATAGCAGAATTCATAAAATATTTAATATAGTAACTAAAAAGCATATTGATGAGATATCTCGTGTTGACATTTGCAACTTGATCGATGAGCTTAGAACTGGAGATTCTTAACAAGATAAGAAAGTTGATGCGTAATATTAATTAAAAAATTGTTTTAATTAACATTAATTATATTTAATCCTATTAACTTAGAGTTAAAGATGCTCTTTTCCACCTTTTAGGAGAGGTCACCATTAGAAAGCCATCATTCTTAGATGCTCTTTTCTTCCCTCAAGATGATGAAAGCAGAATAGTTGAGTAATTAATTATGATTATAATTTTTAAAAATGTAATTTTATTATCAACCTATTAAATAGATACTTGAATCTTGCTCATAAGACTATCGATGTCTGTGTTTTCACAATTTCTAATGATTATTTAGCTTGGGCTCTTTATGATCTTCACAAAAAAGGAGTTAAAGTTAGGTAAAATATTTTAAATTTTAGCTTATTTTTAACTTTTAAATAATATTATTTTATTCAATTATTCGTAGAATCATTACTGATGATGAATGCTCAACAAATAGAGGTTCTGATATCCAAGATTTAGCTGATGCAGGTATTCCTTGCAGATTAGATAGCGATCCAACTGCTCATATGCACAACAAGTTTGCTATCATTGATGGTCATATCTTAGTCAATGGATCATTCAACTGGACTCAATAGGCTGTTGAGAAAAACCAAGAAAACCTTTCTATAATCGACAGTGAAGAATTATGTTAGAAGTATACTAAAGAATACGAAAAGCTTTGGGCTAAGTTCGAACACGAGTAAGTTAAGAAAGTATCTGACTCTGATCCTTATGCTACTAAAAGACGTCCTAATTTCAGAGAATACTAAAAAAGAAATAAAAATCCAAATGCTAAGAATTGGAAATGAATAAAAAATTCACTATTTAACTTAAAAATTTAACAAAAACTTAAATTAGTATTTTTTATATCAAATTATCTAAATTTGTGTTGAAATTTTTAATATTGAAAATATCATTAATAGTAGTATTTCTAAAAAAAAGAATTTAAATACGTGTAATCATTATTTGTTGAAATTAACTTAATTATTATTTGTTATCAAATTCTAAATTTTCATAAAATTTATGATTAAAAATTACAATATAAATTTGAATGAAATGATAATTAAATCTTATCAAATTAAAAATTATTCATCCATCATACTAATTACTGAATATTTTGGAAAAAATATTTAATATTATAAATTAACAATATAAAAATTAGAGATTTTACAAAATTAAACATTTATATGTCAATTTTTTTTAAATTAAAATTTTTCTTAAAGAATTAAAGTCATATATTTTATCTATCTTTATGCCATGTAATAGTTAAATTGATAAAAAATAGGGGTTGGGGTTGGGGTTGGGGTTGGGGTTGGGGTTG